CCGTTTATATGAATTAAAGAGTTCAGGCAGAGGACAGAGTAGTTCTCCTACGTTGATAAAACACCAGACACTACTTCAGAAATATATAGAATGATAACATCCAAGAGTAATATCATTCACCTTGAAATAGTGAGGGTTAACTTAAGTATTTAACGTAACCTGAACAGTCGCCAGCATGTATTCTGGTGTATAATTATTTAAGCCTGACAATCATCTATCAACCATGTCCTTTTAAAAACATGATGCCATTAACTTGTTAGCCTTTCTCAGAAGACTACTGAAGCTGGAATTATGAAAAGTTGCAAGTTAAAGAATTATGCAAGAATTACACAAGAAAACAGATGGATATATATCTGACACAGAAATAGCATCTAGAATAAGAAGTTAATAAAATAAACTAACTTGGAAACTCAAACCCCTACAGCATGCACAACCAACTGGATTGACCTGTATTGGTTTTATACGGTAATGAAGATGAAATAAACACGCTGCTTAATTTAATGCACTCTGCAAACAAGTTTAATTTAATATTGCTGAAAAAGCAATTTGAAAGAGTAAACATGCTTCTTCCCCCTGAAAAAGCCCTCAGCTGTGCAGTGTAGCTCATGTAGACGTGCTCATGAACATGTACATAGAAAGAAATGTCCTTAAAGAAAAAATAACTATGCTACACATTGCCTTTTTAGACACTGATCTTTTATCAAGAACAATAGATGTTTTTCTGCATATCAACTCAACAAGTTGAGTTTTAAATGGTCATTTATCACTGGACTCAATAGTTCTCTTAAGTACCATCATTACATTAAGAATTTTCCTGGAGTCATGCTTGGAAGAACATTTCTTCAAGACTTTAGGTTTACATACCATTTGTTAATAATTATACATACTAGAAGAAAATTTTATAAAAACCTCTTAAAAGACTGTGTATGTTTTGACATTTTTAATTGAGCATGCATTATGAGTAGGGCTTGCTTTCTTCTATACCCTGTTTTGTATGCAGTCTGTGTTTGAAAATACTAGTTCTAACTTCTAGACTCCAATCCAACAGCATTTTTTTTTTACTGCATTTCTAGCCACATGAGAGTATGTAATGGAATGGAATGGGAAAAAAACAGGCCTAAAAGTTGGAGGGTTTTTTTTGTTGTTGTTTTTGTTTTTTTAAAGTTTGTTGTTGTTGTTGTTTTGGTGCTGTTTTTAAGGAAACAACATTCTTCTCTACGATAACATCATTTTTTTTTAAATTAATTTTAACTTCACTGATGTATAACTCAATATGCCTAGCCATTTTATTGCTATAGCTCATGTTATTTACTAAGGATTTATCCACTCTAAGATTGTTAAAAAGAGCCTGGCCTCATCATCTAAAAAGCTGGTACCAAGAGATTTACAACTTTTGCTAAGATGCCCTCTCACATCTCCTCATTAAACATGTTATTCCTTTAGCTGCCTCTTCAAATCCTCCAGCAATAAGGGCTGCAAATTAAAAAACATTTTCAACAAATTGATTAGAAGGTCCACTTCCACAGACACACACAAAAAAGAAACAAAGATGCAAACATTAAATGTACTACATTTGAAGCACTTTACCATGAAAGGATAAAAAACCAACCAATAAGAACGCCAGTTTTCATACATCAAATAAACAGCTCAATAGAATTGCAGCCTACTATTATAAGATATAATTTACATTAAATTATTATCCATTAAATACACACTAGCCATGAACTTTTTAAACTTGTTAAATGTCCTTTTCCTCAGTATTTATATCTGCCTAATCTATACAGTTGTTGTTATAGACGTAAGAGTAGCAGCAATCAAGCTTAACTACAAAAGTTGTATTCACAGAAACAAGAAACTTGATAATTAACATTGCAGCTTTCTATTTATTCAGCCCTCTTTAGATACCAGTTCTCAGAACTCATATTGCATCACAGGACTCAACAGGAGTCTGAACATTCTCAGTCTGCATTCTTCATTCTCTCAGCTGTACTTAAAATCATACCAAGAGATGCAAACAACATGAGGATTTCTTCTTCCAAAATAGCTCTCTAACAACTTAAAATTCTCATTCCTAAAATGAACTTCTAAGTTCCATCTAGCACCTTAATCTCAAAGATACAATCTCAAACTTGAACACATGCTATTTGCAATGGCTCAGATTTAAGATGCAGTTTAACTACAATAACATTATTAGAAATGTTCCAGATGAACAGGAATTTGGTAACTTGGAGATGGGAGGGTTGTATACTTTCAGATACACCACAAAACACACGAAGTGGGTTTCTGTGTGTGGGCATTTTTTTTTTTTTTCGGTCTGTTTTCTTTTTAGTTACAATGCATTTTTTTCACATATTATTAAAACAGACACAGAATTTCATTTGGACTATCAGGTGAAGGTGACCTTTAGCCACCCCAACTGCCAATGAGAAAGACATCAATATTTACAAGTGAAAGAATCAATTCAAGCACACAAGTAGTTCTAAATGACAAAAAAAGATGTTTCAGGGTTAAATGTGCCATTCACATGCTCTAGAGAAAATATCAAGTCCAAGATGTACAACAAACAAGTAAGAGGATGACTGTACTAAATTAAACAATAAAAATAACCTGAAGAAAGATACTCAGTTTCTATTACCAGATAGTCTTGAGAGGAACAATCTTGCTAACATACATGAAAGAGCTGAGATCAATCTGATGAACTGATTTATATCTGCTTAACAACTGCTAGATAATTCATCCAAAGCAGCAACCAAAGGAACGAGATAGTCTTGAAATAATTTTGGAAAGAGGGATGGTATGAAAATAAAGGAGAAAAAAAGAGTTGATATCAAAATAAAAGGGAAGTGAAAATAGTCAGTATTTCATTTCTTACATTCTATTTGTCCATACTTCTCTTAATAAAACCTGACAACTCATGAGTAACAAGAGAAGCTGCTTTTATTCTCAGAATCAAGAGTAAGAAGAAAAACAGTAGTGCAGTACTGTGAGCATGAGCTTCTCCATCAAAGCTATTTTCCATCCAGGGAAAGTGACAGCTAATGGAGGTTTCTGGAAGATTACACGGTTCACATCAGATACTAACAATTTTATCTATCTATCATTAAGCACAGCAGACACATCAGATGTTTTCAAGTGTACTCCATCCAACATTTGCTTTCATAATACCAAATGTTATATTTTTTTCACTCTGCCATTCAGAAAATCAGTCTCAAACACAATAAAAGCACACTTCCACCTTTTTTTTCCAGAGGTTCAAAAGCAGTCTTATACTTTCATCATGTTTTCCTCTAGGTTAAAAATCTCTTCACATCTACATTAGAAAAATAATTGTAGCACTGCTTTTGCAGTTATCAATTACAAGTATTCCAAATTGCGTTTGCGTACATGACAGTTCATCATAATGACAAAGAGTTACCGAGGAAAAACATACCAAGATATTGGTGAATTATTTCATGAATAAAGTACACATTTCCCTGTTCCTTTATTCCCTCAAATACAAACCAGACAAAATCTAGGATCAGGAAGTCTTTGCTAAAAGTAACACTTAAAAGTATTAAGAACGTGACAGCCCAAGCTAACCTGTGGGTAACCTAACTTGCCAGTGGCATCAGAGACAAGAATGTACTGGCTATACAAATGCAACTTACAGCTTGTTCTTAAAAAACACACTGCTAACATTGGTGCAGCAAGCATTCATTAAAATAGGTTAGTTATTCAAGGATAAACATTCAGAAGCCTGGAACAGAACAAACATGAAATCTCCTTAGTTTGCTTACAATTTCGTGGAAGTATTTTGTATAAATGCATTCCTCAAAAGTGATTGAATTCCTGCATAAATTAAAATGATAAATGCAAAATGAATATTATTTTGAGATTCATTTCTTGATATCAAAATACTCCCCCACACTATGTTTCTTTAAAATAATTGCAGATATCACTAAGCAAACAAAGGCATGGCATTGCAAGTCACTAGTTTCTGCAGCAGATGTCTACGGTCCCATCACCCCCACCTCCCCCTGCCCCCTACAGACCTAACAGCTAGTTCCTTTCTTTCTTCTTTAAATAACACAGTCATTATATTTTTTAAAATCAATCAATTGCTTGAGATAACAGAGTTGGCTTCTATTATATCTACCCTAGTGGATTAAAAGTAGCCTTTACCATGCAGTAGGTAACAGTTTTATTTTTTGTTTTCAGCAAATAACAATACATCAGCATTACAGCTCACTCTCCTTTTATTTCTACGGGTAACAACCTTCCCTTTATACTTACATTCAGCAATGTTTTCCTATGAGCCACTTTGTTTTGCTGACAAGTATGCCCCCTCCCCTAATAAGAAAATGTGCAATCTGTTGTTCATCCAAACCATTCTGTTTCTAACAATGATAAAGTACCTGCTTTATGTCACATTCCACTGCACGACTTGCAAGAACATAACATTTGAGCTGTACAGTTGTATTCTTAGAAGCCTTAAATTAACACAGTTTTTAATATAACAATAATCCTATTAACATAATTTCCCTGCTTTTGAATGATAACATGCTCAAGCAAATTTAAATGGCTTAAATTATAGACTATGCAGACCATTAAAACTATTAAAGACACTGCACTAACCAATCCTTGATCCAAAATTACAGCATGCCAGAGTCACCTTTACTGTGGCTTGAACACAGACCCAAATAACCTGATACAATTATTTCCAATCTGCTGTCTTCCACTACTTTGCAACCTTCACATTATTGCCACAGTAATTAATTTTATGCACATAGCAACTGAAATTAAAGAGCCACAGAGAAATTTTTGATTTAGTAAGATCTGTTCTAGACACTTACTATTAAGTTTAGCAACTACAGCCTACTAACAGAATCCTCAGAAACAATAATTGATTCAGAAAAAAAGTTAGGCTACTGAAAACCACTGATACTGATATTCAACTTAAATGAAACACTTTTTAGTTCGGCACTTACACTCCTGAAATTAAACACTTCAGGTTCTTACCTAAAAACTACTAGTGAACAAACATTAGCTGTTTCTCTGTAGAAATAGACCATACTCACTAATATTATTCCACCATTTCCTTCTTTTACTTTGCATTTTTATTTACTACAATGCACAAGCCAGACACGCATACTTCTCCCTTAAACTACAACTTTCAATACAACACGAAGACATAGCAGAGGCCCCACAGCACACAGAGCTGATGGCCATTCCCTGAGGCCCTATGAGCAGCTCCTGCCCCCCAGCTGTCCCTCTTCACCTGATCAGCACCCACCTGACCTTCCCTGTCTGCACACCTTCTTAACCCAGCAGGGGGCACGTTCTTCTCAGGAAACCTTCTGTGGTTTCTCGTTCTCTTCTAGATTAACAGTTCCTGAGGAAGCTGACTAAAGCAAGGCTGCTTCAAATTGTTTAGTTGGCTTTCTACCCTCACTTGGCAGTTACTGAGGTAAAGCGCTTTCTTCTCTAATGCGTTTTCCCAAGGCAATCTTAGAAGGTACTGCTGTTCTCAAAAAGGGACCAAAAAATCCCACAACTTGATATAAAAAAGCTAAAGAAAGGGGGAGCCTTCTATATTTCAGGGCACTCACAATGCTCAGAAGATCGGAACGGGCGTAAGCGCAGCTCGGCCGCGGTTGCCTCAGCTCTCTCCTTTAAGGAGCGCTCAGAACGGTGGCGGCTCCTTCTGGCGGGAACCGGCGTGAAGGCGGCTTCCCGCTTCAGGCAGGGGTGGTGGCTCCCGCCGCAATCCGTAAAGCCCTTTCCTGATGAAGAAGACTGTTGAAAACGTCGGTACTCTTCAGCTTAGCTGGAGGAACGTCAGCCTCGTAGGTATTTTCCTCGGGTTTCTCGAAGCCGCGGGTCTCGCGGCGTGTGGCAGCTGCCGCGTGCCCTGCTGCTCCGCCGACTTTCCCGCCCGCCTCGCGCAGAACCCAGCCCCGGTCTGCAAGGTCTTGTCTGCTAGACTCTTTTTCTATCGTGTTTCTCTTAAAATAAGCACAATACTCGTTCTAGTGGTGTTTTTCTTCTTCTTGACGTGTGTTTTAGCTTCGTGTTGCTCGACGAAGTGAGCAGTAGTTACGGTTCGTTTGGAGCTCCGTAGCACTGCGGTGGATGCCTCGGCTCGCCCAGCTAAGAGCTGAGCTTGGGAGGAGCAGCCTGAAAGAAATGCCTCCTGAGATCCTTATACACCAGTGCTGCTCCTTCGCGTGCCTGATGCTGCTCGGAGAGTTGGTTTCACAGCTAACCAGTGATGTGCCTACGGGGCTCATAATACCGTGTGTGGCATTTCACTTTTCCTGATGATATGTTGCTTCTTTTTTTGTTTAGAATATGTAAACATGTAAAAATATCAGCAGGTGATTTACGTAAGGCATTATAAAGAAAGTTGTGGAATCTAGTTGTAATACTTCAGCTGCAATAAAAGTTACTTCTACAAGGGAAAAAGTGAGCTTTTCTTTTGCTTTGCAGTAACTACTGATTCATTCTGGTTGTTAAATGATTCTAATAACATAACCTTCTAAGTAGGTAAAAATCCTGACTTTTGCCCTTTTTTCAAGTTAAGCAAAAGTGCTGACAGTCATAATATTGATAAAATGTAACATAAAAAGTAAATTTGAGAGTTCTATTATTTCTATGTTGGTTTAAATAAAACCACATTGAAGTACTTTCCTTCAGTCAGAAAAAGACAGTATATGCTACGTATGTTTATCATTATCAGCATACTGATTCATTTGCAGCATTCAAGTAGCACAGTGCACAGACCATGGCATCTTACTTTGCAGTTGTGCAAACAGAGATGTACTGTCTATGATAGCAGTCTGTCAAGTCCAGGAGACACCTGCTCAGCTGGATGACTTCTAAAAGACTGTTCCAACACCCTTGACTTGTTATGTTGTGGATGGCAAACATGCCGCATTCCTTCTGAGCTGAATTATGGCTAGATGCTGTCCATAATAATTTGGGAAGTTTTATGCTTAATAGCTAGTGATCAGTGCATGCATATACTGCCTATGATGGTTGTCTTGGGAGAGAATAAGAGAGAGGCCCAGAGTCTGCAAGCCCTTGCTCATCCTCATTTGTCCAAATCCAACAAGTTCTGCAAGAGGGCTGGAATTTAACTGAAGAATATTGTGACAAGTACTGATGAGGTGGAAAGGAACTACAGTCATGGAAAGATCAACGGTAGCTGCTTTTAATTGAATAGGTAACTTAGGTAACACAGTCTTTATGGCCTTTCAAGTGAGTTTGTGTGGGAGAGACCTTCATTTTAGAAGTTACTGCTTAAAGTAAATGACTTCTTCTGGAGGTTTTGTTTTCCTTGCTTGTTTCTTTCCCATTACAGGAAGTGAAAGAAGCTTTAGAAAATCCGGTATAGAAAAACCATTTTGGAAGATGTGTTCCTCCAATTGTATTTTCTATAACTTATTCGTACTGTGTAGACAAATGCACAGAATATTCTACTTTTATTCTTAAGTTGTTGTCATAGCAATCTCTGAGGAACTGAATTAATACTAAGAGTGAAGTAAACAAGTGAAGATAGCGAATCTGAAACTATTAAACTAACATCCTCAATAAATAGAGCAAAGTCTAATTCCCTTATACAGGAATACTACTTTGCTTCAACTAGTGTCTTCAGCTCGGTAGAAATAAATGTGGGCTGTGGCAATGTTTGAAGCAAGCATATATCTTGATTAATTGCTGTGAAGATGCAAACCTTGAAGAGCATTCTTCAAAGTGAATAGCTTTTCCTTCTCTGATATTAGTAATTTATTTCTTTGGCCGGCATAATTTCAAAGAAAAAAAAAAAGTATTTTCTCTTTCATTTGCAGGTCCTTAACTTTTACTTGCAATTTGATTTATTCTTACCTAGTTGCTGTTCTGGGCTCCTTATCTTCTGTACTGTCCTTTTTTTGTGTGTGGAATCTTGTATTTTAAAAAGGCATAAAGCTTTTTCTGACAATTTTTGGATGAATGCTTCTGTGCAGAGGGGAATTGAACGAGATTCAAAGAGTGGGTTCTGAATTTGTTTTTTGCTTAGGTGAGCAGTTGTAGTAGTAGAAAGTACTATTGGCTCTCTAGGCTAGATAATGGAAGAACACTTCTGAATTTGCTAAACTTCAAATATCTAATTCATTTGAGGAGGACCTCATTATGTTTTCCCAGGGTGATTCAAGTCATTTGGATAAAAAGTATGCCTGCTGTGCTTTAGATTATGTTGGAGGAACTCTTCAATTGAGAAAGAGGTTTTAAATTCAAGACCTACCACTCAGAGTCTGTGATGCATGTCTCAACTTAAGATAACAAAACCAAAAACTTTTTTCAGGCAAATTCCATTTAAATAATTAGCAATTCAAAGCTGAGAATATTATTGTAGGCTGGAAAGTCAATATAATTCTCATATCAAGTATTTGTGTGAATGCTTACGGAAAAATAATTTAAAATTATTTGATGGTGCATGCCAGGTACCCTAGGAAGTATTCACCTGTATAAAATCCTGTAATGATATTGCAAAGAGACTGACTGGAATACTTAGACTTTTTTCTCTGCAGAAGAGATCTTTTGGTAGTCAGATGATATATAAATAATATAGCAAGTATTGATGAAATCTTTAATGGGAAACATGAACATTCTCTAGAACATACAGATAAAGAATAAATAGTTTTAATGTACTTCTGTGCACTGACAGTCTGATACGTTTGCTTAAATGTAAACAGTTCATTTTTTCCCCTTAAGCTGTCTTATTAGAGTAACAGCCTTTAGTATTAAGCATAGAAATTCACAATGGCCTGAAAAGAAAGCAGTAAAATTGGGTCTCCAGAATGTGGATTCTGTCTTAAACCAGCATGAGTGACAGAACATGGTAACAATGTTAAGAAATTTATTTGAAATGGATACTCAATTCCTGTATGCTTGCTTGCCTTCTTGATAGCAAGACATTTTTATTTATGTAGATTGCTCTGAAAGTAATGCCTCCTGTTTATTTCCATGGAAACTATGACAAATACAAAAGAGCACAATAACACTGTCTGGTAGAGCAAATTCTAAGCTACAAAACAGTGTCTTTTAACATAGTTATCACCATTAGCTGATTCACATAGAGGAGCTTATTGGGATATCTTTATTTCATGGTGTGACAGCTGTGCATGGCCATCCAGAATGCTGTTGTCACCACTGCTGAAATGTGCTCCCTCCCACTGCCTCACTGTGCTCATACCACTGTTTGGTCTCCATACAGATTCAGCAAGTGTCAATGAATGTTGTGGGTGCAAGCTTTTCATCATGGAGGAATTCAGTGAGATACCTTTGCTTCCAGCACACTTTCATGTCAGACTGCTGCCAACAACAACATGCAATGGAATATTGGTGAGAAAGTTCAGCTTTTACTGTCATACCACACCATCCACTTGTGACACTGTGGGCCAACATAATAAAACAGGAGGCTGCTGCCAATGTAGAATGGATAGCTCAAACAATGAATAACGCATAATAAAAACGAAAAGAAAATAGAATTCTAAAAAGAGCTGTAGTGGCTGTGGAATCATTGTGTAGAACATAGCAAGTTAGTAACATTTTTTGAAGATTACAGTGGTTGTGTTTCAGATCTATTCGCAGCACTTGTTCCATTTTCTGGGAATATTTTGTTCTTTCTCCAGCATAGAGTGCTTATTAAATTCCTCTTATTTCCACTGTTCTTCTCATCTGTATTTCTGTGATGAACATAAGTTTTTACAATACCTGTAAGTGTTTGACTTAGGGAATCAATGAATCTAGGTAGAAAATGAGCTTTAGGCACAATGAGAGCACTGAAGTTAAAGAAGAGATCTGATGAAGTTTGAACTCAAAGCTCTGCCTCAATACACGTCCAGAACTGCTTTTGGCATTACAGGCTTCCTGGTGCGTATCTCACTTCTAAGCTTTGATACTTACAGTAGCCATTTTCCTACCTAAATCTAACGTATATGATCAGTAAGTGCTATAGAGTACACTAAAGTCATGCTGACAGGAGTAGGGTTATGCACAAAACCCAGAAATATTCCTAATACAAGATCCCACTGCTGTTTCTGATTAAGTCCCAGCATTTGTCTAGAGAGCAAAAAATCAGACCTCTTCTGTCAGTTGAGTTTAAAAATCTCATTTTTTGTTTAATGTTTCTGATTGCTGTGATCAGGACAGGGTTTTTATTTAAAAGGACCGAGATGTCTCTGCAATATGATAATGATGAGAAATTGATAAAAGTTTTTTTATAACACAGAAAATGTTAGATAAAAGAGGTAAAACTTTTTCAAAATCCAGTTGCTACATCATACATGTGGAGAGTAAAACCTTTTTTACAAGGTAATAACAGAACTAGAAAATGCTTCTGCAGGCCAGAGCTGCATGACAGCTCCCAGGAAAGACTGGAAGCAATCCAAAGCTAATTTTGAATGTGAAATACCCTCATTGACTCCAGAGTTTACCGATAGACTCATTGTATGTATAAAGTAATTCAGATACCACACTATTGCTAGGAGTACAATAGTTGAAGTGGTATGTCAAGATCTCAGTAAGTAATGCTTCTGTGCATAGTGTAATGTTTAACTGTATAATGAAGTCCAGTGTAATTTTAAATTTTCTTGTTTGCCACACAAACAAGTGTTTGATTTCAAAATAATGCTATTAGGAATAAAAAAGTAAAACTGTGAAGGAAATATTCCCTTTTTAGAATATTAGCTTATATCATTTAAGCACTTCTGAGATATAATTTGTACTGGTTTTGTGACATTTAGCTTTTTTGTCATGCATTTAAACTCTATTCATAATAGTGTAATGATGGTGTACTATTCCTGAGCACCTCAATGAGTTGAATATTTTTGTCAAGAATGACTGCCATAAAACATGGGATGGCTATGGAGAAAAATAACTTTAGGAAAAGTTCCAAAAGTTCCTATTGCATCTACTACAGGGAGGTAAAGGCTTGCCTTTGCTGTATAGGCTTGTTGTGCATTTCTATTTTCTATGAGTAGCACTTCTTCAAGGGAAGCAGTGTATACCTGAAACAGTCTTTACTGGTCATTCTACTACTATGTACTTCCATAGAGTTGTTTGGGATGCTGCCAGAAATGTAAGAGAATTCTTTACTGCTTTTGTAGACATACAGACAATGGTAACACAATATTCAAAACAACATAGTTTATGTGGTGATCTGGATAATAGAAGTCTGAATCACTGTTGGAAACGGTAGGTCTAAAATGATTCTTAATGTCTTATTATTTTTTCCCCTCAGTGACATTTGCTTAATTAACACTGAAAGTTTAGCAAATAGCATTCTGTCATTTCAGCTATTCTTTCCTGGTTTAAACTGGAGGCCAAGCTCAGCTGATAGATTGGACTTTTGGGCTTGGAATTTTTCCTCTTTCTATTGTCACTGCCATACAAATAATCCTGTTTGATTTGTTTATTCTATGCTGTTTTCTGATACTCTGTCATGAAAAGAAATATTAGTGCGAAGTACAAGTCAAAGATTTGTGCTTTCGTGTCATAAATAGCAAATGAGTTCTGACAACCTCTGGAAGTGGTATGTCAAGAATGGCTAAGCTACCAGGCAAAGATGCCAGGTGCAGTTTCCTGTCTCATGTAACCATGGATTTCTTGATGGGTTCCCTGATTGTTGTATCTTATGGGTTGATATCAGAATATCTTTGAGAACTAAGTATTTTAACATCTATGTTCAGCAGATCTGAATGTTGAACAGTTCACTGTGATCTTCTGCTGATACATTCTACTAAATGTATGTATTTGTTTTGTGCCTTTTTAGATATGCAAGGGGAGTTTTGGAGAACACTGCCATGCAAAAACTTATCAAGGCTTTCCACAGAAAGAGGAGCCCAAAGGAGTAAGATGAAATATTACTACATGATGCATTGAGGATGACAGGGTTTTATGGCTCATATCAAGAATAAGAAAAATGACAGCAACTAAACATAAAAAGCTGATCTCTGATGACTGGCTGCAGTTTTAAATGAAACATACTGAGACATATCAGTGCAAAAGAATAGATGGATGGCAAGGCTGTTAAAATTCTATTGTGTATACGAAGTTGAATTAAATACTGTTTCTCAGTTTGAGTCCCACAAAATGTTCTACATTGATACATTCAGAATGTCAAACATTTTCAAAAAACATTTGGGCAAATGTATCTCAAAATTGCAGAGAAAGAACACTTGAAATTTTTTAATGTAGTAGTATGCCTGCAAGTTGCTTCATCTTTGAAATGTTACATTCTCCTTCAGTTTCTACCCATGTTTTACTTTTTATTTTGTGGGATCTGACTTTCATTACTACTTTTCTTTTTTAACTTGTTTCCTATTAAACACTGCTTTTATTTGATGCATTTCTCTTAATTATTCTTCAGGAAGATTCTCCTGAGCAATTATGTCACACTATACACTTCCAAGGAAGAGGTTTAGCATACAGCATGAGCCAGTGTTCTCCCCTTTCTCTTCTCTTTGGCTGTTACATTTTATTGGTCTTTCTGGCAGTTTCTCAGATGGACAATTCAAACAAATAGGGTTGGGTCATTGCTACAAGAGGGGTGTTTGTGTGCATGCACACATTTGCATGCTTCACTTCATTTGACTGTGCGCTTGTCTGCTGCATACTTGGCCTAAACTAGACATGATGGGGAATACTGGACTCTTCGCTGGATCGGTAGTTACTGGTTTTTTGTGTTGCTTTTTTTTTTTTTTTTTCCCTGGACCATTGCATTAAATTGATGTTCAGAGAACTGCAAATACTGTGAGCTAAAGCATGATAAAAATAGGGAACAGAACAGTAGAATGGAGTAGAGTAGGGAATAAGCTCTTAAGTTGCTTACTGAATCTTCTGGAACATCAAGAATTTGGAGGAGGCATCAGAAATTATCTAAGCAGCTCTGGCTGTTGGTTGTCAGGAAGAGTAGTACAGCCTCCTACTTGGATTAATTCTACCATTTATCATCAGGCTCTAATTCATGTCATGAAATCAGCAGAGATTTGCCTATGAGTATCTTGAAGAGATGAACCTATGAAGAAACTCAGATGGAGCCAGTTAAGTATTTTGTTTGATAGTTTTTCTTTGCCTTAAGTATTGAAAAATAAACTGATGTAAAAAGCATTTTGTATCACTGCAGCATAAGAAAACTACTTTTACAGATTTCACGGATGTCAACTCAGGTTCTGTCAAGTCAGGTTGGATTGTGTCAGTCCCACTCTGTTTCATAACAGGACATGAGCAATGCAAGGTGACATTATGTTGCAGATGGGGAATAATATCTAAGGCTTCCTCAAACTCACAGCAGAATAAATGCCATTTTTTCACAAAGCAGATGGATACAGCAGAGAAGGCTTTCAAACAGAAACAGCTCTGCTGATGTCCTTAGAACTGTTTTTCTGCTCTTTACATCAATTGCTACACACTGCAAATAATGCTGTTCCAGTGGTTCTTGAGAGCTTTTTTGCTATTTATTTGTCTTTAAGGTAATCCTGTCAATATATATAGTACAGATAGGAATAGATTTTTAAACCAAACCAAACTGCTACGGTTACCTGAAATGCTGTAGTAAACAGCTAATTACACTTTTTCCTTTCCTTACACAATAATGTATCCTCCCAACTGGAACAGCTTTTTCAGATGATATACCTGAGGATGATGTGGCTGCAGCATTTTTATCAGCAAGTCGCTTCTAAAAATTTCCTTCCATACTTGTATCTTTTCCCTTCATTTTTCTATTTCAACTTTTAACTCATTAGTTTAAAATAAATTTTTAAAAATATCTAGGAATCCTTATGAGTGCTTAGAATTCTGAAGTGTTTTTACTTTTTTATGCCATGGTTTCATTTTCTTTGCAAGGTGTTTTTAAACTAAGAAATGCAGCCATAGAAACAACTCAGTTGCTCATTTACTCCTTGTCCCTTCATATCTTTATTCTTTTGTTTCTGCATGCACACCATTAGCTGGCTGTAGTCTATCACATGCAAAACAGCATGTTTCCTAGTTCTTGTTCAGTAATTATTTTTGAATCTTTAATGTAATCTATATCTCTTAATTTTTTTTTGCATTGCTCTCTCTTTTTGTTCATAATTCTATATCTATTGAGACACAAATTCCTTTATTTTTTTCTAGAGTAACCCCTGTAGTTACTGCATGTATTGTAGAAAAACATAATTAAGATCTAATGTAGGTTATAGGCTTTCATTGCTACTGTCTGTGAACTGTGGTTTACCTAAATGTGGTATATAATGCACTAAAATAATCCTTTGTGAGCCTGAGAAATTCTCATTTTATGCAGCTGGTTTTCTAATCAATACAGAGCCCTTTCATACTTATTATTTGATTTGGTGTATTCTGCAAGGAATACTGTTTAAGTTTCCTATACTTCTGGATGTTATCAGGAGTTTACCTTGGGAGGGAGCATGACAGCCTGTAATTCCAAAGCACCTGATTTTTCTTGCCCTGTCACTTTGTGCACATACAGGTGTCTACTGAGAAAGGAGCATCCAGAAGGTAGATCTGCCTAAGAACTGGTAAGAAGGCAAAGAATGACAAGTGAATGTATTGGATGGATCCAGTGAAGTATGATTTGAATGGGACAGGATAGGCTTTTTCTGTTTCTTCATTGAACATCTAATTGATCCCTCTGATTCTCCTTTAAGAGGAATTCTTTCCCAGAGCTGCAAGGCCAGTCTCCTTTCAAGGTTAATTGCAAATGTGGTGAGAGACAGACTAGCTTGGGGCAGCTCCGGTGATACTGTAATTAGTCTCAGAAGGAAGGCAGAAGGGCAACTGCCAGGAAGAGTGTACCCAAATCTATATTGTGCTCAAAGGTCTGCATCATAGGGGAGATTTTGGCCATATTGCAAATGTGGCACCTGTATTAGTTGTCAGAGTAAGCAGGAGTGTGTGTGTGCTGCTATGTGGGACAGCCATGGCAGCCCACTTTTTCCTGTGTTTTCTTTCTCCACGAGTGTTTGGCGGCTTGGGGCTTTGCTGTGTATTGTGTCACAGTGTGAAGCATTTTTGAAAATAAATTATTTCAATGTGAGCCTATTTACATTGTGTCTCAAATTGACTTGGGAGTAGTGATTGCTTCAGAAAATGTGCTCTTTGTGTTTTTTAAAAAAATAGTAATTAAAGTGTTGGGGTTTAATTTGCAGTGCAACAGGTGCTACAGTTCTGGGCCATTTTCAATCTCTGCCATCACTGTTGGGCAAATTGACATGGTTCAGTGCTGCAGCACATTGTTTTCTCTTGCTTTAATCTGTGTTGCTATTCTTAATCAAGTTGCAGTTTCCAGCTTGTTCACCGCTATATTTATCTGTTATGAAATTCAATATTTAGTCTATGGGAAGTCAAAAAAACAGGTATACAGATTTGAAATCTGTCTCTTACTGTGTTTTTGAAACGTTGATCCAGGAATTCTTCAGGAATTCTTTCTCATCTTTCCAAGCTCAAAAATTATCTACTTAAATGTCGATTAAAAAATGACTATGTAATAAAAATACAATGTGCAGTCAGCATGCAGTGCATTGTTTATCTTGTGCCATTTTTTCCTAAATTATATCTGTCTCCACCCCCCTTTTTTCCACTTTTGAGCACTAATCTATTCTTCTGGTATTGAGTCTTTATTTGATTTTTATCAACCATATGTAACAAATAGCATGGAGATAATAGGAGTTTAATAGAAGGAGGTTTTGGCTATAGTTTTTCCTCTGAAAGCTGAAAATAACTTCAGTAAGTGGATGGTAGTCCCTGTTCATAGGTTTATATCTATGTTCCTTTTGTTCTATGTGGTAGGTTTTTACCTCATTTATATTTTCTCACAATATGTATATGTTCAAGTACTAATGAAAAGTATTCCTGTAATTGGTTTTTTTTGTGCCAATACCTATTGCTATCTCAATTATTACTTCCTCTATAATGATGTAAAACCTGATGTGTTTCACATAACTTCATTTTTATGAACTCATTTTCCTGCATAGAAGAATGGCTAAGTGGGTAGCAAAAGAGCTTATTCAAGTTAACTAAATATTTCCATGCATAAGTGGTGTTGGTACAAACAGGTACCACTTCACCATTGACAGACATCATACTGAGGAGAAGACAAAAATCTGAATTCATTTATACCTTTGATCTGGTTATCACCACGCATCTCTCATGCATAAAATGCTTTTTTCTGTTTTCCCCAAAATGCTGTTAGTTAAGTATGAAGCATAATAGCTTAAATATTGTTTATAGATTTTTCTGAAGACTTACACTGGATACCTGACTATGCATCAGCAGAAGGCAGAAAAAATAACTGATGAGCTTTTCATTGTAAAACTGCACTGTTGGTTGTCAATGGAATTGACTGAGATATGCATAAAAATAAATTAGAATTTTTTTGTACATAAAAATTAATGTAGAAATGTCAAAAAGCAAATTTGAGAAGGAAAAACAGGAAATGCAAATAAAATCCTGAAGGTAAATTTTATCACTAAGCTTGATAGAACAGATGCTTAAGTATATGTAGCATTTACTCAAATAACCTGTATTAATGTCTAAATGGCCTCAGCATCCCATTCAAGAGAAGATATGGTAAGATAATGAAAAAAAGAAAAAGATAGACATGACCCCAACTTGGTGTACCTTCATGGAGAGTTAGGTTCAATTGTGTTGGTCTGAGAAATTCATTTCACAGCTTTAATGATTTTTTTTTCATTGTTCCAGGGCATAGTGTGTTTGGGGTTTTGCTCTTATTTTTGAAAGCTATAAGGTTATTAAACTTACACAGTTTTTCTATTGATGTCGTATTTTCTGCTTTCAAGTCTTGGCGGTTGGCCATCCAATTTGCAAAGTCTGGGAACAAATATAAAGCTTTTGGAAGTGGTGTGTCTTTAAACATGGTTATGTTATAACAGATATTTGAGGATGCTTGGATATGAGTTAGAGAGATAGGAGCTTACCAAAGGCAGGTGTCAATACTGAATGGACTCCAATTCCTTAAATATCTTGGATGAAGAAAATCTTTTCAGGATAATTGCACCTCATCTGCTTTATCTAACACATACCAATGCTTAATATCATTTTCCCAAAATATTCATCACTGAAACTTGAAAGAAAATGGAAACCTACAAGTCAAGGATAACTGCAGCATTTTTAGATGCATTTTTAGATACATTTTTAGATGTATTGGATCTGATGGTAAAGATGAATTTGTTGTTCCAAAGACAATATTTAACTAAAACATGGAATTGCCTCAGTTTAGGAAATATAAGGGTTGAAGCTCCAATTGGGCTTGAGAAAGAGGTCTGACTTCTGTTGACTGTGAGTTACTTTGTGAGTGGAGAAGAAATTATGGTGGCTTTTGTTTGATTTAGATGAAATCATACTCTCTTGAGACACATTTGAGCATTCTACCTTCTAATTCCCAAGGGAAGCATACTCTATTTTTGAATTTTCTAGATGTTTGAATAGGGACACAGAAGGCAAGTGGATTGAGTAAAGCCTTAAAGAATTACCTTGAAAGGAAGTATGATATCTAAGCATCCCAACTTCACATTGTGCTGTTTGCCCCAAAATTCTGTGTGCCAAAAAGCACTCGCAAAGCCTCCAGAAGAGGCTGTGTGGGTTATAGACAGTACTGCAGAAACAAATATATATGGTTAAATAGATAATAGTAAATAGACATGTGTATGAATTACCACAGAGTGATTCACTGAAGCATGGGGTGAAGGATGTCTGTAATGTAGTTTTTACAGTTTACATATTAAAATATTAACTATTGGGCTGCTGGCGTTTTCCTGCTTCTGCAATCTGAGAGGTAGTTCCTAAGAAGTCATGCATCTCTTCTGGTTCAGAGAAGAATTGGAATATGAAAATGTCAAGTTACAAATTGACTTGTTTAATTGGAAAGGCTTTTTTTTTTTTTTGCTGCATCTTAAAAAAAAAAAAAAAAAAAAAGAAAAAAAGAAAAAGAAAAAAAAGAAAAAAATTATATGAGAACGGGATGCCATTGTTCATCAACTAATCAGAAATACGTTTGCTCATTCTTGGATTATATTATTTCTTAATAGTTGTTAAACCTGTCCTCTTCACACATGGCTTATAAGTTTTAGTCTAAAAATGCTGCGTTGTGTGGAAACAATACTAAAATGACTAAAGTGACTGTTAAAGGCATTTAAATAGTTCTTGCCTGCTTAGGCACTGAAAGAAGAATGTATGCTGTCAAGACAATTTTTGGAAGCAGTGGAAACCCATTTCATTGATGGGATATGTTGCCTTGAAGAACCATTTTAGTCCACATGCAGCATGTTTAGTAAATAAATGCAGTTACTGGCTAGCTTTACCTTTCCTCCTGTATTATGGAATATGAAAAATTCTCTCTGGAAGTACAAGTAAACAAGCAAATTTTTCATGACTAAAGTTTTAAATTCCCTCCATTTATCTAACCAATGTTTACTAGTACAGCATGTCATGATGGATAAATTACCTTATATGTTCCTAGGTATCGCCAGCAATCTATAATCATAAGCTTTATAGTGACAGCAAGCTAGTAACGGTGTGTGTGACAGGATTATACAGGGAAACATATCTAGGTTACAGAAATAAATTCTGCTTCCCCAAAATAGCCTGATGCTGTTTCAGTCTTCATTTAACTTCAGTAGTTCCTGTCTGGAGTCATTGACACCTTCCACGTTAATATCTTACTTGTATTTTAAACCTTGCTGTGCAGACTTGTAATGAATATGTATGTATGTCCCTCTCCCTCTGGCTATGCAGTACAGACATCAGAAAACTTCATTGAACTATAAGGAAATACTTGAAAATTTAGTAATTATGTTAGAATCGTTTTGGTAGCACATTATATATATTCTTTGTCTTTCTGTGGCCTTTAAAAAAGGAAAGAAGAGATGTATATTCCCTGGTTATACTGCATGGACTGGAAAAGAAAATGCAACTGCTATTGAAGCTGTCGTATTCCCTTGGGAAACAGGCCTTTCCCAGAGTCCTCTAGGTCTCTTCTCCTCCTGCCAATACTTGCTGACTCTCATTAACCATGAGCGTAGGGAAAGTCATTTGGAGGGGAACCTCAACAGTCCTTATTCTCTAAAAACAAATCATGTTTGAGCCTTTTTGTCACCACAGAAATAGGATTTCACGCTTCTCTGCTTCCTTCCTAATTATTATATGCAATGAGTCAGCTCTTCTAATTCCGTTTCTGTGGTTTCCTTTAAAGTATGAGAGGCAGGAGGGTTTGTTTTATTTGTCTGATGGAAGTTGTTCTGATTTCAGCTTGCTTGTCATTCCTAGTAGGAAGGTTTAGTACTGTTGGATAGCACAGCTTCTGCTCAGATTTTGGTCAGAAGCTATTAGAGAACAGACAATTGCCCAGAAGTGTGCCCAAGGACTGGCTTCGCAATAGTAAATACTAAAAGAAGCCAATTGCATCTGGAGCTTTGAAAAAGGAGACAAATATTTAAAATATAGTCTGGCTCCCATCCTAGTGCTGAGGCCCCAGAGGGGAAGTTAACAAGAAGCAGGACCTGTCTGTGTGTGTGTTAGCTTCTCTTTCTTCCTCCTCTTCCCACAGTGGATGCATGCTCTGGAAATCTGTTTGTGAAAGGAGGTAGGAAGGGGGTGAACTATCCCAGTCCATTTCATGGCTCAATCTAACAATTTTTTTAAAAAGCTTGTTTTGCATTAATATTTAGTTACTTTTCTATGTTACACAAATCTAGCGTAACTTCTAAATCTAATTTGTGTCTTAATTTAGTATGAGGCGTTCAGTCAATAAATATGCATGCTGTGCTAATCACTTCAAAATCAGTTCTGGCAGTCAGTCTACCATGTGCTCTCTAGGGCTGTTTATGCTGCCTGTTTGCCCACCATATAACTTTGATTTTTGCTATTTCCCAACTGAAAAAATACACAACATTTTATTGGGGTAGTGTTCAATGCCCTAGTTATAGATTATTATGCCACAGAAAATGTAAACATAATTCTTATCCCTAAGAGCTTGAAATTTGAAGTGTAAGACAAGCAAATAAAACAAAAACAGACGGACTAGGGAATTCAAAGAAATGAGATTATATTCATTAACTTGCTGCCAGCCTAATTGTAGTCAGCTTGTGAAAAAGCGATAACACAATCTAAGGGAAAGATTAACAAATTAATCTCTACAGAAACATTCTGAGTATGCAGCCTTCTATGTGTGACAGTCACAGTAAATGCCTAAGAGCTGGATGAGTGCTTTTGCTAGACTTGTGTATCTCAGCCATGTCTGTATTTTGCCATGATCTAAGTGAACCCTCTTCAATATGTCGTTCTCATAACAAGTCCAAAGCAAAGATGATGCCCACTCTGAGTCTGAATGGTGGGAAAGGGAGGAGGCTTGAAAATAACAAGTTTACCTAATTTTCAACACAAAATTGCAGTCAGTCATATTTGCAGGGGCAGTTACCTTTAAATAACAGGCATGGTTAGGTCAAAGAGTGCGTTTAGTGGAATTCTCACAAAGTGTATTAGGTAGAAAATGCAGGAGGGGCGATTACTGCAAGTGTTCCTGACTTTAAGTAAAAAAACAAAAAAACTGAAGCTACTAGCATGAGCACACAATTTATGTATTATGGAGGAAATCTGTGTAAGATTCTAAGACTGATCATTTATTTAGTTTATTAGACCCCTGGGTTTGGCTGGCTACCGGATTTCTGAATTTCAAATTTTATGTCATGATGGAGTTAGCAACTCTCCTGTCATGAAGCATCTGACGAGCTCATCAGCTCTTTTCAGTGCAATTAGTAATTGGTTTATCTATAAGGTAAAATCCAGTGTAGTTTGAAATGAACTTCAGAATAATTTAGCAAGGAAATCTCTCCTGGACAACTTTGCAGCATTTGTTACTCTCTGAGAAAATAGTGTCTGTGTAGAAAAACACAAACTTTCCTTCCTTGCATTAGTCGTGTTTTCCCACATCTTTCTAAAGGCTGAATTACATTCTTTTTCTTATCAGAAAAAGAAGGCGTTAGGTCTGCTTAGCTTGGTACTGAAAGAATAATGAGGTGTTTTAAATGAAACTTCCTTGTGCACATAAAAACAAAGAGCAGCTAACAAAGCTGGTAATGAAGTTTACCTTCAAGAGTACGCCTCTTCTTTAAGATTTTCATTCTCCTTTGTCTTTAGGAGTTTCCTGCTAGCAGCCATTTTCTGTTCATTTAATACAGTGAAGTAAATAATAAGAGTATTTCCAATGAGTCATGTAGGCATATGAATTAAAAGTTTTCTTCCTTATGCACTGGCAGCACGTCATCTTACTTCGTGTTTCGTTTGACTGGTTTGACTCTTGTTTTTGATTTTCCTATCCGATGTTGTTTAAGAAAATGATCTAGATATATTCAGAATTTGTCATGGAGTATTGTATTCTGGGATCATCAGAAATGGGCCAAGTTGTACCATGTATCGCTGTCCAGAAAGCCAATTTCCTTTCTCTGTTGTGGTTTTGTTTTGTTGGTGTGTTTGTTTTTCCCAGAAAGAAGGCTAGCTTTATTCTTTTTTTGTGTGGTTGCAAGATAATCTATATAACTTGAAACCATTTTTCCTGTATATATTACCATTTTTCTCCTTCTCTTAGTCTTCCTGACCTAAAACAAAATGGGAAAATGTTTGCTATATTTACTCTCTTTCTTAACCTTCATTTTAGCAATGTTGCAAATGTAGCTGGGCTTTCAACCCAAGAGTTTCAAGATTTCTAACGCATCTTCTGTCACCAAGACTTCTGGGAGAGAGGGTGATTTTTAAAAATAATACTCACTTCAAAATTTCTAATGCTTGTATCCATGGAAACTGGATAATGGGGAATGCCAGACAGCTGCAGTTGCTCAGATTTTTCTCTTCTAAAATTTTATCTAGGTCTGTCAGTACAAAACTTCACAGGCCATTTCCCAGTCTGCAGCATTGCAGATTGGATCAAACTGCATTTGAGCTTTTCTCTAAAAGACACCCCGAGTCTGCTAATGTAATTTTGTTTTTTTAACTCCTTGTAGAGTGTTATTTAACAAACTACACATTTAAGCTAACAGCCTCAAACAGATAATTGTATGAGCATTTTAACAGCTGGACAGCAGAAGGTTGAGACTTACATAGGGTCACAGATGTCAGTTGCAACCCCGAGAAAAGAAAATGAGTAATGCCTAGGGAATTGTTCCCTGTTATTCACACAGAAGCTGATGGAAACTTGACCATTGGTATTATAGAGAATAGCATCAAGAATTGAACTGAATACATTTGAAAATCCTCTACAAATAATTCTCACTTACTGGCAGTATGCATTTTTAATAAAACTAGCTTAGTAATGCAGTAATGTTTGTGTCTTGATTGCAACTTCATGTCACGTTTTTTAATGAAAATTTATAAAATATTTCAAAGTATTATCATCTTATATTAGACTTATACATTAAAAGGCAGTTAGTATACTAAAACTTTTATGTAAAAGCTTTAATCCCACTAATAGTTTAATACAGACAGATTTTTATTCAAGAGTAGTCTTAATTAAATCTGTTACTAATCTTACATTTACTGTGCGTGTTAAGGACTGCATAAAGACAGGATCTGAAATGGAGGTCTGCGGTGCAAACCACAACGTGTGCCATCCTTGAGCTATGTAGGCTCAAGAGACCAGGCTTTCTAAGGTTTGTATTACTGTTTTTATTTGATTCTTTGGCCAAAGCTGTTGACTTGAGTGAAAATTTGGAATATGTTTGCTAGGTCTTGAATGTTGCAGTTGTCAGTGAGGCAGAGGAGTGGTTTTGTTATCTACAAGGCTGTTTTTCTGAAGTCTAAAATTGATTTTAAATCTTCTTGTAAGAAGCTCTGAATAAAACAGATGTATGGCCTTAACAGATCCCTGACTGGGATGCAAATGAAATGCACTGCATCTTGCCAATGAAATAAAAGCAGGAATTATCTTTCTAAGATTGTACTGGAATTCAAAGCACTGATTCTAGAATTATACAGCTCTTAAGTATATAGAATAATTTTCTATACAGTAAATGCAGTACTTAAGAAAAACAAATGAAAGCCTCTTTGTTTTTTATATATTTTATGTGAACTGCATGAGTATTCTGGATTTGGTGATGTCTTTGCAAGATGGGGGCGTGAGTTAACTCAGTCTAGAAGTTAATGCTAAAACAAGCTAGCCACTGTCATCTTTTGCCAGCTTAAGACTTCCTCTACATGCAGCCCATGAGATCAACATGGGATCCCTAGACAAGGACGATACAGTGTTCAGGGTAGTTATGTCTGGCATTCTTCAGCCTATCCTAAGATACTGTACTGCAATGCAAAAATGTGAGAAGGGGCAGCAGCCAGTTAAGGTGAAAATAGGATCTTTGAAAATAAATGCTGACTGCATGGGATCTTCTATCTGCAATGTCACATTGTGAAGATTTGGTGGGGAAAAATGCAGTTTAATATAGAGACAATTTTTAGGATAGACCAGGTGAATGCTTTTGCCAGCCCAGGTGAGCAGTGCTTAGGTCATTTAATGGTTGCCACTAATCTGAGGCTCAGGCATTTATACTTTATCTGTGCCTGTCCCTATTCTGTCTGTGCCAATGCTTTGAGATCTGACTTAAGTGTCTGCAAGAAAAAACTGATATGTATGAAATTTGCAAGCTTTTACTCATGCATGTTTAAAATATCTAAACATTGGTTTAAGAACACATAGGAATGCAGATCAGGTGATTTTCTTTGTCTTTTTCAGTTAATTCCATGTTAATTTCAGGCTTCCTTTCAGTCTCTGAACATTGCTATAAAACAATTTGTGATTATGCTGTTGTCAGTGAAGGCATAGCTGATTTAATTTCTAAGCAATGAGAATGAGCTGACATGTCCTCCATCTCAACTCTTAGATGAAATATTAGAACGTAGCATTCTCACACAAATGGAACTACAAAATATTTTTGAAGACGTGATTTGTTATTGAAGCTGGGTACAAAACAGGATTCCAGCATAGTAGGCCTTCTAGATACAAACTAAATAATAATGTATAATGATATATTAAAAAGGATATCTGGCATGTCAGCTATAAATATCTACCTATGCTTTTGCCATTTTTAGGCAGGTTACATAAATTTTAATCAACTGCTTCTGTTTTTCAAGGCTCCTCTACTTCTACTTGCAAATTGCACTGCAGGTAGAGTAGTGATGGTGCACTACGTATTTGAGTTTGTCAGTTTGCCACATAGCACTTACTTTGGAAATGGCTCTTAATGTCTGTTATTTATATTCAGTGATATGCAAGGTATTTTTTCATGAGTTCTGAAATAAAAGCGTTTAAAGCAAATTAGAAGGTCAACTACAGTAGAAGACTTGAAAATGTAATCAGATAATACTTAATCCTGCAATGGGATGTGTCACCTAAAGGCTCCAAGATACAAAATGAGTTCTTACAAGTACATTATTAATCTGATTTCCAAGGTAAGGAATACTCCAGTACTGGGGGTGAGATAATGATAAGGAAAAAAATGAATTCATGAAAAGTAAATTCATTTTGTCACCTGAGGCTTGACCCAAAGCTCATGTGAAGTCATGCAATTGATATGGAAGCTGGCGGACAGGATCTGAAAACCTGCACTGTAAAGAAAGCTGAGATTTACAAGAGTTAGCAAGCTTTCTCCTTTAGTCTTGATTTCTGCCATAAAAAGACAGGAAAGTCAAAATGCTAAGTCCGAATAAGAAGAAAGTTTCAGAAATCAATTTCAAACAAATACTATATGTTTTCACATTCTGATAACTCTTACTATCAATTTTTTTATAAGCACAGTTTTCTGAGAAACTTAACTTCTGAGATTAAGTCTCACAAGGATGTATTTGAACGTTCAAAGGAAAATTTGCAACAAGCTTTGTCATTCTATGCTATAACATACAGTTCCAATATTTGTTTACACAAGCCATGAAAAAATTAAGTACCTTTTTTGCCTAAGCTCTGCAGCTGTCAGCTGAGTCTTGTCTGTGCTCTGCTCATAACACCTTGTATAGAAGGCATATAATCTTCTGACCTGAGTGACTGCTAATTTCTGAAGAAGCTGTGCCATAGCTTCAAACTGGAATGGGAAGTGCAGTTGATTACTTTAGCAGTCTTCTTTACGATTTTTTAGATCTGCTCCAAATATCTTTTCCGCGCTGTATTTTTTTTTTTCCTTTAGGCTTTAGAGCATGCTGGAACAGAATTCATCCTGAAAGTAACACCAAAGTATAATAGTGTTACACTTGTTAAAAGAGCTATAAAAGAGTGTTTCAGCTCTGAAGAATATGTGCAATGGGGGCTGAAGGCTGATATCACAGTGAGTAAAAATCACACAAAAGACACTATTCCTGTTTCTACATTTGGTATCTATTAATGTTTGTCTTGCACTAGTGTTTGGAGGCCAAACAGTGCATCATAAATAGCATTAAAAATGCTTTTGAGGAAATAAATAGGTGGAAAATGGCTAATTATCCACATTGTCTCATGATCTCTCAAAGAGAATGCTAGAAAAAGGGGACTTGGTAAAACAGCATGTTTTGAAAAATATTCTAAGATGTGTGCTTACTACCTATGTAATCACTGATCTAGGGCCAGCTGGAGCTTTGCATGTAATACTAAAAACCTCAAAAAAAAAACAAGCTCAGCAGGTGGAAGATTGTTGTACCCAATTAGCTCCTAGAACAGTACTGTTCTGAAATTAAAAATTTTAAGATCTGTTAAATTGCTGTTACACAATATTAAATGTATTAACACAGCACTCTATATCCAGCAATCACTAATGACTGCTTCTGCTGCCTTCTCCTTGACTTCCCCAACCACTGATAAATGTATTCCAGCAGCACAGCAGAAGGTTGCCACTAAAGTCAATAGGACTGTGTGTGTAACTCTAAAGTATTTTTATTTTTATTTTTTTTACAAGCATTTGATATTTTAACTTATCAAAATAAAGCATTTAGCATACAGTATTTTCACACATTTTGGAGACAGAAATATTTATTTTGAAGTCCTTCATGCATTGATAGCTCATTTAGAGTTTTTGTCACTGATGTTCATTTTAAATAGGTTTCCTTGCTTTCTTTTAAAAAAAAAAAAGGCTACAAAACAATGTTTTATCTTATTATCATGTGTTTCCCTTTATGCAGATATTAAACAATTAGGAAAGTAGTTGTGTTTATTGCTGGAGATTAAAGAAGTTATTCAGTTGCAGTGAAACCTGTGTATCAAGTTATCAGGTTGAAAATTAAAATCCAAACAGCAAAGTGTGAGTTGTGAATGGAAAAGATGATTTTTATCCAAAAATATAAATTATTTGTAATTTACCTCCATTTTGTGTGCAGAATCAGGAAAAAAACAGTAAATCACGGTTTTACACTGTTGCAGTTTGTTATGCCTTCATTAATTACAGTATTTCATTTAGAATTTACAATAAACTTCTTTGTAATTATAAGTAGAGGTATAAAAGCAGAATCTTACATTATATGTCTCTAAGACACCAGCTATGTTAAATGCACAATTTAAGATCACAGGTACAATGCCTTTCAACTTAATCAAATATCATGTGCTTTCAGTATGCTTCCATGCTGCATAGTTGAGAAATGAAAAATAAGGGGCACTTAGTGTCTCTAATGGCACTTCTTTCAGCAAAGGATGGTGTGCATTTGTGTTACTAACCAGGGTTACTTTTCAAAACAGTATTTTAATGCATGCCTGAAAATGTTTAACAGTGAATAAAGCAACAATTACTACACCGTGCTTGAAGCTTTAGCTAATAGTACAAGGATCATCATTGCTTGTTTTCACATCTCCTTCTAGCAATAAACTGATCACAGCCTTACTCAAGTAGCTGCATGTTCCCTTTTTTCCAACTGGATGAGTGTTGTAGAATGCAGTCATGTCATCCTGCAGGACAGGGAAAAGACATTTCTGTGAAATGCTGATTATGAAAAGGAGAAACACAGGTGAACAGCTGGAGTATGAATATGCTAGAAATGCAAAATGTGTTTTAAACTCTAAAGATATAGCATACTTCTAATCAATTTTCAGAAAACAATTTTTACATTTACTTAATCTGAACCTGTGGAGAAGGGATTTATAAAACATACTGCATATATTTCTTTACTGATTTTTTCAGTGCTGGACAGATAGTGCCTTTTTCATATTTTTTTTTTAAGTGTAATAGATGACAGAACTGCTCCCTTAAAGCACGCAAACAAATGATTACTATGTGGTAACACTATGCTACCACAATACCATTATGATCAGGTCCTTTGGTGTACACACAGATGCAGACTTCAGATTTATCAAAAAATCAATAAAATCTAAGAAGCAAATCAGGGTAAGGGGTAGCACATGAACTCAATCAGATAAGATCAGCAAATAGATCTGCTTCACTAAACACCTGTTTGACTCAGTTAATGATGTTAAAACAGCTGCTTATTCTTAAATTATGTATTGGCTGTTTTAATAAAGGTTCATTTCTAATTCAGGAAATGTGTTACTTTCCAATTACTTTATTAAATAGCTGAGATTGTGTGGTGAAAATATTAGACCTATCACAGTTTTAGGGTATGTTTGAAATTACTGGAGTAAACACCTGTGACATTTATTACATGTTAAAATGGAAAAATGTTCAAAATGTTTGCAAATCAGTTTAATGGAAGATCATTCAGACAAAATCAGAATCTTAAAACTTTAGAGAAAATAGGATATGATCTTCAACTAATTCATCTCTAAAGAGATTAACTCAGCAACAGGAACTGCTTTTGCATATCTATGTTATAAATCAATAGAACTTCCCAGTCGATCACACCTTTGAATACACTGCGCATAACAGTGCCAGACTGAGCAAGTACAATCATCCCCAGGAGCAGGGTGCTTGTCCCACTACTTTTAGTCATTTCATTCTTCAAGCAGTCAAATCAACCTGTCCTTATTATAGAATTTCAGAGCTTTGAAGCATCAGTACTTGCAGTGAGAATATTCAGAGGTCCTTAAAGCTTAAAACCTTTAAGGTTTCTCCTTTAATACCATCAATATTTCTTTGGTCACTGTCTTTCTTCGTATCTGTGCCCATAAGATTCTAGGTTCATGCTTGCTGAGTATTGGGTTTTTATTTTTTACATATTTATTCTTAACTCTTTTCTGTTCTAGTTTTGTCCTGCAGGTAACTCTTTCCTCTTGTAACGAATATCCTGTTTCAGCTTTACCCACTTCAGAGCTGGCTAACGCTGTGGTCCCCTTACCACATGGATTTGAATTTGCAACTCAAAGTATATGTTTTACCTCTGCTTTTGGCAAATTTATGCAGCATTAACACATGCAGAATTAACAATTACAGCTAACTGGAGGTAGAATAGTAAATTGTGTTTTACTTACCTGGTGTTCAGCTTCCTTTGGCCTGTTGTGATCTTTCTGAAAGTCATGAAATGCTTCTTGTACAACTTTGTCCAAGTCTACTTTGTCCTGGAACTCTAGCTCTGGATTTCTCTCCAAAATAACAGATATAACCATCAGCAACTATAAGGCAGAAAAAGACTTAAATTTAATTTGTTAAAGTTCAGGTTCTATAAGCATTGTAAACAAACACATATTTGTTTCAAGATGGAAACAACTTAATAGTGGCACAAGTAATAGCCCACAAATAAGGATTACTGACTATGGATGAAAGAATCATTGAAAAAGGAGGATTTCATAAAAGATTACTATTTCAGATGGCATCTAGTTAAGGACAAAACCTAAATGACTGACATCAACATCTAACTTCAGGAGGCAGGGAAGTTATTTTCCAGATTATTCATCTCAGGGAGCAACCACAAATAGTGGTGGCTCAAGCAGCAAAAACAATGAAAAGCATTTGATGTATAATCACACATGGTATAATTGCATTACAAGCAAAGTCATAAAAAGTACAGCCAACAGCTGTAAAAAGCATTAAGTTTGATAGAATTTACATTCCCTGTAGCTCAAAGATAGGAAGATGACCATGTTAAGTGACTTGCAGAAGTGGGCAGTAGAATCTAGATTGACCATCATTTGTTTGGTAACTGTGTTTTGTTTGTAGCAAAAAGTTGACTTATTCCAGCAAGCAGCATGACCAGCAGCTGTTAACCAGAACTAAGATGGATTTAAATTATTTTATTGTGCAAAGGAACTCACAGGCACCCTAGATGTAGACTTGGGAACTGACAATGAACACAGCTGACAGCACAGGTGTCAGTTACCAAAGGTACACATGCACTTGATCTGTCCAAAAAGTATCCATTATTAGCTGCACTGGTAAGAAAAGGAGTTTAAGGAAGCCTTTTGCTTTACATAGGAGACTTTTGCTGGCACACAGGGAGACTGAAAGTTAGTTAAGTTTGTAACAAAGGCAACTTATTAGGCAGCCTCAGCAGTATGGGAAAGAAAAATCTATCACAGTGCAAACTGATGTTTTAGAGCAAGTTTTTCCCTAGATCTGAAAACTTGGTGGGAAAAGGCCTGGACTATGGACTTAATGGAATTAGATATCTCAATAGCTTTTGCACACTCTGACCTACATGGATTGGCATTGTCATTAATATTTATCTACCTATTGGCTAAGAAAGAAGAAAAACATCACAGACTCAGTGTATGTTGAACATGCTGGCAGCAACTTGTTTAATCAGAAAACAATCCATAGAAAAAGCACTGAAATATAAAAAATTCTGTTTGTATTTAAAATGCTATTTCTATAAATATTTGAGCTTTTTAAAAATTATTTCCTTTTTTTTTTTTTTTTTTAAACAAACTCACGCACAGCACAAAGTTTCCTTTATTGTTAAGCCACAGACCTCTACAATGATTTGCCTGTATTCTGGTTGGTCAATATTTTGCAGCATATCTTCAACTAGGAGGGAAAAATTCATTTCGTACATCGTCATATCCGATAAGGTTGGTTGCTGAAAAGTAACAAATACTTGTATTAAGTGAAGATCACCTGCATTAAATTTAAATCACTCCTCCACACAACCCCCCAATATAGGCTGTTTGTTTGTTGAATAAATAATATACAGCCATCAAAAAGGAAGCATATTTCAGAGTCCGTGGCAACACAGCTCTGGAAAGGGTATTTTAGTCTTATGATCCTACAGATGTGTTTTCAAGTAACTGACTTCCATTCTTTTCTAATTCTATTTTACCCAGTAAAGTGTACTATGTATGGCAACATACAATTAAATATTAGCAGTAAAATAGTTCTCCTTTAATTGTAAGGTAGAGCAGAAATAATTGAACACCTCTGCGTGCTTTACCTGTGGTAAAAATCTCCCTGCTACTATTAAACCATTTGGAGTTCTCTCCAAGATTTGCCACACCCTGTCATAGAATCCAGCAGGAGTTCGATTGAGAGAACCATCTATTTGTCGTCTGTTAAGCCAGCCTCTGTGGACAAAGAAGGGAAAAAAAGTTTTACATTCAGAATGAGGATGTGTTCTGTGGTGTAAACCATAAGGTAAGCCGTGATAGCTAATGCCTTCTAATGAGGCATATGCAGCACACATTGTGCTTCTTGAGAAGTTATGCTCTGAAGAGGGAATAAAATCCACTTGGTGAAGAACTGCAAAAGTTAACAGTGTTGTTATGTGCCAAAGTTAAATTAAACTTAACTAGAAATTTAAATCTATGGGAGGACTTCTGACTTTAGCCTTACTAATACAGCTAAGTGGAAGTACTGTAATTAGAGCTTGTTTTCTTGCACACTAATGCACTTGGATTGGCAACAAGTTACAGCTTAGAGAAAAGATCACAAGTTACAGGAAGCAGAACCTTTCAAGTATTGTAGAAAAAAATCATAATACAAGAAGCTAGAAGAAAGGGCACTGAACAGCATACATGCTGTTCTTACAAGTTACTTAAGTAGATGGTACTGAGTAATTTTGGCTCCTGTCCCTTAATGAGGGCATCAAGGAATATAATGCTTCACAGTACTACCAAAGTGTATACATAATTACTATTAGGTAAGGCTTCCAAAAGGATAGAAATGAACAAGGAAGCTGTGATGTAAAAGGAACAATTGTAGAACTTGGTTACAGCTGAGAAAATGAAAAAGTGCATCTTTGCTACCTCTCTTTAAGTAAATTGCTCAGTGATGGCACACACTTTAGTGTACCTCTTAAATGGGCAGGTATTTCAGAAACGCAAATTACTTGAACAGTTTATTATGAATGAGAACAGGTGCCACAAATCCACAAATCTCATTACCTCCCTTGCTGCTGTGGCTGAAGAATATCCAACAAAAGCTGCTTCACTTCACTAGGGGACATCTGGTACAAGTCCTTGGCTGGCATATCCCCTGCACGGAATTTCAGTTCATACTTCATGGCATGGATAATCCATCTGAAGTGAAGGGAGGAAAGCATTCCTTAATTAAATGTGAAGTTTCGAAGGAGGAAAATTTAGTCTGGTAGAATACGTCAAAATCCCATGTGATCCTGCTATTATTATTTCACAAGGACATTGAAATAGCATCATACTGCTGTTTGTACTGTTATGTGGAATTTTTCATTTGTTTGCAGTATGATTATAAACTGATAACAAAAATGAACAGATTTTTACAAATGGGTTGTAAAGCATACTTCTCAAACGATTTCACCACATACATTAAGACAAAAATTTACTTAACTTTTGATGTTGAAATGCCTACTTAGAAGTGTATTCTTGAAAGTATGTGTGTTTTGCTGGTGTTTTTAAGAAAAAGCTCAATAATTTTACATTTAAAAAGATTTCAGGGCTTCTTAATAGCTTTAGCTTTTAAAATTCCTCTTTCCTGTCCATCACACTTCATTCTTTTGCTATTCCCTTTTAAAAAAAGATTTGATTAAATAAAAACATGGAAATTGTGAAGATTTTTCAGCCCTAAGGACTAGGAAGGCAGGACTTGGCAAATTATTAAAGGGAAAAAGATTATTTTAATTCTACAAATAAAAATAATGCTGCAGATTCTAATAAAATTTAAAAGACAAAGTAAATCTATGAAGCAGGATAACTGAACGTGGACCTCATTCACTTACCCTCCACACTGTTTCAGTTCAAGTAGTTATTACAATCAAAAGAGAAAAGAAACATAAGTAGTTTTTCTTCAAGTAGTCCATCATCTAACACCTCATCAAGTTTAGGATATGTCAAAGAGCTGTTTACTCTCTATCAGAGAAAATGTGAAGTATTCCTAAAAGGTTTACCTTGTCACCAATATAGCCACATTTGGCAGGTATTTTATTACTTTGCCTAGAAAGGAAATAATTGTTTCTCTAAGTCAGGTCATGGTCTTTTGGACGGAAGGATTCTTAGTAGTTTCATAGGCTTCTGAGATGTCAGGCCAACTAATTCAACCTTGCTTTACATTTGTAGTTCCTAAGATTATTCACTGGACGTACAAGATACAGCATAATATTAGGCTTCCTGGGCATACCACATTATCCAGAACATACAGTTTATTTACTTTACTGTGTGAATAAGCATCTTGTTACTAAGATTAAAAGCAAAACTGGTTTGAATTGATTCATTTTTTACTGTCAATTCAACTGTATCTTTGTGCAAGTTGTTCACTACTCTTTTCTGTTTGCAGTGGCCTATGCGACACAGCAATGTGAAGAATGGGCCTCTTACTGAACTCTTCACAAATAAGGGTGGGCAGAAGTCAGATGATTGGAAGGTTTTACAGTAATAGGACTGTCAGGAACTTGATATATTTCAACATGAAACACTGAAAACAAATCAATAACAAGACACTAAATCAAATCATTATCAAACTGGAATGCTCCTTCTGTGAGAAGGTTAATTTTGCTCACTGAAATGGGTGATAACACTGGAATAAAAAAAATTGAATCTCCAGAATTAACCTTGGAAGAAAAAAAACTGTAAAAAGGATAAGCTGCAGCTGATGAGAAAAGGGAAGAAGATTAACGTGGATTTGTAAAGGCTATAGAAAAGTATGTAAGTGCAAAAGAACAGATATACTTCCAGTTAAATGTAAAAAAGTCATGAAGTTTTCAGTTTCATAATGACCCAAAAGTAATACTAAATTAGAATCAGGAATCTTATACGCTAGAAAATAAGACTGCAAGTATACAGCTTCAGTGCTGAAATGCTGTGTTTTCCCTATCAAAAATATGGATAGATAAATTCTAATCTTAAAACATTTTCAATAAGTCTGTAAATCTCAGTCACTAGGACCTGCTGTCTTCAAAGAAGTGCTTATTCAAATGCATGTCTGTTCCTAACTGTGAACAAAACAGTTACTGTAGATAGCACTGCAAATACAGATACCACAGAATACGATAACATTCAACCTTAAGCTATTTGTAGGCCACATTATCAAAGAATTAAATAGAACAATCCAGGCTGTAAATGATGTTTCACACTTGAATCAGGTTTGGAGTTCCTAAGCTCTGTATAGCTTACCCTTGATAAGCAGTCAAGAAGTATTTTGCCTATCCATAGTAAGGATAACATCACATTAGAGGCTCAATCATTGCAGATTAAGTGTTTTTGTGTAGAGAACTGCACTTGAACAATGTCTTCTTTCTGCCAGATATCAGGTACACTATCTAGGTGCCTCAGAATGTTCTAGGAAATTCTTTACTGGTACGTGCATTTGAACAACGGAAAGCTTTTGTTACCTGAAGTTCCTATTACAGTCAGCGCTAGAGAAGAACAAGCTTTCTTTTTAGGTAGACTGTAGTCCTGCAACTCTGAAAACAAATATTTTAAGTACCTTGAAACACTGCTTCCAAGGGATTTGTTTCTCATAGTTACTGGACTTGATTTCGTCAAAACTGTATTACAAGCTCACTATGTTACATGCTCAGCACTTATTGGAAACATACGTAGGTACCTGCTTGAATGAGCCAGAAACTGTGAAAGAAAGGCTTCACTGCTTCCATGGCTATTAGGTAAGTCAGGAAGAATGTTCTGGCTTTTGGATGCTAGCAGGACTCGGTGACCCAGAGAAAGTACAATTCCTGGAGCCCCTTTGACAAACAGAAACCCCACTACAGTATTTATGGTTTTGAAGCCCTAACCTGATCATTATTGAGCATTTAAAAATACCACAGTTTACTGTATTAGCTTATAGGAAAGCTTCAAATGAGGTATTACAAAGGCTGCCACTCCTCCGCTTTACACTGTTCACTGGCAAATTAGAGAGCGGTTTTTTGTGAATCCAGTTCTGGCACACTAATTCAAAGCAGGCTTCTTAGAAATGTAAAGCTGAAACATACAAATTTTGCTGCATCATCTCATATAAATCTTTGTTTCAGTGTAGCAACAATCTCTGTTGAAGCACATATGTTTACTTGCCATGTTAGTAGTAAGTGTAATAGATACTGTACTGACCCGATCCGTATCTTCAGCATGCCACTGAAAAGCTCTGGTGAATTTGAGATGATCCAGCCGATATGTATGACAAGTTCCTGCTGAACTACAGCTTCTCTTTCATCTTGTAACTGACATTTTTCATAGATGATGTTCTTAATGACTGCTGGGGATAAGGGATTAGAAATAACTTCTTCCTCATGACCAAAAGCTCCAAATGTCACCTACGGTATATTGAAAACAATTCAGAAGAATTGGAAAGGAATAAAAGCACCACAGAAGCAATTCAGAAACTAAACTTCATGAATTCTGCTTTTTACAGTACAAAAATAATTCAATGTCAATGCTTGACAATTGTTAATACTGTTAGTTGGATAATATTAAATAACAAAATTCAATAAAGATCAAAAAAAATATGGAGAATGTCTGTCCAAATTAAAACTAAAGTGCAAGTGTGCTGCTTGCTTCAGAATCAGGCATATAATCAGGACTGTACAGCAGGCTTAGATATTCATTCATTTCTGATATTCCAGCTCCACAGCTGTCACATAAAGCTAGGAACTTAATTCTGAACTTTGTTTTCTTATTTCTGTGAGCATTCTAAGAGCTACAGCCTTCATGATAAGAAACTATTATGCTGCTGTACTGGATTGTTTAACTGCACACACCCTCCAAAAAATCTTTCTATTAATTGTCAGTGAAACACACGGTATCACTATTTTTTCTCATACAATAAGGATCATTAAAAAGGACTTGATTAAGACAAGTTTGTTAAAAACTTGAAAGTAAACAGCTGTAAATCATGTTCCATGCATATGCCAACTTCCTCAATAGCTGCAGAGCACTAGAAGTACACAACATGGAATGGCCATCAACATGGAGTAAAATAAGGACAAATCAGTTATCATAGCATTCCATTTAGGTAAATATATGCATATTTTATGATAAAAATAAATAATATTCAACTACTGTTATTTGGAGATCGCTCTTCATAAACTTAATTACAATTTTTGTACTAGCAGATAAAAAGTGCTCCTCAAGAAGGGAAGAAACACTGCTGATTAAAATCTATTCGGAGCAGAAACCTGAAATCCTGAAAGACTGTTTCTCAGCTATCACTCCTTGTGACAAATTAACTGACTTAAGCCCAATGACAAAGAAAGTGATTCCGTAGGCCTCAACACTCTTTACTTTAAAAAATCATTTTTAGTGATTGATTCCATCTCCTTTTGTGAAATAGAAGAGCATTTATAAGAAAACAAAGGAGTTAAGCAAATCATGCCTTATCCAGACACCGAACTGCCTTTTCAAGATCACTCTATTATTACATGAAAAGAAATTTATTAGCCCATAGTAGACGCAAGTATTAAATATAGCTTCACTGAATTCTTTTTCTACAGACAGCGTATTTTAAAACTATTGGTTACTTTTAAAAGAAGCATTAGCAAATTTCAAAATGAAAACAGCCATTTCTCTATTTTCTGTTATCACTCCTTAATACATTTCTGAAAAGTCAAGACTTACCTGTTTACCCTGAACTAAAACATTAGTAATAGATGGTGCAAGGCTGTCCACTAGTTTACCTAAAAGACTTGCTGCGAAGCGCACAACAGACCTGAGGGCAGAAAACAGAGCAATCCCACTACATATCAAAAGCTAGTTTAATGAATTCATGTATAGTTTTGAAGTCTGGCACAGCATTCAGAGATCTCAAAATCAACTGAATACATACATTATTTACAACATGGAATTCAGATTTTTATATTATCTGGATTGTCATTTTTTAGTTGAGATATAGGTTAACGGATCAAAAATGAATTAGTTAGAACTCATTAAACTACCTACAAACGCCACAGAAAGCTTGTTCTTTTCTCTGCATCATCTTCAGAACAGACAACAGATGCCTACATGTGACACGTCATTCATTTTGCAAGATAACTTGGTAACTTTTAAGACCACTTAACAATAATTTTGCAGGAGAAAGAACACATAACATCAAGGCTTTGTCTTGTTTTCCACAGTCAGGTATTTCACATGGAAAGAAGACTTGCGTAAACTGCTTGGTTTAAAACTGGCTTGTATAGAGACATTTTTTCATATATCCAGTTAAAATATATTTCTATTTTTAATAATAATTTATTTATAAAATACAAATTTAGTAGTTTTGTAGTGCAGGCTTTGAGGTTGCTAAGACTCATTCATTCTGTTGATGAATGAGTCATAACACTCCGCAGCGTTAGTATGAAATTCAAACAGTTGATGTTGATTCCTGCAAGAACTGCTATGCACTTATCAAGAGATCACGAGCAAAGCATTTCTGAAATGCATTAGCTGACAATATCAAAACGCACATAAGCCAAAAAAAATCTCACGGAGTTCTGTTTCAGACCTCTGGGCACTTTACCTGTTTCCCATGTACCAGTAAAGTAGTAATATGTGGGGTTATAGAAGAAGAAAATTTCTGTGCAAATGCAGCACTGTAGCGCAACACCAACCTATATGTATGTCAAATGGCAATCATGGGAGAGAAACAAAAAACAGTTTACATATTTTGTTTCTAGAAATACTGCTGGTTTTTATTCTTAAAAAAAAATATGACCGAGGTATTTTGGTTCTATCTTTTTATCTATTCCTGGCAAAGGCCCATTTAACAGCAGGAACAAACTAAAACAAAAAATAGTTTTTAAATTTAAAGACTCATCAGTTAGGAGTAGTCACAGAGAGGGAGAACAGAATTCAGGACAGGCTCAGCTCATGTTTTTGATAATAAGAAATAAAATTTCTATAAGCTTCCAGGCAAAGTAATTAATAAACAACATGTGAACCACCAGCCTACTTGCTAAGACCTTCTGAAGTTATCATGACAAAGTCAAGCTCAAAGAAAATTGTTTCAGGAGGAATATGCAAACTGCATGTGTACAAATATAAACTGAGTTATATTTGATCACCAGCCTTGTGACAGAAAGCTATTGGTATTATTTTGCCACACTCTGTAAGAAATAAGAATATTAATATTCTTATTTTTTCTCATTATTTGAATTTAACTACAACTGCATATCTGTATTGGTTCTCATAAGAAAAGCAGCTTAGTATTCCCTACTTGAAAAGATAACATTTTTTTTTTTAAAGCATTATAGACAAGATCTTCAGCCGCAGTGAAGCAATACAATTTTGTCAGAAAAGTTGTCCTTTTTTACTCTCCTCTAAGTGCATAAAGAACCACCTTTAGTCATAGTAAGCATATTAGGAAAAAAAACAACCATAAACCAGAAGGAATATGGTATCTATATACAAACCAGAGCTTCTTGCTGCCAGCTCGTCTATAGATTCTTTCAATGTGTTCAGCAACAGTACCTGTGTTATAAACACATTTATTCAAATTACAAACAACAAAATAACAGCAAAAACAAAAAACACATGTAAAAGATGCATTTTTTCATTTAATATAAGGTAATATTGCTGAGATCCGCTAATTCTGTATTAGCTCTAGTAAAGCACTTACCTATTGTGATTAACATCTAAAACTTGAGTTTAATCCTCTATTATTCAGTTGTTCTACAAGAAGCAAAAGCCAACTTCCACTTGATTTTCTGCCCCTGCTCTAGAGAGACTTGGTAGCACCTATTGTTGGGAGATACCTTAGGAGATCTTGATCTTAGCAGATCAAGGTACATCTCCATGATAAAGTACCTCCTTGTCAAACTGCAGATTTTACTTTGGATATGGGATGGAATAGACACTCTCCATGCTCTTTTGCCTCTCAGTTGAGATAAAAGCAACAGGCAAGTCTTGTGCTCGACAGTGTGGTTCATTCAAGTGATATTATGTTTGAATACAGGTTGCCATGGCTGATATGCAAGACAGGAGTTCTTTTCAACTTTGTACATAAACAAGACATCACCTGATCCATCATCTTGGACGTGAGGTATTCAAATTTCAAACACTGGGAGATTATGAAAGAGATGTTTTTGCACTGTTTTATGGTTCCATCCTGAATAACTACAGAAAGGTGATCACAAAAGCGAATACCAAAGCTACACTGTGAACTAGCATTGGTTACCTAAGTGCATTACAACACTCAGCTAGTGAAGCAAACTATCACCTTTGCAAAGTACAGAGGGAGGATATTTGACACACAAACACAACATTAAGTTGCTGCATTACTACTCTCCCTCTCCAAGATGATTTTCTGTATGCCACAACAAAAACATTTAAATAAGCGCTATGCATTAATGTTGTAGAAACATGACCTAAAAAATATAAAGTAAGACATAAGAAGAGAACTGTTTTAAACTCCAAGCAGACAGCCCAGAATATGGAGAAGACATGAGGTATAGGTGGATGTTACACTCATAAGAACAACGGATACCATTCTTTTGCCAGCCTACAGTTGATCACAGCGCACTGAGTTGGTATGCTGACATCTCCTCAGCTGTGTAGGAATCAAGTGTTAAAAGTGTCAAACATACCATTATTTATGCTTCATTTAGCTTCTAGATTCTAAGTTCTCAGATGGAACGCCAGTGATTCTCATGCAAGACACTTAGTGGTGAACAGTATGTTCGTCTATAACAATACTACTGGAACTTGATTCTCAAAATCATAGCTCATGTCTATCAGCAGGAATATCTAAAATCCTTCAGCTATTGTTTTCAGATTTATTCGTTATCAATTGTGTGATTATTTAATGTCAGTTATAGTATTCTCCAACTGTACAAGGACAGGAACTTTTAGCCAGTGACTCAGACTGTTTAATGCAAGGTACATATTAAGAAGTTTATCACCATCTACAGCTTCATATTGGAATGGTACAAAATGTCTAACCAAATTGGTCCTAAACCAAGTCCAAGGCCAGTGGTCAAATGTGGTTATGCTGGTTGCTTACAGAGTGTAGGAAGTCTACTCAAGTTGTTTTCAGAGCAAGGAAGAAAGGACAGAACCTACTAAGGGCTGAAGAATATGGAGATTCCCCAAGTCCAAAGATAGACGCAATGATGATGAAAAGCCTTCTTTAGAGGCTGCATGTGCTCCAGTTCTGACCATGACTTTAAACTGACACTATTTCAATAATGCACTGTGAAGTGTCCAATGAATTTTTCTCCATCTTAGATTGTTTTCCATGACATTCTTAATAGAGTAGTGCTGATATGAATTATGAAGCAGGGATCTACAACATGGAGTGGTAAGTTATACTGCTTCTGGAGTACCAAAAGAATATTATTTACTCATAGTGTTCCTCGTTTTCTGAGAAACGCTCATATATACCAAAGTAGCTAATAAACAGTCTGGGGGAAGGGGGGAGCGGGAAAACAAACAAACAAAAACTTTGCAGCCAAAAGTCACAGGTCCAAGTATCTTATTCTGAATTTACACAAATTTAAAGCTTGTGAGCTAATATAAAGCCATAACATAAAATTTAAGTAGAATAAATCTTTCAGACATACTGAATTAGCGCCTTATGACATAAAACTTAAAATGAAAACAAATATGCAAATTTGTCTTTAGTTTCAGTTTTATATCCAAGGTCAAATCCTCTATTTCTATATATATATTTGTTCAGAATTAGAAACAGAGCAACTGAAATCTACAAGAGTTCATATATTTAGCAGCTCATTCCTCACCACACTAGGAATTTGCACGTCACATTTAATGCTGAAATTGCTTTAGTTGCAAGGAAGATGGCTGCACAACTGCATGTGTTCATGGCCCTTATACATGTTCATTACAACTGAACATACAGCTGCTTCCCCAGATATTCAGAATTCTCATGAAAGAAGTTCTTACCTTCCTTGGTGATGAAATTCGGTCCTTCTCTTTTAAGCAATATGCTCAAAAGCAGCGCTTGACTTGCTAGACAATTGCAGTCCTTAAAAAACAGCAACCACATAAGCACAAGTAGCCTTCACATTTTCAGCAAAGCAAAATCAGAGCAATTAAAAAAAACTAAGTGAAACCAAAAGGCCTTGTTGCTATTGAAGATGTGTATATACATTATTAAAATTTTATTTTTAAGAGAACCTCACCACAAATATTTAATATGCTTATCATTTTCACTGCTGCTTGCAGAGACTTCTCCTTGGTTCAAATTTAGATGAAATAAGTTGGCTTCAGAAGCGTTACCCAATTTTCTACTCATGAATCCTGTCATTACAGCTGAAATACTTATAATGTCTTAGGGAACCATGAGGAATATTGTGTGTATTCCTATTGAATGCTGGATCTAGAAATGGTCAACAGCAGTTTCCTTCTAGATATGGGAAAAATACTAGACAGGAACTTTCCCTTGATAACATTAGGAAATGACCGGTTTATCATAGTGAATATCAACTGAAGTCTTTTGAGCATTAGTCTAGAAATAAAATATTTATTCATAAGGTGCTTGACTAATTGATCCCATTTTAGGTGGCTATTTATTACCACAAGATTTGGATAGCTGGGAAAAATGAAAGCCAACAGTTAGAGCACAACAAGCCAGAAAGTTCTGATGAGTATGAAGAGGCACATCACACATTTTATGTTACTATCCATATTACTAGCACTGAACCATACCAACTAATCGTGTTGATCTATATGGGTCACTTAAAAATAGCACCACTAGATAATATCTCATTTCATGACTGTGAAGTTGCACTGTATTTTTATCAAGGTTTCTTACATCAAGTTTCTGCAGAATCTCATACGTTGACTTGTTTTTCCAGTCATTAATATTTATGTCTGGTTGCTGCTCAAGTTCAGAAGCATTTGGAGTACTAGATTGTCTCTTGACTTTTGAATGTTTTGGAAGATCCAGCTCCTCTAAACTCTTAAATACAGGAGCCCTAGAAAACAAGAATTTCATTTCTCCACATTTCAGAAAACATTTTAATTATCAAATACTTCATCATTAGTATTAACAAATAGCCTTACTCTTCTGATTCAGTGATTCTTAGAAAGTCAAGTTGCTCCACAACTGCTCCAGATACTAATGTCTGAAATAAAAAAAACAATAGTTAAAATGTAAAAAGATGCAGAAATGTACATTAATATATATAGTGCTTTGCCACATTCTCAATATGTTGCTGCTGGTTTCCATTTGGAAAATAGTATATCTACAGTTCCAAACATCTTTACACTTCCACAGTATTTCTCTTTTTTTTCCTTAAAATCGCACAATTGCAGAAATCTCTTAGGACTGCTCTCTTTTTGCTGGGGTTCTTCTGTTCCTTTGCTTGCAATGTAAAACTTAAGCAGAGCCCAGCTCCACCATCCCCAAACACTACCTAATGAAAATATCTGACATCAAGGTCTCACATTCAAAGTTCAGCTATTACAAACCTGAAAATTAGTGTTTAATTTACCTGATATAGCCCTTACAGTTATAATTCACTGCAAATTCATATAAATTTCACATCTATATACCTCCACAGGAAACATCATACTACAGCATCTTTTGCTTTGATTATTCTCCTTAAACAAAATTGAGTGTGCTGTGAACGTTTAAATTCCCTTTTTAATTGTACACAAGTCTGCAGTAAGATATCAATCTGTTAAGCTGCAAGACAATTGAAAATAACATAAAAACTTGTCTTCCATTGTTAACGTTATCATTCTTTCCCTGCTTGAACACATCATGATGATGGAAACAGACAGTAAAGGTGAAAAGTGACAAAAGCCAGAAAACTGATAAGGGTACACATTTTTCACTGAAATCTCATTTTGAGTATTTTACAAGAGAAAAGACCATTCATCCAATTTGAGACACGTTCTATGTGAATGCATTGAGACATTACCTAAATGAAGCAGGTAAGTACAATCCACAAAGATTCCTTGTATCATTTGTTGGAATAGTTTAAGAAAACACCATAAGTTAGACAAGTCCCAACTCCTACTCCATAATGAACAAAGAGTGTTTCCAAAATGTGACAGCTGTACATTCAAGTACTGTAGGCTTTTTATTTTTAAATATGTTTCATTCAGAACTCTTATACCAAATATGTAACTGTAAGAAAGTTAAATTATAGCACTGTTACATTAATGATTCTCTCAGTAGCAAATCCCTTGGAAGTGATTTCTGCATAATTCTACTCACTGTGTCCATCTACAAAAGTTACAAGCCCTTCACTTCTGGAATATTAGCTACCATTAACCAAATCTGGCTTCATTTTGCCCTCAAATGTGATTGGTCTGTAATTTTGGGTTACAGTACAGTTATACACAAATGCAAGAGAACTGAAGCAGTGACAATAACAAATGAAAATCATGAGAGGGTAGAAAATGCCTGTGGTGGCCCTGTTGTCAAAAGAATAATCCAAATAACTTCAAGACAACAGCTTAAGTTAGGCTAACAGCAATCCTTCCTCCTTTCTCTTGTGCAATTCCTTCTACTAGCTCTGGCACATACCTGACCCACTGAGTACACGGCTACCTCTAAGCACCTGCAGCACCAGCCCTTAACTACGCCCTAGTTATTTTTCATGGTAAATCTTTAGATGAAATATAAGGGAAGTCACAGTACAAAGTTAACACATCATATCTTACACAGCCTTTTTGTTTTTCCAGTTACACTAAAGCCAAAAATTTGATCAGTTTTTCCATTATTATTCTTAATGGATAAAAAAATAAGCAAAAGCCAATGATTGCCCTCATCATCTTAAATACTTCAAAACTACTAGTTATCTAAATCGATTAAGTATGCAAGGGGAAATTCACCTCCAGATGACTGTAACAGTGAAGTGCTTAATATAGGGACACATTATGTAGGTTGAGAAATTTCTTGTCTGGTAATACATCAGTTTAATCAAATGCAAAGCAGGAAGGTCACTGCAGTTACAGTTAAGAATACAAAAACTGGAAAAATGCAAGATTTTACATAGACAATAATGGCATTTGCTATAGGATAAGTAAATGCTAACAGGAAACTACATGACCTACACATAACCAGTTAGAAACACAAATATTTGAAAGATAGCAAAGGTACTTTATGCCATTGTAGCTCTGAATATTTAATTTACAAATGACTCAGCTGTTTCTCAGATTCATGGTTTTCCAAGGTACAAGAAATATTATTTCTGTCATGGGTCTTGTCATCCCTCTTACGAAAAGAGGTATTATTTATTAGGTATAAGCATATATAAATACCTAAAATAGAACCTGACTCAGTAATGCTCATATTTTAATGAAGTAATGCTCCTCTGAGATTAATGCAAATGGAAAAGATGTTTAAAAAATAGGCCTTTGTTCTTCTAAAAATTTTAATATATATGAAACACCTTCTTCCTGTTGACAATCTAATTCAAAACCTATATTTTTGACATGGTGGTTTTTCCAGGTAATTTCGGAAGATTTCTGAACATAAAAACTTCTCCCTTCTGAGAATCCTCTGTGAAAATTATTGCTTTGTGAAGTCTCATCAGAACAAGCTAAAGTAATCCCATGTTTCTTCTAAGATAAAAGAAAAACTGTACCAGATGTCCTCGCTCTTGACTTCTTAATTTTCATCATAGAATCCTTTGAGTTGGCAGGGATCTTTAAAGGCCATCTATTATGTAATTTTATGATACCAAGTATTTATAAGTCACATGGAAAACAGAAGTAATAATACATGTACCAATACTAGGAGAGAAGAACATACCATTCAGGAAAAGCAGCATACCTGTACTCTGTCAACATGAACTTTCACTCCTCCAACAATTCCCTTTTTAAAGGCTGCTAGCATATCTAATATTGGATTGAATCTGCTCCCTCTGAAATTTTAAACAGAACATCATTAATCTTGTAGCTAGCAAAGAGTTATGCTGCAAATGATGCTTTTATCTTTCTCTACCTTATATTGTCTTCACGGATAAGTACAACAAACAGTGGACGACCATGCATTTTCCAATACTGCTTGATGAACTGCAGTGCATTCTAGGTAAGAAATACGTGTTAGTCACCAAACAGTAGAGCAGCACAATGTACAAGAATACACAAAGCTAAATACTAGACTAAATACTAGAAGACCTATCTTAAAGTAACAGCATTGAAAACCCCAAGAGATTGTAAAAACTTTAGCTAATAATGAGACCATTAATACTTTCAGATTTCTTCAAAGACAATATGTTATTTCAAGTATTCAGATTTTCTGAAAATACTGCTAGCAGATACATTGATCGCAGACTGAACTGATGGGCCAACTAGCATGTACTGAACTACGTGTAATGACCTAGGAGATATGCAGAGGAATCCAACTCTGGAATCACACTCATTATCACCAGCATCACCTTCTATGCACTGGGGACTTAACAGGTAAGCTGCACAATGCTGTCATCCTTAACATCATGGAAGGAAGTCAATTTTTAATAGGTGCACAAAGTCTGGTAATATTTCTTCCAGATAAGACTTCCATATTTCCCTTAAGCAGAACAGTCTCATTCCTTTCTGCAACCAAGAACATCTGTTTTCCCAAAGAAACTGCAGGTAATTTGCTTGCTGCACTAAACCTATCCCAATCACTATCAGTTTGTTGGGTTTTTTCTTAGATACAGATACTCACTAGAATTCATATTGGGCTGGCAGAATATTCACCTTAATAATCTAACAAACTGTATTATTTTTCATTAGAAAAACACACGTTATACAGTGTTCACCTTTCTGACTTGTATTTTATCAAACTTCACTGTTTATTCTCCTAGACTCTTATTTTTGTCAGTTTCTCAAAGGAAGAGTTACAGATAGATCTGTCTTACCTTAATGTCATCAATCAACATCATAACATCCTGAGACATGTAGAAATCACTTAGATCGAAAATAATCGAGTAGCAAACTACAGTCTTTCCTAGGATTCGATAAATCTATTGGGAGATAAAGCTTCAATTAATCTTTTCTTTAAAACTGTTCAAACATTAAAGTAGCTGAAATGAAAAAAGAACCTACGTTAAAACTAAACTATCAAGGAAATAGTTAATACAGAACAGTTGAACTTAAAAAACATTAAAAATAAAACCTATAAATCTAATTCCAAGCATATAGATTTTCGTAAGATTTGCAAATCTATACTCTAGTTAAACTGGCTCATGTCAACAATAGCTCTGTTTTGGCCAGCTATTACTGGAAATGCACGTTTAGGAAACCTGACAGTTTAATAGCAAGACAGCATGCACCTTCCTAACAACAAAACACGTTACAAATATTTTAATAAGTAAATATGAGCATAAAACAAAATAACACTTAAATTCTATTTATAACATTTTAGAGACTAATGCAATGTTTATCTGAAATACACATTTAATACCAATATTATAAAAATGTAAATATTTCTTTCACAACCTTTGATGTTCCAAGGCATCCTATAGGCCTGTCTGGTCTTCCAGATAATCCTAGTTTGTCATTGATTCCTAAATGGAAGTAGGCCTGTGAGAAATAAACATGAAAACTTAAGGAAACCTCATTACAAGACTTACTTATGCTCACACAGAAGTTGTGGGCATTCTACTGAGAACAAGATCCATAAAATATGTGTTTTTTTTTAAACAACTCAAACATGTGGGAACGACTCCTCTTCAAAGCACCACAGTCCTGCCTATCTATACTGTTTCAAAATTCAGCAACAACTTTATTATATTGCTTTTTTCATCTATAAAATCTGTAGTATTTTTTAGATCTTCAAGTTTTTCTGTAATGCTTTTCTTATGTGGGTATAAAACAGTAATAAAGGCCCTATACAAAGATTTTAGTTCTAATTTTAGTAAAGGCATGCAAAATTAATGCATCAACAGCAGAAACAAGAGCAAGTTACACCATTATTCATTGCTTGATTCTGAGTCTTATGAAATTATATATGCCTAACATTACTTTAAATAATATGATTTTCTAAGACTCGCATATTAAAAGAATAATCTTATTTTCTTACAATCCAGCAAAATAAACCATAAAAATGCAATTATCTGTAGACAAAGCAATATTAATGTGTCAGTTAAACCAAACTGAAAGCTGTATTTTTTTTCTTATATGCTTTTATGTGTAAAACCAATTATTACCAAAACTTATTTCTCCTTATGATTTCATAAACCAAAATTCCAAACATTTTTCTAAGCTCAATCTTCTTTATAAGAAGATAATTCAAAAACAAATGTAAATGAAGATTTGAATAAACATTACACTGAGTAGCTTTTCATTGCTGTCAGCTTGGGGCCTTCCTGATACTGCCTATGTTAGTGCATAAACATGAAGTAGTATTAAAAAAAAAACAGTAAACAAAACTTCCTACATTGCACATTCATTCAGACTAGGTATGAATATAGTTATTCATGTTATCCCAATTGAATGTCACTACTCAAATGGGAAAGGAATGGAGACATCAAACATAAACAGCTTTAAATAACCCATCTATGGATAACAAAATCAAAAGAATATTAAACCTTTTCTTGTGGTACACAATGGAGACTAGAAGAATGGTAATAGACACAATGCCATAAAGACATAGCCTATTCTGGAAGCTCATTAGGATAAGGAATTGCATCAGGTTATCTAATATTTTCACAACACGCTTTCTGAAAGTAAATTTCGACAAGGCAGATTTACCTTCCCACCATGAGTATGAAGAAAATAGCAGATTGACAGAATTCTCATCAGCTTTTGAAAATGAAAACACAGCAGTTGTCATAAATAGGAATGTAATTGATAGTAAGAAGACTAAAACTTAATTACAATCTCATCTTTTTCTAAGGGAGACCAGAGAAATGAAGGATGAGACAGAGCTAACATACATACATACATACATGTGTGTGTGTGTACTTTTATGTAGTAAGTTTATATGTACTTATATGTAGTAAATTTATGGGATATTTGATAAACAAGAATTTCAGGACAAATACAGTCAGAAAAAATCCATTCTGAAATATACTGTCAAGAAAACGAGCAAGCAAAAATAGATTGAGAAATGAACAAGGCTTGAATATAAACAAGGATATTTCTTTCCTCTGTGAATACTTTCAGATGTTAGTGGCAGTCATTGTTTGGGATAATCATTTTTCTGAATAAGCTAGTAAAGTTTTGGTACATCAACCAGCAACATATTTCAGGCTTTGTAAACCTGGATAAGTATTTTCTCTGTTTTTGGTTTTGTTCTTCTCTGAGACCTACAAGCTTCCAATACCAATAATGGCATCAGTCACACAATCCTGATTTCAAAGAGAGAAACTTGCATAGCTACAGTTGTGAAACTAATCACTAACATCTTCAGGATTGGAATACTGCACACATGGATTATGCTTTCTCCAAACATTCGGAATTTATCAGGCTTGTTTGAGACTATTTTTGTAATGCAAAGTTCAGCAAGAACTTCATGTACCTGGTCCACAACCAAACTCCATGTGGTAAAGTATAAATACATCAAGAGCATCTGGGATTCTTGATCACGTTACTTGCCTGACAGCTTCCTGCAGCTTGTTAAGGGCTATTTATGTACAGATGGGACTCTTTTCAAGGTGTTTTTTTGTTTTTTTTTTTTGCCTCCTAAAAAGGCCAGTTGCTACAGAGATCAAGTATTAAACAGATACCCAGTAGTTATATGGATTTCCATAGGGGACTTTTGACATGCTTATCCACAATTGCTAATCAAAGCACTTATCATTCACAGCAGCATTTGTCTTTTTGCTTTGAAAATACTTCTAGGACAAATAGCAGTGGATGGCTTGAGGCACTCACTCAGCATAGTCAAAAGTGCTGTATCTAAAATACTACAAAGGACTGAACAAAGAAAGGCCACAGTAATGCAAAGAGAAGACTGAAATAGACCCGTGCAGCTTGTAGATGCTACTCGTTTTTGACTACTGGCTTCATATGGCAATGATATCTGCTGGAATAAATAAATCTGACCTGTCAGGGAGCTCAGCATGGATAAGAACTGAATGGTCCAAGCCCCTAGAAGTGAAAGGACATGATACTCAACTATAGGACTACTTGCCTCTAGAGAAAAAGAAAAAGCTGAAGCTTTCACAGGCAATCAAAATGATTCTGAACATCTCCTTCACCCCATTAACTTTCGTCCATAGATCTTTGAATGTGCTGAGTCAAATGGGTATATTCAATGGAATGGACTTGCAGGAGAAACAGCGACAGAAAATTGTATAACGCCATTTTTAGAGGCACTGTCAAATTATATGATGGTTTATGCCTGCTGCCTTAAATCCATTTCTTTCACTATTGCTCATTTGTTTGTGTTTGTCCATCAGGTTTTCTCGTAGTCCTCTGTGCTATTAATATTTCATTTTATTCTTTTTTTTGTTTTCTAAATGGCTCAGGTGAATATCTGGGCTTCACTGCAAGCTCTAACTGACCAGTATTGGAATATATTGCAAATGAACTAGATGAACACAAAAAGGTAGACAACAAGCCTAAGGAAATAAAATTCTAACAGCTTGATATAAATTTGTTTTGTTAAAACAGATAATTTTCAGTACAGACTCCTTACCTTGACAAGTTCCTTCTGAGCCCATATCTGAATTGGTTCCACCTGCTGGGGGGTCTGAGTTTGGATTCCATATGTGTTCAGAAAAACTTGTAGGCTACAAACAAAACAACAAATTTAATCAAGAATTAGTCTTTGGTTTAACAGTTATCTTGGCAGTAAAGACATGAGTAGCAGTATGAAGTTCAACATACTTCCTTGAATACCCTTAGCAAATTTAGCATGTATGTCATTCTGAACTTCTTTACTATACACATTCGTAATACAAGTAAGTACCTACCGTTGACTTTCTGCTATCAGGGCCACATGAACTACCAAATCATTTTCCAGAGGTCCCTAGGATATAATGAAACACTGCTTATTAGCATTATTGTTAACAAGAAAAATATCTATTTAAACTGTTCATGCACATGACAGACATTCATTGTCTGGCTTGTTTTTCCCTATTGTGTAAATAAAATGAAAGAAAAAATCTTATAAATCAACATGCATTTTGAAGAATTCATTATAAATAAGCTTCAGGTATCCGTTTCTATTGTTTAATTAAAAAAATAAAATAAACTGAGGTAGGAAAAATATTTTGCTTTATACAAAAAATTTAGACATTATACAATCAATATATTTTCAAGTGATATGACATGATATTTTGATAGACAGTTTTGTTAAGAGTGAAGTTTGGGTTTGGGTAACTGATCATATCCAATTCAGAGTAATGATTTGACTTCAACACTTTACTCTGAAATACTTTGATCACAAAGCTACTAAGAGTTATATTCATCTAATAATATATTTTTACATATCAATATGATGTATTAAAATAGATGTTTAACATGAGATAATATTTCCTTACATTGTTAATAAAAAGATACTTCATTTTTGAAAAAAGTAATGTTGTTTTACATCAATAAGTCATGCAAACCATCAACTCAACGTTCTGGGATCTTGAAACGGCAACTGACTGCGTGGCAACACACAGAACTAGCTAAAAAAATTGACATATCTGAAATATTCCCTGTTCATGTCTTCTGTGGAGTTGAATGACTGCAAAAATCTAGAAGAGCACACACTTGGATACCTTAGGTGTTTGGGTTTTTCTGCCTGCTTTTGTCTGGAAACCAGCAGAACATGAATGAAAAAAATAAAAATATCCTCCATTTATTGATTATATAAAAATACAGCATTTTCTGGGCAGGTTGATGGATAGACTGCTAAAAACACGTGTTTCTGCCACAGTGTGATGGAAGATGTGCACAAAGAGATCAGATTCAGAAATCAGTAGCTCAAGTTACTTGTTCCTCCTCAAAATCATGCTATCCATCTTTTAGACACACAGCAAGAAACCACAAACCAGTTCTCCACCATAATCAGTATCATACCATTTTTCAAACAAACAGCAACAACTCAGTGACAAAATGAGACGTCTCCCTCCAAGACAGCCTGAGATCTAACCTGGGATCTGTCTTCATGTTAAGGTTCAGCTTAGTTACTACTGCATCTCAAAGATAAACTCAGTCACACTATGTAACCAGCCGAACACAAATCTATATATTCCAGATCTCCTTTGAGGCACGCCGTCCTTTGATACTGGTGCTAATGCCTCTCATACACAGATGTATTCCATGACATGCTTCATTTATAGCAGCCAGTAAGTGCTGGCTCTGCCATGGGCCATAACTAAGCAAATGCATCTGCTGCACAACTGGCACATCACCAAATATGGTTATAAGCTTCAATTCTTAAATAAAAGCAAACGTTTTTTACTAAGCAAAGGTGGTTTGTAACAGAGTAAACACTCAGCAGAGAATTTCATCTCAGAAAGACTTACACACATGCTTTTATTGTTTCCTCCTTGTTCTAATTCCATCATGCCAAAACCTGAGATTTACAGGAACGTATCTTGAAGTAAAAGCCTAGATAGAAAGCCTCAGAGCTATGTTCAGATTTATGATGCCTGATTCTTTAAATCTCATTCAAATCTATTTATTGTGTGTTGGGTTTCATGGACTGATGAACTCAAAATCATTTATCAACATCTATTGGAGTTGTTTTCTAGAAGACACGCAGCTTCCATCATCTTTATTTGGGAAGACATAGCTGTGTGGAATTGGTAGACTTTTCAGTAACTGAAATTACTGTAAAACTACAGAAGTACTATTATGTTAAATGAAAAGTTACTTTCTTTAACATCTACAGGCCTGAAGGATCACAAATAGTTTGTGGTCTGGAAAAGCACACAAACTAACAGTCAAATTACTCATGAAAGCATCACCTTTCCGTTAACAATAACTATACATAGCATTCACTAAATTTTAAAAAAACATGTGGAAAAGCAGACTCCTAAGTAGTCCACTAAATATATCTTACTGCAGTTGAAAGTTCTATTTTCTTGTGTTCTGTTTCATGTTTGTCTACTAACCCCAGCTAAGCCGCAGTTCACACAACATCAATCACTCTCTCCCCAAGACACTGCCACAGTCCCCCTCCACCCTGGGTTCACCCTTCTGCCTTGCATTTCCTTGTTGAGCTGCGTTCTGCACGCTGTGCAAATGATAAATAGACCCTGGTGTTTTCAGAAGACAAAAAAAATATGACAGATTAGTTTTCCTCCTCTCCGAAAAAGTCATAGTTTGTAACAAGGTTAAAAACAAAGCAGGTTGAAATGCCGTTCCTGGCACTAGAAGAGAAAGCAGCTCAGTATTGGTCTTCTGCTGCACTCTCACTGGACAGATGCTATCACTATATGCCTTTTGCACGTATTCCCAGGAAATCTCACAAGTCTGAAAAAAATCAATTAGTTTTGAACATGTGTGAAAGTGGCATAGTATTCAAATTCAAGAACACTGGTTGAAATGGTACATATTGGGCTTTCTAAGCATATGGAGCAAGAAGAGGAATTTGGAAACAGAATGTAATGAATTTGTAATTAAGCCAAATAATCCACCTTGCTGCTAATAAACTACAACCGAAACAAAACACATCTGCTTCAGAAAGCCTCTAAATGCTGCCTAACAGTTTATGGTCAATGCTACTAACACATCAGACCTTTTTTAATGAAATAAAATATGGACACACGTGTGTCTTAAATTCCAAAACAACATTTAACCATTTTAGAACTGTGCTAACTATGGTAGGCGACTTTATCAATACAAATGAAAGGTGAGAATGTGCTCATAACATTACAAAATGGTTCATCCAACATGATATGTCTCTTTAAGCCATCAAAAGTAGACATGCAGCAATCCTAAACATAATTTACATAGCTGGAAAATCCTAAGATGCCCCAGTCTACACATACTTCATCTTTTTATTTCCCTTTTACATGTTATCTAGTTCTCTGGAAACAGAAGAAATAAGCAGTCTATCATTTCCAGTAGCATAAGTGAAGCCTTCACAAATCATTAAGACTACAATGCAAAACATTACAAGATTATAGTCACTGCACATAGGACAACAATTTAATTAATTAATTGCAAATCTACACATGTATTTCAAGTTAAACTAAAAGATAAATCAGTTTTACTTGGACAATTTAGTAGCATTATGACCTTTCATTGAATACAAAAAAGACAGCAATAAATCAGCTTTCATATGCTCCAGTAAAACAAAACAAAACCAGAAAGTCCTTACCCCCAATTCATGACATTTCTCGTATGTTATTGTTACTTTTCAGACTCTCATATACACTAAAGTCTCCACAACAGAACCCAACTGAAATTGTTATAAATGCTTCTGGATTAGGAGATCCTAAAAATGTTTTTCTAATAACTGAACGCAGTTTTTAAGAGAAATCCCCAGTGAAAGAGAGTACCCTTCATTATCTTCTTTCATGAAAGTAAATGAAGTATGGATGATTCCACCATTTTTTTTCTTTTTTTTCTTTTTTTTTTTTTTAAACTGTGAGAGATATTTAACATGAAATTAAGCATTACAAAGCAAATTACATGTGCAAATGAAAACCTGATTGCCATCATATTTACAGTGTTTTGGAACAAAATCAAGAAGTAGCAAAAAGAACCTTCTTGCTGCACCACACTGTTATTTCCCTAAGATAGAACATAGCAAAACCTCTCTTTAAAATCAGATAACTAATTCTTGGGGGGTAATTACAGTAGGAGCTAAAACATTTCCTTCTAACTGTAGACTAGGTATTTCAGTATTAGTGATAACACATGAGACTGTCCTCTTCTTATCAGAAATTAAAAGCAGAGCAATGTGTTCACAGCTGTAATTATACTGATGGCTGAGGTATTAATTCTCCTTTCCAAACAACCCTATTTCTGTATGCCTGTTTTTCTATACAAAGGGCGTTCAGAGCTAAAAGTTTATACACAGCAAATCTTCCAGTATTGCTTCTTCAGCACAGTAAAACCCTTGTTGACACAAGGATTTAACAGAATTTTAACAGATCCCCATATCAGTAGTTTGTGTTTATTGTGCTACACAGATAGGTTGCGCTATCTGATCAGCATCCAGAATTCCTCCCTGTGCATTATTGATTCTATAACGATAGCACTAGCCTATTAAATACAGCATGTTAGCTTAATGTCTTCTGAAGCAAGTTCAGAAAAGCAAATGAAGAAGCAGCTTGTATTTGGCCCAAATTACTACCCAACTGAAATGGGCAGAAGCATTTCTTTAGCACGCTGATGATGAACTTTTCTATTATGCATTCAGTAAAGATACATATAATTCAAGTATACAAACTTACACACTAAGCATAAGAGCCCTAAAAATGAAAACACTAATTCATTTAAGGATAAAATGTTTCCAACATATTAACAGCTGGTCAAAAAAACTGCTTTAATTTGTAGGATTTTTAATTGCATATTTGTACTAAACAAATAGAAATAAAATACATTTCAGAATAAATTCAAAGTGAATTTCAATTTCAGAATAATCACTACATACCCTCTGTATTATTACTTAGTTTCTTTCATTTTCATGTTTAGAGCTAATAGCTACAGCACCGTCACATTAATGACCACACATTCCTGTATAGTATGTCTGAGCAGTGACTGTAAAAACTGCAGAATCTTAGCAGTGGTTAAAACACTGCCAGCATATCAGCGCTGCCAGTATTCAAAAGGCCACACTGAAACACAGGGTACCAGAACATGGCACCTAAGATTTCTTTTCTGACTACAGTTAAGATGGATGGTGAACAGAGAAATCTGAAAGGGTGACACTGAGAGATCCAAATTAATTGGAATGAATAGAAAAAGCAGGTTCCATCTCACCTTCTTTCTGGCACATCTAACAACTCAAAGGAAACATACCTAATAGTAGCTACTTAAACACATATTTAACTCACCATTTCAGTTGTATCACTTAATGATTATTATTTTTCAGGAAAATACTGTAATGCTAAGCTTATGCTTACCTGATTGGAAAATCTCATACTAACGTTCCGCTGCTCTTGTGGAGGGACATAACGTCCAATAGGGTCAATATCCTTAGGACTCACTAATTTGTCAGCTGAAAGTCAATGATAATAAGGAGGCACATAATCAAGGAGGCACACAAACATTTTATGTAGTAATTTCTGCTGCTATAATCTTTGTTTTAGATCAGTGATATACACATCAAAAGGACAATCTGCAAAATTATATCAATTTTAAAACTAATGACTCAAGAATCATTCTTGCTACAGCTAATTATGATATTGTAGTATTTAAAAACAACACTTTTTCACAAAAATGATTAAGAAGATTATACAGACATCAGACTCCACAACAGGCAAAAATCACCAAAAAGCTCTGAAGCCACAACTATGTAATTATTCTAGAACTTCAAGTTCTACAGTTAGCTACAAAAAATGTGTTTAATTTTGTTAGTAAAACAGACAGCTGATCTGTCTAAAGGTAATCAGAAGACTTAAGTCCTGAAAGGGACACAAGTATTGGATATATCTCAGTATAATATCACAAGTAGAAAAACAAACAAAAAAAAAAATAGACAACACCAACCCTAAACTTCCATTGTTTTAAGCTTTCTGTAGAAAGGAGATTAAGCACTCCAATGAAAGTAAGCATATTATTTCTGAATACTACACCGCATAGTTAATTAAGACAGCAATTTATAAACTCAAAATATGCCCTGGCTCAGGCCTATGAGCTGAAGAGACATCGCAGTGCAAAGAAGACACAGGGCAGGCACTCCGGCAGGGCAGCTCAGTGAACACACCAGGAAAGACCTGGCACTGCTGGGAGCTGTGCCAGCAGCAAGCCTCAGCTGTGAGCTGGGCGAGCTAGATGCTGTGAGCCTCAGCCTTCTGCTGGGAGAGTGCAGCTTGGCTCTTGCCAGGAACGGACCTGGCTCCTCTGCTCTGTACTGCTCCTGCAGAGTCACAGTCTGTGTCCAGGTGGTTGCATTTTAAAAAAGCAAAAACTGGATTATAGAAAAATTATGAAAAAACATGTAGGGTTTATTAGCATGCTCACACATGAATTACCAAAACACACTTGAAAGGAAACAATCATCCAAAACTACGCATGCAATCAGACTCTTTGCGCTAGTTAAAATGTATGAAGGTTACTTAAATTAATTGCAGTACTGGTGATGCAATAAAATCAATTAACCAAATGATGGCGAAGTGACAGCCTCTACCCTGCCTGAAAGGCAAGGGCTGTTCCTAGAATTTTTGTTCCATCTCTACTGTTTTTTACTTCGATTAACACTGCTCAGAAATTTAAATATATGGTCAAAATCATTTCTTATTGAAGACCAGGATAACAATAGAATATTATGAGATTCAACCTAATTTTCAATATTGATGCTGTAATTTTAAAGAAGATACTAAGTGTATATTCATCATTGTCAGAAATACAAGTTTACTGGAATGCAATTTGGTCTGTACTCTAAAAAAAATGTCCCTAAAAACACATGCCTTATCTCTTGGAAGCACTGAATCCATAAAAAGAAAGTAAAAATTGTAATAAAAAACGAAGGAAAGATAATACATAGCCACTGAACCGCATTCATTTTCAATTGCTTAAAACAGCTGAACACCTCATGTCCAGGTATTACTTTCCCTTACTCTAAAATGAAGGCCCTATTTGAAAGCTACACAGCGTGCTCACCTACAGAAGAGAAGCAAGGAAGCTGAGCAAATACAAATTAATTGCAGCCTGAGGCAACACGATTTCTGAAATGGATGGTGAAATGGGGAACAAGTAAAACTAAGGTGTTTGGAGTCAGGTTTTCAATTAATAAAGTATCAACTGACAAGCAAAGTAACACACACAAAGACTTTCATCAAGGACAAAGTTTCCACACGGAAAGGAATGGCATTACATGCACCAATTGTAAATTGAGTAAATGGAGTCTTGATATCTGACAGCAATCACAGGTGAATATACCTAGCTTTATGGGAAAAAAAAAAAAATCCAAAATCCAACATATATTTACAATGAGTTTGAAAGAAAATAATATTTGGAGAGGAGGGAGAGCAAAAAGTATTAAATATGGTGGAGACGAAATTCAAAAAACAACAAAGGAAACAGTTGTTAGGACAACTAACAAAAAATCAATGTAAGAAAGCTCAGCAGAGGGAAAAACTGATACGAAGCAAAAGAAGGTTACAACAGTCAAAAGCACAGTCAAAGAACATTTTGCAAACAATAAACACAAGCTATTTCATCAGTATCTTTAGGTGTATGCTACTACAAATACTAGTATAAAATGAGTATTAGCAGAATTACTACAGACATTTAAGGGTTATTTGGCTAATATAGAGAGGTAAGAGGAAAACTTATTTTATTAAAGATGAAGGTGCTTGGATTTTGTTTATAGTGCTGGCTGCAATTTATCTGGATGTTCTAAGGATACAACCAGTGTTCTGTCCCCAGTCTTGAATTTTTCAACTCCCCTTCAATTTCCTCCTACACACTTCACAGAAAAAAAAGTTTACAGAACTCAGTCTACTGATTGTCAGCAAAATGCTAGGCATGTTCAATTGAAGTAATGTGTCTTTCTCCAGAAAGACATATTAAAATTGCTTTCTGGATTAAGAACTGTTTTTGCATTAGTCCTTGAGCCTTCTCAAGTGAGACCAAGAGTTCATTTGTACAAAGATCCACCACAATGACCTTCAGTGGTTTTCAAAATGCAGTGTCAAATGATCTTCTAGTCTACTTTAAGGGAAGGATAAAAATAATACACAGTGTATAAAACACTACCACTTTTATCTGAGACTGTAACCATTCAAAATTTAAACATGTTTTGTTTAAAACAATAAATAATTTGAACTAAATGCTTCTTTTCCTATATAAACATCATTATTTGGTACAACTTGTATAGAAACAGTTAAGCCATGATAAGATACATAAGTTAATGTATTTCTAGGACCCAAGGGAAATGCATGGAGCTTAGTCAGGGGAGGTTCAGGATGGCTGCTAGTGAAAGGTTCTTCATCGGGGGTGGTCAGGCACAAGAACAGGCTGCTCAGGGCAGTGAACACAGCCCAACATTGCCAGAGTTCAGAGAGAGTTTGGATAATGCTCTCAGATATAGGGTTCGAGTTTTGGGTGGTCCTGTGTGAAGGCAGGAGCTGAACTTGATGGTCCTTGTGGGTCCCTTCCAACTTGGAATATTATATAATTCTATAGTTGTGTATGTTCACACAGAAGCAAGGAAATAAGAGAAAAAGTAAGAAAAACAAACAATTGAGAAACCTATCTTGTTAAAAAGATTTTTGATATTCTGTAATATAATCCAGTGAACTCCACAGCATGCTACATACAGCATAAAAATTCAACATGAAGAATAAAAAGCAATTTTTGCCTACCAAATACATGTCAAAGCAGATGACACACATGCTATCCACGCTGCCCAGGGTCTATTCAAAACTCAAGCCAGCATGTTAAATCAGATTGAAAAAAAACATTAACAAATAAATATCCTTCAGTTATAACAAATCAAAACCTGATAGAATTTCTTCAGCCTCTTACCTAGGAGTTTTGCAATGATATAAACTGCTTGTCCCCACAAGAAAAACCTTCCATCGCGTCCATTGTTACTCGGAAATCGTTTCTGACTGCCAGGGTTCTTCTTTTCCAGTTCAACAAAATCAGCTGGCACATAGTAATATTTGGGTACAACAGGACATCCTATGGCGTTTTTAAATAAATACATTTAGTAAATAAATTCCATTTTCAATATTATTTGATTGTATTTCCCTAATACAGCTCAAGTGTTAACCTGATAGCTATTTGATTGAGCAGAAAGATTGCTGCGACTCATTATTTTCTCTCAAACCTCAGAGATAAAGTAATTTACTCTATTTTTCACCAAACACTGCCACACAACTACTTCCCAGAACATACATTCCATCTCTATTGCACAAAATTTTTTCACAGAAACCAAAATTTCTGGATAAGAATCCAGAACCAAAAGAAATGAAAGCCACATTAGAGTGAAACGCCTGAGATTTTCTCCTTGCATTTAACAGCCTTCTCGGTACAAGACAACTATTTGAAATTAAAACCATGCCTAGAAGTAGTCAAATATTAAGTAAAAACTATAATTTTCTGCAAGTGCACAATACAAAGTTTGAAACAGCAGCTTGATTTTGAAATGAAATAAAAGAAAGTAACTTCTTCATTTGAAACTAGCATATCTTGTAACTGTAATTACGTCACAGGTATTATGATCTACTTGTATGATGATCTACTTCCATTTCAAACTTTTTAGGTGAACAGAATAAGGAATTTAGAAACAATTACAAATGACTTACTAATATAAAAGCAAATTAATGTGATTAATGCAAAAATAAGTTTCAACTTAATATTGCTTTAATTTGGAATGTGTTTACATAAAGAACAGGTGATAAAATTAAGCTGCAGTTTCTGACTATTTGCTTACGCTAAAGCCAATAATTGCTGGCAAGAAGCCGTGAAAAACTGAGAAGTGAGAGTGATTTATTAGAGGCAGAATATTCAAATAAGTGAAGCATCGAAGTACACACAGAAATTTTAAGACCAGGCATTAATGACGACATTCTACAAGAACCACTAAACTAATTTAGAATCCATGGAACTTGATACACTAATTAATCAGAAAAAAGCAAATATCAGTAAAATCAAAGTTTTTTATGTATTGAATATAGAATCACAGAATTGTTAAGGTTGGAGAAGACCTGTAAGATCAAAATACTGTGTTTGTGTAACAGTACAACACATGTCAAGAACAGGTGAGTAAAGACACTGCGTTTTAAAACTGGGCTGTCAGAATATTGAAGCTTATTTTACTTTCTGCCTATTTTTGCCCCCAGTCAAACTTGAGGTTTTTTTTCATTTTTGAAAATGAATTTTGAATGGATTTGCCTGTAGGCTGTCAAAAAAACTTGTTGCCACTTCCATCAAAATTCTGAAGCGTACAATTTAAGAGATTTTTTATTAATTTTAAAATGTCACCAGTTTCACTGCTGTAAGCTAGGAAGTATTTCCTGTGCATACACTAAATTATTTGTTACGTTTTGGAAAGTTGTGTCAACAAATTATTCAAATAATTCCCAACTGTACCCAGATGGAACACTGGAAATATGTGACTCTGAGTAGTTAGAATTTTCATGCAGCCTTAAGGTGAACTTTATTAAAAAAGTCAAACATAGGGAAATGATGAAGGAATGACTTTGTACAGTGTAAACCTTATCTCTATTTCTGTATCATTTTTACAGTATCAAATTATTTTTATTTTCATGCTTTTATGATGCAATACGTCTATGTGGAATAGATTATTTTAATACTAGTATTTTTACTATCAAGAAACATAATATTATTATTTCACTTCATTCTGACTGCAATACTCATTAATAGTAATGTCCGTAATTTTATGATAAAACGAAAAATAAAACAAAACAGTGATTTAAAAGAACAATTGTCAAATAATACCTTCAGATGTATGCTGAAGCACAGGATCCAGAAGATCCTGATATTCCTTAACTTGTGCAAGATTTCCTCTAAAAACTCCTATAAAACAAACACAAATTAAAAAAATAAAAAAAGCAAAACAGTAATTCATTTCATGGAAGAAATAACTTCTGTGAACTTAACGTTTGCAGAAGAAAAATACAGTGCTTATTTTTCAGTGGCGCAGTGCCAACACACTAAATAGTTCATGAAAAAATAGAAGAATAAACTCTAACTGCATATTTACTGTTCCAGCTAATTATTGCAGAGATCATGAATCTGCCATTGTTTTATTAACTTAAACTGAAATCAATGTCAAGTTGCAGCACATAGCAGAGCTCTGAACTTACAGAGGACATAAAAGGGACTAGAACACAGACACCCTGCCCACCTAGCTCTAAGTAACTTCCTTAATTACTGCAGAAAGACGAAGCAGAGCTTGAGGGCCAGGCTGGGTCTAAATAATTAGAACAGTTTCAAGCTTATCTAAGAATGAGTTGCCTAAAACTCTCAAGAAATAAGTACAAAAGAAATTTGAAGAAGTAAACTGAACAAACTCCCTTCAGAAGATTATTAGATGGAATCTTCACATTGATAAGTTACATAGATATCATATCTTAATATGACAGAGGTTCAGAACAGCTGACATGCCTTGAGATGTTAAACAGAATGGTCAACTCTTTATGATGATGGCTCTGGGGAGAAAATGATAACTTTGGGAGTACTAGCATCTTAAATATTTTTCTAGTTGAACTTAATTATCTCAAAATTAGTCTGATGAATATTATTAAAACAAGTGTTCAGTTCATCCCCAGTCCTTACATGAAAAGTTGTATCAAAATAGCATACGCATTTCTGTTCAAAGAAAAAGTGGATAAACTTGACAAATCATACAGATGTTTTTATAAAACAGAAACACTTTGAAACATTTAAAGGGAAACAAGCATATTATTTTCATTGCCAATCTTCCACTTCTGTGCATGTCATTTCTTCCCACGGTTTCCCTTTTCATTTACCACACTCTTCCATACTATTGAAAATAGCCATATTGTTTCCCTCGTTACCTAATCCTAGAAACTACCATAATCCTCCAGATTCAAATGGACGTGTAAAAAAGCTTTCAAAATTGCTATTCAAATATGTATTAGCCAAAAAACAATCATACTGGTTTATTTAGTTCAATCTTTCCTCACAGCTGTGGATGCATATCTGCTATCTACAGAATCCTAAACAATCTCCTTTTAAGAAAAAAACCAAACAGAAATTAGTACTACAGCAGTCTTTTCGTATTCATAGAAGTATGAATTCAGAAAGGCAAAAACAAAGGAAAACCACCAACAATTAACTCAGTCACTGAAAACAAACATGCCTTATTATAAAGAGTTCCGTTATTTCAGCAATTTAAGTCTCTCTGCATGCACTTCAAATTTCACATGAACGAAGCTTCTGGATTTGGATGTACATGCACAAAGTCCACTAACATTTGTTGTATTTGATGAAATTGTGATACAGGGATAAAAACTAAATAAAAATAAATTAAAGAACAGTATTCGCAAGGTATGCGCTTTGTAATTTTTCCTTATGAAACAAAATAAAACCCCTTTGCTACCTTTACCTTAGTACAGATAATTATATTTTTTGTTCTTCTTAAAAATGCAAGAGAGCAGCATGAAGTGTCAATGCCTTTCTCCTGGGTTTTGAGCTTCACTGCTTTTGAAAAATGTGACATATTCCCTCAGAAAAAAAATCAATTGTGGAACCTTACTAAATGTTCAAATAAAACATCTGAAGCTATGGGTAAGCACACATACACCCAGCAGGTAGCCTCTCACTATCTTCACGTGAAAACTATTTCACACACCAAAGGGAACAAACAGAAGCTAGAAAACCCAGCCAGATTTCCATCCATTCACAAGGCTGAAAACAAATAAATCTTTATCATGGCTGTAATCTGTACTCAGTTGCTAATTCGGACATTCCTTCCACATGAGTTCTAGCTTCCATCCTGAAATCATCCTGTGGATGTTTCTGCTATATCTCCCAACTTCAAGACAAGGTCTGTTGGTAGTGGTTGTATTTTTTTTATATATATCTTTTTTTTTAATCAATCTAACTGGCTATATGTAAAATGGCCATGAAGCACAGACATTAAAAAAAATAAAATTATATCAAGTTGTATTCTAAAACCAGAGTTCACATTACAAATAATGAAATACGGGTGGTTTGGTTTTTAGGTTTCTTACGCTTTGGCTTGAGGGGTATTTTTTTAGAGTATTCTTTTTGTTGTTTGTGTTTTTCAACCCATAAAGGTTAAAAATCTCAGTGAGATATTTAGTGTCACTTGTTACAATTTGCTTGTGCAGGGCAAAAATATGATTTTATAACTTCTGTCCAAGGACTTATCTCTGTAATGCCTCTGTAGACTAGGAAAATAAAGCCATACTTACCATCAATTATCATGAAAATAAAAAACAGAGGGAATTCACATTCAATGCCATCAAAAAGCTAAAAAGAAGAAAAATCAATCATATTTCAGCAATTTGGTTTAACAAAACATACTTCCATATCTCATACAACCATTTCAAAGCAACAAAAGACAAAAGTGAATGTCAAAACATTTTAGGACACCAGCTCTTCATTTAGCTTACAGTCTCTAAATTATACAGGCAGTATAGTGTACATTTACATATGCTGTGGCCAATTCTCAAACAGAATATTTATATCATTTATGTTTCATTTTCCACTGAGAAACTATTGGTGAGTAAAATATTAAATTTTAATTTAGATACCTTTTACTGATAAACACTGTGGTCAAAAGCAAAATTGTTTTCTATACACTCAGACTGTAGTCAGCTGTGAAATTAAATAAAATGATAAATAACTTCCTTATTTGTTATGTGAAATCATCTGTATGCTAAATGTAAATGGAAGCACATTCATTACAAAACAAATCAACAACTAACTTGCTGACTTGGCAGTCTCTCAAAACCACACATGCCAAATTACAAAATGCATCTCCTTCATTTGAAGCAATTTAGAATCTCAGATTGCAAATACTAAAAGGGATGTCTGTTTGGCTCTATTTTTTTAAGCATGGCCTAAACATTTTACAAAACCTAGGTCTTCTTTACCTTAATTTCTGCTGGTTTATAATAGCGGCGTGTTTTGTCCTCTAGTGCAGTTCTGTAACCATCCCTCAGAAATCTTTTAAATCCATATTTTCCTTTTAATTTTCTAATAATTTTATCTAGTGTTTGACTGAATAAAACCTCATCATCCAAAGCAAATGCTGGATAACTGATACAGGGCAGAAGAGCTGCATCGGTATTCTGCAGGAGAAGAGAAAAAAACATATTATAAATTCAATTAAATCTCCAACATTTATTGGATGCACAAAGTCTGTTTAAATTACTCAGTAAAGCAGACATTTGAAACACAATCTTTACCAAAATCATAATACCAATATATTGGAATAATGTGCAAAATAAGACCCCTAAAAATGTTAAAGAATAAACTAGGAACCCAGTATTCACACATATGATTTAAAAGACAACTCATTTGACTCAAAATGTGACCTAGTTTACAGTTGATAACCTGCAGGTATAAATGAATATATTGTAAAACTCCAAGTTTCTAGAAACAAATAAACATCCTCCAAGTTATTCTTAGAGAAAACAACAACACTGGTGCATACTATGCTCAAAGAGAATCACAAGAAGTTAACTGATTATTTAATCATTGCTGAAAAGGCTTTTCATTAATTTCCTCCAAGTGCCGTAACAACAGGCTTGTCTGATTTCATTTCATGAAAAAAATTTAAATGACATTGCTCAAGGAACACTGTGCAACTACTGTGAATTAAAAACACACCAAAATTACTACCTAGGATATGTAGCTTACCACTACAAGTAAGCTTACAGAAGTACAAAAAGTTAATTTTAAGTTCTAATTCTTACAGAATCACAGAATGGTTTGGGTTGGAAGGGACCTTAGAGATCATCTAGCTCCTCCCTAACAGTATGGGCAGGGACCTCTTTCACTAGATCAGGTTATCCAAACTGAGATTTTCTTGTTCCTTCCTGCTGATACATCTAAGACAATTTAAAATACTGTATTTTCAACAGTATCACTGACATGAAGCCGTATGGGGTGGTGGTGAGGAGGATATGAAGATTAGTTAGTACAAATAATTAACAAAATTGGTTGTGTTGGCATATATCAAGTCTCTTCTAGCAAATAATAAACAGCAAAGGAGTTCTAGAAGCACATAAAAAATCAGCTGACTGTGCCTTTTGATTATACAGCATTGTAACTCTGCTATAATTCTTCTACGTAATGAGGAAATCATTAATGTTGAAGATTAATAGTCTGTTTCATGAACAAAAATGCTATTAAATTGCAGGATGAAAAAGTAGAACTCCACTGCTCTTCATATTTAGGTTTTTTTAATTAATCTGTACTTATGTTACTTAGATTTACTCACTGATGAAATATTTACTTGTAACAGTAGTTTATAATAACAAAAAAATCCTCCATATTCTGCAATTTATGATAATCAAATCTTAAAAGCCTTTTTTTTCCTCAACAAAAGAACAAACAAAAGCTAAAAGTTTCTTTTAGCAGCTTCAAAAATGCAGGCAGTAAATTTATAATGGAAACTCAGATACCAGGATAAAAACAAGACTACAATCCTAATTAACATGCTGCAGACCATCATTGTTTCATTTTGAAATTATTTAGGAAGCTACCAACTGGCTAACATTCTAACCTCGACATACATAAAAAAAAAAAGAGTGCCATCACAGTTCCACTTCAGCGCGGTATTGCATCACAGTCATGTTTAACAAGCACATATTTAACAACAACAAACGCCCATCTTTATTAAGCAGAAGAAAATGATCATTGTAAAATTAAAGTTAAGTTCATATCCATTTGTTTTCTCTCCATACTGTTGAGATTTTATTGTACATTTTCTCTAATTACTTACATGAGACCTTGACTCTCGGGGCAGCAATGAACACAGAGTCTGTCTGTTACGGTTATGGGCATCGAAATCCACAAATATAACAGACCAGGAACAGCCCTGTAAATGCAAATTTATTTAAAGAGAAATGAAGAAAGGTTGGCATATCCTGGTGAAACTAACTAGCTCTTTGTTCTACCAATGGTAATACTCTGGTAGCTGGCAATTTTAATCAGGAAATGAACAATATATATCCAAAATATTTTGTGAAAAGAACTTGAAATTCTAAACAAAATTAGCTGGCTTTGTCCATTACTGATTATGAATTGTATCATGTATCATTATGACACTCAAATCATAACATCTTCCATTACTTCTTGATCAGCAATGGCTGTACTGAGGTGAAAAAAAAAAAAGTAGTTTTCCCTCCCTGTGATTATGGAAATGTTCCAAGTGGAGATGTTGAATATTTCATTGAAATATGCTACAATACAAATAATTGGATATTCACCTGAGGTATCACTTTGGAAAAGGACTTCAGTAGCAAATAAAAATGATTTGCTTTTTGGTCGTTGTGTTGCACACAAGCACAAGCTTACTTTGCAGAAAAATAAAAAATGTGGCAAAAAAAAAGTAGGTGAAGAACAAAAGTGTTCATCTTTATATTGGATGGCACAACCTAAATAAAACATTCATTTAAAGACTATTTTCTAGGTTTTCTTATTGGGATTTTAACAGAAGCAATCTGTCTCCAAGTCTTAGTTTCTAATCACATTTCAATAAGAAAATTACCTCAAATTTTAATCATGCATTTAAGGAGTCCATTTCAGCCACCTTACTACACAATGATGTGTAACTAAGATAACACTCTATTGTATGATGCATAAGCCTGTTTTACACAAAAGAACATATGTGTAAGAGGATTAGTTCTTTACATATATTCATTTTCATTGCAGATAGAGTGAAAGGATGTATGCACTGTCTGTAAGACGTTCAAGCCATTCCTCTAAGCAGTGCCCACTTTTGTCAGTGCTACCAGAAGGAGAGAGAGGGAGAGAGTAAGAGCATTTTTGCCATGACAGTGACCAAAATCTGAACCTGTCACTCCCAGACTTTCTTGTGGAAGTTCATGGATTTCTATCAAAAAATAACTAAACTGAGTGAAGAAGCAAGTCAGAACCTTAATTTTCTGAAGTTATGTAAGCTGAAAGACAATCAGTTCACACTGCCTCCTAAGTATAAAGAATCATGCTCCTTTAACAGTTCTTCCATACCAACCAGTTATAACAATACAATGATTTTGAGATCTGGCTACAGTCATTGCACAATTAAGAGTAATTAAAGAATTCCTTCACTAGAATAATACATATAAACTACTTCATCTAAATTTATAAATATTGTTTCAAATATGCACAATAGATTGGGAATAAATTTAAGAAGTTTAGCATAGGATATTGAAGTGAAATAATGAGAAACTAAACAAAGAGACAATTTATCTGTTACGTTAAAAATTAATGTGTGAAACATCTTTTGCTGATGAAGCAGTTAGGCTTATACCTTGACTGTATTCTTAAAATTCTCACTTTTTATGAAACAGCATAAATTCTAGTATAACGAAGAGAAAAATGAATAGCATTATAAAAACATGAGCTCCTCTTTACAATAAAGTATATAAAATTCAGAGCACATTAAAAGCCAATTCTTTGTTCTTTATTCTACCTAGCACCTAAGAATTACACCAGGAGATGAATTAGAATTATTTGAGTATAGATTAAACAGTGTTTTGCTACATTAAAAAAAAAGTAGTATGATTTGTGACAGAAATACTTTGTTTCTATTTACTGCTTCTATAATTTTGGTTTTTTGAGAGAGAAAAAAAAAAAACAACAGAATAGTTCAATGTGATTATCTACCAGTAAGTGAACATCATGTCTTCTCTGAATACAACCACAAATGCACAGGGAAACTTCACTATCCTGAGATACACAAACATACAACATACATGCACATATGAAAGGACGGATACAGTAACATGCATTTATATTTATTAGGTTCCACAGCATGAGTGGAAAAATCTGCATGGGAAGGCTGAACAGCCTGTTGTTCCCAGTGATGATTTATGCAGGTTGTACTACTGTAGATGCAGATGCAAACAAGTCCCTCCTGAGGGGCTCAGCAGGATTTCTCAAAGCTATTGGAACACAGCTGGAGCTAAGCACAAAGGCAGACTGCTGCAGACTGAAGGTCAAAATGGTTTCTGCTTATGCAGAATATCTTTGGAATAAATTTGCAGAGCATTTAAACCGGTTTTGCTTCAGCAATTTATTCATCCATTTCAGAATTTAGTAAAATATTTGAAAAAAACAAGCAGCCACATTTACTGGTGCTTGAAATTGGGAAGGTAAAAGATGCAGATAAACGTTGCTACTGATATACTGACAATGTATATATCATGTATGATCACTACTTAAGATCCTTATTAGTTCCTACTTCTTAATGTGTAAAATCAGCTTTTAGGAAAAGAAAACCAACACCAAAACATGTGAATGGACATCTAAAAAAAATTATAACAGGTGCCACAAAGCATGTAAGCATCAGAAATGCTCATTTAGAAGAATCACTTGTTTTATGCCACAAAAGACGACAAAAGAATCTGACAATAATAGGTGCTACAGCTTTTCATCAACACATGATTTAAAACAGAACAATTTTCATCTCAGGCATTAGAATAGCTCTAAAATTTCCTAGTCAAAACAGGCTTCTTTATTTGTGCATTTATTTCTGTGACTATGCTATTAAGAAAGTAATTTCTGACCACTACAAGAAAAGTTCATGCAACTCTTTTTTTTTTTTCTTTCAGATTTTCGAGAAAAAAGAAAAATTTTAAAAAGCCACAATTTTATTACCTGATTTCCAAAGAGATTGAAACCATTAATTGCTTCCAAAGCTGCTTTTGCCAATCCCACAGAGCTGAGGAGAAATAAACAAACAGATAAACGACTAAATAGAGCCACAACAAACTATGCATATTGTAATTCAAGTCCAGGCTAATTTAATATGCTTGACAGTTTTCAGAGCTATCATCTTTTCTTGATTTAAATTGTGTGCTTCATCTCGCATTTAATAAACTGATGATGAAATAAGACTTGAGTTATTTCGTGGCTTTTTTGAAAACTACTTTTCAGCATCTTTCTTTATCATCAAATGCCAGAGACCATCTGGAAAAAGCTCTTCTGCTCTCACTTTGCTACTGGACATCTGGCATCACGTATTTCAAGGCCTTGTTAACTAACAGAACATTTCCTTAGTCACAATTTTCAATTTAGGTCTCAGGCATTAAGCTTGTAATGGTTAAAATAATTTTTCAACATAATAACATGTTGATCTGGATTCACAAAAGGAGGAATATCTGATTTCAAATGTACCATGAGGTTTGACTAACCATGACTTGTGACAAGTAAATCCATAAAAACAATTCATGATAACTTTTGAGCACATAGGCTTTTCAACAGGTTTCAAGAGAAAAAGATCACTGCATGATCTTTTTCAGGGACTAAAGCAAGGCTTCTAGTTTTCTGATTTCTGTCTTTTCTAGGGTTGAGTGTGACATAAGTCTTTTTTCAACTGTCAGGGCCCTCCGTAGATTATTGCGATTTCTCATGCATTATCAAGAAGAACTCTGCAATCATAGCCTGCATTTGTCCCAGATCAACATCTGGAGCAGAGGAAGGTGAAATTAACCTAAAGAAATTATACTTTCAGTTTCCTAAAAGCATTAGTAAATTCACTTAAACAAAACATAATTTGTAATTCTCTGTATCATGAGTTATGCTCTCAGTAAAATACTTGAGGATAAACTTTAGGGATCTAAAATAACCTACTCTAAGGAACCTGCTTTAGCAGGGGGGTTGGACAAGATGATCTCCAGAGGACCCATCCAACTCCTGTGAAACACTAAAATTTGCATAGTCTTAGCAACTGCTAATGAAAATGCATCTTACAGAAAAATCTTCAAAGAACCTTACACATCTTTAATCCTCCTCCCATTCACAATTTCCCACTTCCATCCAAAAACTTTGCAGTTCATTTGGAACATCAAACACTACCAGAAATGTTAAAAAACACAAGGAATAACAACACTATAGCAACTCTACAGCAAAACAACACCTATACTAGTACACCAGAGAGATGTGCAAGAACATGTTTTTTGGATTTGGAATGTGGGGATACTGCACTTTGGCAACTTCATTATTCCCACAGTACAACTGGGGAATGTCAAAGACATTTTGCAGATGCCTGGAGAGCTGCTTGATCAAATGGTTATAGGACAAATTAATTTTTCAGAAGTTCAGCCATATGGGAATGGGACTACACTATAATAAAAGCTGTTAAAAATCTTGCCTATGAATCAGTAAAAGACATCAATTTACACAGATCAGTGAAGACCTGAGTTCACAGAGTGCTTTGCTATTTATCATTTATTAGAAGTGTTCTGAAATGTATTTAGATAGAATATTAAGACTAAAGACATAAAACATATACATTTTGTGACATATGCCTCAATTTGCAATCATTATCCACAGGCTTTGTATTATATAACAGCTTCTTTACAAAGAAAGTCATTTTCAATTAAATATGAGAATTAACTTCTAATTCTGAACACAAATACAGGCTCTGCGTAGACTTGAAGCTTGAGTTTCTAAGTCCAGAAGTCAAGCATTCATAACACTGAAATTTAAGTGATTCATTTTCAGCCCATAACCACTGAGGAAACATAAATACCATGCATGACTAGCCTCGATATGTTCTAATCACTTCTTGAATTGTGTTCTTAGAGATTGCTTAGATAGATACGCCATAGAAGTCACACAAAGCAAGCATAAAGAATATTTTAGCGTAGTTTTCTCCACAATACCTAATTACATCTTTTTACACCTACTCATCTTCCATATTTTTATGATTTTTGAGACCTTTAATGACCAGAAAAAAAAATTGTCTCCTGGTTCCCTACAGTAAGGCAGAGTGCAAACATGCACACAAGAAAAGACAAACAGGAGCTATATCTATTTTGGATGATCAAAGTCTACTTCTTAAAAAAAATCTCTGTACTTCCTTTCGTGCCAGTTCAGTGATGTGTTAGATTAGCCTATCAATCTCATAAAGCTTCTCCCTCAGAAAAACTGACCTACAAATGCCAGTCTAGATTAAGACAAAACAACATGCCCATCTCCATCTGGTTAGAAGATGTTCCTCCAGTTTTCCCCTCAAGGAAATTCACATATTGAATAATCAGGAAGCTGCAAACAGTACAAGATGTAGGAGTTTCAGAGTTCCTTTCACTAATTTGTATGAGATGAGATGTGGAAGGAGGTACATAATTCTCCAGATGAAGACTCCTGTAGTCTGATATTTGACAACTTAATAGACAAAAGAGAGGTAAAAAACAACGAATGAATATAACAAATTATATGTTAACAATATCTTGGAGTATTCAGTTCTCATACTGGTACTAAAGCTTCACAAAGGTCATGAAAAAACATACCTAATTAATTGTTTTGCTGCAGTGGCATCACTATATTTACAGTTTAAAACATACATCTCTATGTGAACTAATAAAAATTAATTAGAAATGAGGAACATGGATTCATATGGCAACATCTTTAAACGCTGGAAAAAATTTGCTTTATTTTCAAGCCCATGATTATTATGACAATCAACAACAGGTATAGTCACTTTTATTATTGATAGAAGCTCAAAAATTCAAGAAAACAGTATTCATGCTATAAAAAAAACAGATACACAGCATATGGGCAATTCCTCTAGAGTCAAGTGGATCATTCTAATATTAAAATTTTAATATTAAAACAGTAAGAACATTCTTGGTGTTATATGGGATGGGGTAAGGATACAATTACTTCTACAGTCTGGAGAACATTCTTTTGGAAAGAATCTGTGCACTAACCTATACTTCACAGCATACAATGACTTCCTCCCAACACAGCAGAGATGAGAAAAATCTAAATCCATGATTCAATACATATTTAAATCAGCGTATTCCTAGGCACTTTTGTGAATTTGATCTTCTGCACATGGCCTGTACATAATTTTCAGAATGATACACATGCAGCTGCACATAATTATTGTAATTTGAATACTCAAACAGCTAAGTATCTATGTGATTACTTCAGTATGCACATGATGATGAAATTATACTTCACATTTTTCCAAAATACATCTTGGTTTTTAGAGAACATTAATTTAGTCACTGTTCATGAACCTTTACCTTCACTTCCTATACATTTCCTGAAAAGGCGCCAACAGTTATTTTGCATTGTTTGTTTTTGTTTACTGTTTTTTAACTCATTACATCAATTCTTTTTTATTCATAGCACATTTACTTCTTTTATCTGAAAGCACTACATCCTCTCACTTACCTCGAATGTAGCTCTGGGCAGCCATTATTGTATTTGCTTCCTCTTTCCCAGACACCAAAGTCAGGTACACGATAGGCTCTCTCCACACAGAACACAAGATTTTGAATGAAGGAAACCTATGAGGAAAAAAAAAAAAAAGAAAAAAAATGATTCAAGAAAATTCAAGCATATTTTCTGCTGTTCACTTTCTCAGAAAGACAGATTTGCTTCTATCCAAAATTCTTTTCAAAGTTTGATGTTCCCAAGATCAGATATTCTCTGTAAAAATGGTTTTCAGTCACTGAACATTAAAATCTGCCCCCAATCTGGTGGCAATGTGATTTATGTGGAAGCCCCTACAGAGCCAGGGACAAAAATGATTTCATATTCAAGACACATATTTCAAGAGCTCCAAAAAGGTGGCAGTTTGATCTTCTAAATCAGATTTATCCTAAAAATAGCTTCAGAGAGCAAGATAAATTAAATCCTTCAAAATGAGGGCACAGAAATCTTGATGCTGCTCCTTAATTCATATGATATGCTGAAAGTTCTACTAAATTAGCTGTAGATAATAATATATATTTATGCAAATTCAAACACACTCCTTTAATAACAAAAATAAAACCGGAACCAATTTATTCTAATTAAAATCCCTTCTTGGATCAACATGCTTCAACTGAATATTCAGGTTACGAAACTATAGCTGGGGACTCACTTAAGCAGACACTTTTTCCTCATTTACGCTATTAAAAGAGACAAACATCTGAGTCATAGAAACACTGAAATGTTGAAAGGCACCGGCTCCCAGTTTTAAATAACCTGAATATCTGTTTTGTCTTTTTCTCTATTATTTTCTTTAAATCTTAAAATGTTACTACTTTATATACACTCTTTATGCTAATACCAATCCCCCAGTGATATATAACATTCTAAATTTCCTTCCCTCTATTTATCATGTCACTGCTAAAATTTCACAGTGGGACGCTCATATGCAATTATTTATATACAAGTCTTTTCATAGCTACTACTTTCAAGGAAACAGACCACCTCAGTCTTAATATATGCCCAGTACTGTTCTTTCGTATAACTTAGCATTTGGTTGTATTAAAATGTACTTTCTTTGAATTAAGCTAGAATGCTCAGTGATTCAGTGTGGGGCTTCTCCTATAATGTCATTAAGCATCACTATAAAATCTTGCTGATTACTTTCCACCAGTGATACTGCTCAGAACTTTAGAGAAAAATGATCAGTTACGGATATGTTATGAGACTAACTAGGAGTTTCCAAATAGCAGATTTACAGAAAAGGAAGGGGCAGGGAACTAAAGGGGAAGAAAATGTTTCCAAATGAAACCTTCATAGAACAATTATTCTTATCATGGATATGTAAATATTATAACCAAGTCAGTGCTAAAACACTTACAGAAGTTATGGATTGCAAATTAAGCTTATTTATCCATAAGTCAAGCATGTGAAGAGCAAGGTGTAATAAAGAATATGAATGAAGCATCAAAGAATGCAAATACCGTTATTATTTTTTATACATAGGTGTTTCAATCAAGTTCACTCACTTGCACAATCACATGCTGCTCTCTTTCCTATGGATGCAGAGATGAGACTAAATTAATTTTTCAACTACAAACAGATGCAACTAGGGGATAACTCACTGATAGTTGCAGTGCCTGACAACAAGCAGCCTAGTATACAATGATTTCCTCATAAGCCAAGAGTTCTGTGTACAAACATATCCATGCAGACAGCCTGCCAAAATTCCACCATCTGTCAGCACCTTCCACTGTGCTAGCACTGGCTCAAAACCCAGTCTAGGAAAAGGAAGACTAAATACATCATACAATTCACAGGAGAAGCACAATAAATAAATAAATATAAAAATAAAAAATTGAACACAGATTTCAAAGTAAAAGCATATGCACTATTTAATCTACAAAAGACATTATGGCAATCCGTGACATCTGAACTGTTCTTTTAAATACCAAAGTAAGCAATGAACAAGTGCTCAAGAAAAACGTTTCTATAAAGCAATGGCTGAAGTACACCACTGACTGCAACTCCTTCAAATTACTACTTAGGAAGAATTGACAGGCATGTATAATGCCCACTGCAGTACTCTTCCATTCCATTGTTACTCTCTTGATCATTCTTAAAAATAATAGGATTAAGCAATTAAGAAAACAGCAGTGTGTTCTAAGGTTTGGTCAGTTCTATCCTGTTGTGTCCTCAGGACTTACTTTAAATATTGTGTTGAAAAACAGCATAAACCAAACAGGCGAAAACATAGATACTAATTCCTAGAAAAGAACCTCAGCTAGAAATAACAACTGTGGGGAGAGAGAAATCTGATGAGGTTCAACAAGAGCAAGTTCAGAGTCCTGCACAGTGGAAGGAATGACCACATGCATCAGTACATGTTACGGGCTGACCTGCTGGAAAGGAGCTCTGCAGAGAAGGGCCTGGTAACCTGGTGTATAATGTGACCCTGAGCTAACAGTGTGCCCTTGCAGCCAAGAAGGCCAATTATATCCTGAGGTGCATTAAAAAGAGTGTGGCCAGTAGGTCAAAGGAGGTCATCCTCCCTCCTTACTCTGCCCTGATGAGGCCACATCTGGAGTACTGTGCCCAGCTCTTGGCTCCTTAGCTCAAGGAAGAATAAAACTTCTGGAGAATGTCCAGTGGAGGGATACAACGATGACTGGGGCCTGAAGCACCTCCATTACGAGGAAAGGCTGAAGGATTATTCAGCCTGGAGAAGTGAAGACTGAGGGAGGATCTCATTAATGCTTATAAATATCTAATCAGTGAGTGTCAAAAAATGAGGCCAGGTTATTTTTGGTGGTGCCCAGAAACAGGACAAGAAGCAATGGAGACAAATTGGAACACAGGAAGTTCCATAAAAATGTGATAATAAACTTCTTTACTTTGAGAGTGACAGAGCACTGGAACAGGCTGCAAAGGGAGATTGTGGAGTCTCCTTCTCTGGAGATATTCAAAACCCATCTGGACACTTTCCTGCTCAACTTACTGTAGGAAACCTACTTTAGCAGGTGGTTGAATGAGATAACCTGCAGAGGTCCCTTCCAACCCTTATGAGTCTGCGATTCCATTTCTTCTTTAAACAGTTCTGAAGACTTCTGCTAATAAAGTATGTTGGCAAACAGCAGTAAACTCTGGAACCATTAAAAATTATTATGTCTCTACTGTAATTTGAGCTGAAAGGTGGAAATAGCTCTTAACTCTGCTGAACCATTAAATCTGAGTGACAGGTAATATCTTTCATACTCCTGTTCAGCAGCAAGTAGATCTAAAAGCCACTACTACTTAACTTCAAGCAACAAAAAAATTTGATCTTGTCCCATCTACTGGCAAGTCCAAATTCTCCAAATGTAAGGAATTATATGCAGCATAACAGTTTCTTCATGATCAAGGTTTTTAGCTTTTCAACACTTATTAGGTAGTATTTGTTTGTTTCAAACATACAAACCCCTCCTTCATTTCTACTATTTTCAGTAATCACTGTTGTCCGTCGTTATCCTGATCTCCTTTTCTGGAGATATTCAAAACCAACCTGGACACTTTCCTGCTCAACCTACTGTAGGAAACCTACTTTAGCAGGGGGTTGGATGAAATAACCTGCAGAGGTCCCTTCCAACCCTTATGAGTCCATGATTCTGCCAATATCTGTTTATGTACGTATTTTATGAGATGCACTGTTAACATAAAGCTGTTATTTCACTGACAAGTGTGAAGTCATTGTTTACATCCATGCAGCGTACCAGCAAAACAGTATTCATTCAGAAAAAAAATGGAACAAAAAAAGGTGCTTATTGTGTTCAATAAAGAACTTAAAAATCTAAAAGATAATTTATAAGTTTTATCCATAGGAAGATTATCATGCGCTAGAACTGACAGTGACCTTCCTACTCCATGTTAATTATTCTCAAAGAGCTCAATTATGGAACAACAGATCCCGTGAATCCATCCTTTTAAAGACAACATCACTTTTCCAATGAATTATTTCAAACATTTCAGAGGGGCTGCAGCACCTCTCCTATGAAGAAAATCGGAGGTAGCTGAGCTTGTTCAGTCTGGTGAAGAGAAGGCTCCAGGGAGATCTCATAGAGGCCTTCCAGTACTTGAAAAGAGCTTAGAAGCAAGAGGGAGATCGAATTTTTCCATTTTCTGATAGTAATAGGACAAAAGTGAATGGTTTTAAACTAAAAGAAGGGAGATTTAGATTAGATATTATGTGGATTTTTTTTCACTCAGAGGGTGGTGAGGCACTGGCATAGACTGCCCAGAAAAATTCATTGCTTACTTTGGTATTTAAAAGAACAGTTAAGATTTCACAGATTGCCATAATGTCTTTTGTAGATTAAATAGTGCATATGCTTTTGAAGTGAAAAATATCCATTGAAAGGAGACAATAGACAATGATTTTTCTGAAGATTTTGTAATTAAATGAAAATGTCTGGAAGATAATATAATTTATATGTCAAGCTAAATAAATGAGTAATTATATACATCTGCTTCTTCACAGATATAATAGCAATTGTGAAAAAATAATACAAAGCTATCATATGATCTAACTAGGTTGTCATGAGAGAGGAGGTAAGTTGAATCTCTTAGTTTTATCTAAAGAGAAGTCATTTATCAACATTTACGTTATAGAAATATAAAGCAAATATGCTACGACTGGATAAATCTTTATTCCTTTAAATATTACTACATTTAACACTTTTAAGGCAAAACCATAGCAAGTGTTCAGCAGTCCAGGGAAAGTTTAAACATATCAAGATTAAGAAAAATAAAATAAAATAAATCCATAGTTTCCACTTCTGTCTCAATACCATGCCTCATTTTGGAGCAGAACATCATGTTATCAGGATACAATTTTATCTTCAACAAGGCCACACTGACTATTATTTTTTCTTTCAGAATAAACACTTTTTTTTTTTTTTTTTTACCATAATATAAAATTGTCCATTCCAGCAAAACATTATTATAATAACAAACTTACTGTCATAGCAGACCTTTTCAGCGTCAGCCACGAATCTTTCATAAATATCAGGGAACTATAAAAGTTTCCAGTGTCATGCTACATTGACTCATTGTCTATCCATCTCTTTGCTAACTATTCATTTATTTTACCGTCCATCCATTGCATTTATCTTTAATGAGGACCAATAAAAATGGAAAATATCTACAGTACATTTCCAGAACAACTAATTCAGAGCTGGCAATGACAAGTCAAAGCATGCTATAACATCAGAAAACATTTTGTACCTCATCTGTGTTGTAGATAATCTGCAGCCCCGAAGAGATCATCTCAACCAAGTAGAGGAGAAATAATGACACAGCATTTATCTGAAGTAATTAAAGACAGAATGGAAACAATAATTACATTTACATCAAATAAACAAAAAAGTTAAATGCAAACTTAATAATAAAGATGGTACTAGTACAACACAGGATTAGTTTTGGTTCTTCAGAAATATTATCCTAATATATTAATTATCCTATATAAATTGATGTGGTAACAATAAAAAAAGTGTAACAACTAAATTATTTATATTGTAAAAAATAAAATACTTTTTGCTGCGGAATACTGCTTTGACTGATAGGAAGTCATATCAGTCATAAGTTGCTCAAGTTTACATATGTGGCAATTCACCAACAGGCAAATAATATATCAAACAGTACACACAGCATATCTGAAAAACAGATCACTTTATATAACTGGATCTTTAGCATTATCACATGACAGAAGTATAATTGTAACATTCACAGTATGATGACCTTTGTGTAAAACTTTTGTTTTGTTGCAATACATGACATTTACTATTTACAATCATTACCTTCAGTAGCCATATTGGACAAGCACTATCATGTTTGTTTACCATGAATCAAAGAAAGAGTCTATCAATTACTCAAAGTAAGACTGCTTTTATTACACAGAATTACAACAAAATTGAGAATCTGTAAATCTTCAATGGAGAAAGCAAGTGTACCTTACTTCAGTGACATATAAAAATACAACTTCAGTATATGAAATTTTGAGAAACTATCCAGAATATAAATTGGATTCTCGTCATAAATCAAACAGATTAATAATAACTTTCAGATTCTATAAACTCCAAAAGATTTAAAGACCACTAACTTCAATTTCTTAATACAAACTGAGAAGCATCAAGTAAAGCAACACTGGCTGGCCAGCTACTTAGCATACTCCTTTCTTTCCCACAATTACCCTCTGACTGCTAGAGATCTGCTGATGACAGAAGGAAATGTGCATTCATATAAAATTGAGGCTTAGAACCATTATACAACGCTTCCCAGGTCCCCAAACTGTTGTTTCCTTCTTTCGATAAAAAAAAATACACCAGATATGTATAAATGTCAACTTAGGATAACTCCCAAATTCATTCTTCTCAGAACTTAGGTTTTCTGAATCCAATACCTCTACTACACAAATATTTTGGTGATGTTGGCACCGTGAATAATTGTCAACCTACTGTCACTTGAGAATAATTTCAGTAGTAATTTCTGACTTAAGAATACATAGGTTTATGGGAATACAAAAGGACACAGTTAAGAATGCAAAAACGGATCTGAAGATAAGAAGAAAAAAGTACATCAGTGCTTTAGAAAATTAAAGACAATTGCACAATGAATAGAGCAGTTAGTTATACAATGAATCTGACTAGAAACCACTGTACAGAATAATAAGCAACAAATCTGTAACTAGATAAAGCAGTTGACAGTGTCCATTAAATCTTTGCTATGAATGAAAATTACTCAGACTTATGGACAATTAAGCTGAGAATGTTAATTAAAAAAATTAAGAGTTCATTGCAAAAATCACACTAAATCTTTCATTTTACTGACTATTACAAATATTTTAATACCAGGATTATTTACTGACATCTGTCATTTGGTCTCAAAAAGCAGCATCATTAAAGGGAAACACCATTCACCGCCAAACTCCCGCAGGTATTTCACTACCTTCTGACCAAAATATACTACTGAACTATATGTGAAAACAGTCTGTTCTTTTTGTGAAAAGATGCAGAAAGAAATTCAATGTTACAGTGGTTAGCACATCTAACTCAAATCTAAACAAATTCTGAGAGGCTCCATCATCAGAGAATCAAAAGAGTAACATTATTAAAGGTCATCCAGACTTTCATTTACACATGCACACACATTCTATACCTGAAGATGACCATATTCATTATGGGAGAAGACCTCATCTCCAGTATGTGCATTGAAAACAGAATGAAGACATCCAGAGGGCTTGGGGTCTTGCTTAAACTGCTGAACCTAAAAGTGAATTAAGACCATAAACATAAAAACAAAGTCAGTGATTTCTGTCTGCAGAAATTATATACAACTGCAAATTCAATATGTATATAACTCAGGTGTTTCAAAATTTCCTTATATGTGCATCAAGCTTAAGTGTGAACTTAGAAACTACAATCCCAAAATATATCAGAACCTACATTATACATAAAGTATATACATAGTGGAACAACAAAAAATATTCAGTCCATTTTTCTAATTTATTTTGTTTTCATAGAAAAAATATCTTACAGGAAGCTCCAGATGCTTATTCATCTTTACCTTCAAGTCAAACACCTCACTGTAGTAGGGCTGAAACTTTAGTAGAAAACATGCTGAAGTATATCATGTCTACTTTGAAGTCACAGAACTGAAATGTGCTTAGAGGATACTGTCTCATAAGCTTCCAGGTGATTCATCAGCTCTCCATGCATTCCATGCTCTCCCATACATGGGACGACTCCTCTTTCTCACTTGTCTTTCCTAAAATGCCTATATCCATCCATCACAGCACTCCAGTTACACAAGCTATCCCACCATGCTTCTGTGATTCACTGAGATCACAGCCCAAGAGCTGCACACTCTTCTCACTGTTCCTGTTTCTTCCCCACAGTGCAGTGAATGGGCACTTCTGGGAGACATCCAAGCACACTTATTTCCCGTTAAGGGCATGAAAGCTTTCTCCTCCATAATGCTGTCCCATAGGTACCTCCTGATTCACATACATACACTTGGAGCCATTCCACTTGAGCTGATTGCTAAGAGAGTATGCCTTCTCTTTACAGCACTCTGGGCACTTTGCCTGCCTACCATCACTGACCACTTCCTCACTTGACTGTGAAGAACTTTCTCTCTCCCTTACGACTTTGGTATAAAGCTCTTCTTGCTGGAGGTCAAGAATCCAAAACTTACATTGGGAATAGCAATTAGCATTTTTATGAATCATAATCCATACAATTGAATAACTCTTGTTGTATCATTTTATGAGATTCTTTTAAACTAAAAATAATTTATAAGTAAGTTTATTCGGTGATGTATGGTGAGATGCTTAGGGAGCATCTCGAAAGCACTGCTGAAAGTTCAAAAAGATGACAAAGCTCACAGAGAGGAAAAATAGTACCCCAGATCATAACAGCTACAACTTATGGGCACTATCATTGAACCTCAGAATTAGCCACTAAGGTAGTAATTTATCTACTGCATTCCTTTTCTAATACAAGAGATTAACAATAAAGGAGCAAAATAAGAACTACAATGGTCTTAAAAGTAGTTTTGCTTCCAATCTGGAATGTCAGAGCGTAAGAAAGGCAGAGAAAAGAAATCTTCCCAGAGAATGAAGGTAATGAAAGAATATCCTTCTCTGTACTTCCTCAAGGCATGCTATGCAGCAGTTCTTTCAATTACTCTAACCAGCATTGACAGTAGCTAGATCCTGTTTCACGACATTTTCCACACTGACCTGAGCTTTATGGAATATACCTTTCCACCAGGAAAAAAATACACAGCATACATATAGTGTAGGGCCCAGTAGAATAAGTGATATTGTATGGAGTTATGTCTAGTCAGGGAACATATTCAACACATTTTAGCTTATAACTCAAGTTCATTAGCAATAAAATGCAACATCCGCAATTCCTGCAACAAGTAGCATAACCTAGACAGTGCAGCCATGCCTCACTATTTGGGTATATATAGCTCATAATATTAAAAACTACCATTCCTTAGCATGAGGTCAGCACATACAAAGCCCGTCAGATAAAATCAAATTTGAATTATGTCTGTCAGATAAGTGACATAGCTTATTACTACACAGCAGGAAAAGGGAACCTTTTATAGTAATGAAAGTGAAAAATGACAACCAGTACATCAACAATTTGACAACTGTGTTAATTTAATACTTATTCATCATAAATGCATTTACCACCCTCAAAACAAACTACTCCATGTAAAAGAGAAAAGTAACAGCTTGAATGTAACAGGACCAATTTAGGTCAAGATTACTTAACTATCTGAGACTACAAGGAAAATGGAAAAAAATATGTCAGCATAAATGCCACTGGTAACATGGCTGATTTCTTACTATTATTATTACTACTGACACACGCCTACAGATTTTACATTCCAGTTCGTGTGCTTATAAGCAATGTGAACTTCACAGTAACATGAAAATGACTTTTAATAACGGTTTAAACTCAGTGACATGAAACTTAAAATAATCACACAGAATACATATATTTAACTATCTGTAGCATTACTGCTAACTACTATGCAAAACTAAACCACTACATCTAAATTTTGACAAGGAGAAGACTTGTACTCTGACAAGAGGATTACAGGCTGAATATATACATATATAAATTGTAACTGCATTATAACAAATAAATTACCACTTCCTCATTCACTTTGGATTACTGCCCTTCTGAATTTACAGCACTACATCAAATAAGATTGCTGAAGAAAGCAGCCCAAATAATCCTAATGATCGTGTATGTAATGAAAAAAATGCAATAACAAAGTTAACAGTCCAAAGAACCTCTCTAACCTTAGCTAAGTGAAATTCTGCATCTTTCCACTCAAGTAATCAAAAGGCATAAAAAAAAATTCCACAGTATAAACAACCTAATGTTTAAATGAGGTAAATAACTACAAAATGAACCCCAAGAGGTTTCAAATATGCCTTGCTGTTCAGTCCCTTTGCAAAATTCTTGTTTCTTTTGTTTCTTAGAACAATGCAAACCTGGCAAAAAAGAAGCAGCTGTTCTTTACTGGACCACACAGTAATATTACATTTCCCTTTTGAATTTTATCTATATTTAGGAGTTAGCATTTACAGCTTAATTAATCCCTTAGAATTAAGTGAGTGCTTCCGTCCACACTACAGTATTTTACCTTATCGGCCTGACGCATGTAGCAGTAGAGAATTCCTCTCATACACTTTATAGCAGAATGCTCCAGTTCATGAGTTCTTCCCTTGTCATCATCAATACGCCTGGTTAAGAGAGATAACTCATAAAACAAATTGGAAATGCATTAAGAAAATAAAAGGCACATTAGCGCTTTGGAAAATTAAGTACTTAATTAACACTGTATGGTGCCTTCACCCATATCAACATACTTATAGCCCTACCCATGCTTTTGTCACTAAAGAAAAATTAAAATCTGTATTTTTAGGTTATGTTGCAACTCACACAAACATTCCTACTTCAAAAGGCACAAAGGGAAAAAAAAACCTTGAAGTTATTATAACATTTCAAGCCAGTGTACTTTGAGAAATCCAAAATGTGAAAGTACTTTCAATTCTGCAACCTATCTGCCATTCATAACTAAGCACTTTACTTATCATGTTAAACTACAACTATGCATGCAACTTCTGAACGTTACCTACACAATGTCCAGAAATGTATCAGAACACCTCAGTTATTTGATACCATGAAATAAAACAATACTCACAATTGTTACATCACTGAAGACACACTAAAAACAACGCCAAATATCAAACTATTTTAACAAGAAAGGTACTGTGGGTAAACAAGCCTGATGATTGCATTCACTGGTTAGCCTTTCCCAGTTCTTGATTTCTGACTGAGTTTTTCAGGGTGAAAATTAGGTTTTCTCACATACCTATACTTAAGAAAGCATTTCTCTGATTCAAATATGCAAAGTACCATAACTTTCATACTGATACTTCTCTGCCCATTTTATGCATAGGAATCATATCCTTTCCCACCATCAGGAACACAACAGCTTACGCTGAAGTTTTGCTACCTATGCTGAAAAATTGAAAGTTAGAGATAACTTCAAAAATCATGCATATCCAACATACTACTTAAATGATAATACTAGATATAAAATATGTACTTCCTTTCAATTATGAAGTTCACATCAGAGGGTATAGGGGAAACAATGAATTAGAACATAAAACAAACAGGGCAACGTTTTTTCAGCAGGATTTATTCTCTACATTACTATAAATCCAAAGAGCAGGAAAAAGCACAAAAGGCTCTAAGTCCCCCATGTAACAACTTACATTTTTCTTCTTTTATTCACAACAGCAGCATTTGTTTTCATAACAAGTTCTTAGAAACTTAGCTTTTATTGAACACTACCAGTAGCATGAGTCAAGCACAGAGATTTTGGTTTGGTATTTCATGCGGAATGCCATGTAAGCCTTGTATCTTGGCCCATTTTGGATTTTAGCCATACACTTAATTTCAGTCATCAACTTTTGCCCATCAAAGGAAATTCACCATGCAGCAGTGACACCCAGGGCCTTGTTCCAAGCATAAGTGGAAGTAAAATAAATGACTTGCCCTGCTACTTTTACCGTCCTTCAAACTGCAACACATTTTATTTATTATCTCCTCTGATTCTACAAATTGGGAATTCAAGCCTGAATAAGTCAAGCAGTGCTATGCCATGTTTCTTTCCATAAAGCCCTTTCAGCTGCTTAAAATTCAGAACCACCACTTCTGCCCCTTTTATTCTTCCTTCTCACATTTTCCTGTTTTTTTTTTCATTTACAAATGCTTTTATTTCACCCAAAGAAAGAATAATTGAAAGAAAGATGCAAAGATTTCAATATAATAGAAATGAATAACAATTATGCTTTCTGAATATTAATTGCCTCATTTTTTGCCTTTTCAGAAGTAAACACAGACTAGAACTTACAAAGATCTATGTCTTCTGTTTCAAAAAGCTTTATTCTGAAACAGCATTTCCTAGGATACAATTTTTAATAAATGTTTTTTTCACATTAATGTCTCAGGTATAGAATCTCAAGTAACAGAGACAAAAAAGAAACTCAAAACCTTTTTTTCCTGCTAAGTAGATCAGGTTTACTACAACAGTAGCTGCTCATACTATTTCTGGCACTACTTAAGTAAAATATACCAGAATTTTGTCAAAGAGCATGATTATTACCTCACCATTAGATGGTAACTAAAAAAGAAGAAAAGGAAATTACTCAATATTTACACACTATCATCTTTGTTCAAAACACTACATTTGAGGTGTCTATATATGCTTGAGTGGCTGAGGAAACAACGTCAGAGATGATGAATACTTCCTTAACATTCAGGTAGAACTGGTGATACAGTTCTCCCATTAAGACGATCGTGTTACTCATTTCCAGAACTTTTTAATAAGTAACTGCAATGTTAGTTGTGAAGGCACTGTAAAATACAAGGGGCTTCACTCCTGCATATCCTTCACTTCCTCAACAAATGTAACAAGTTATTCTTACGATTTCCATATTGTTTTGTAGTCCCCAACCCAGGAAGTGCTCAAGACCAGGTTGGATGGGGCCCTGAGCAGCCTGATGTGGAAGGTGGAAAACTATTCATGACAGGGGAGTTGGAACTGCATGGGCTTTAAAGGTCCCTTCCAACCCAAGCCATTCTATGATAATCTTTTGAAACATTCCCAGTGTACTGCACAACCAAAAGTAATATGGCAGAGATGTTAACTTAGGAGTTATTCACCTGTAAGCGAGGGCTAATGCCCAGGAGCACGCAGCACAGTAAAGATTGTCATGTACTTTTGCCTTTTGGTTATCTCCATGTGTCTTTGTAGGAAACAGACCTGTGGTTGGGCTCTGATGAAGCAACAGTGTGGACTTAACTGGAAAAAAGGAAGAAGAAATAATAGAATGTTTCTTCCAGTTTCTGAGTATGAATAGATCAAGATGTGATAAGTTACAGCAAGCAAAATATAAAGTTCAGCAGAGACACACACAAAAACATTTTTTATGCTGGTCAGACAGTCAGATTATAACTTTTTACAGAAAAAAAAAATCATCTAATAATCTATGACTATTTCTATGGCAAAAACCACTCTGTACAGAATCTCTCCAACAAAATTCTCTCTCTGACTAGCACCACAATAATAAGCTACCATTTTATCACTGTTACATCCAAAAGAATCCTAATTCACTCTTACAGCTGGGACTGGATTTTCAATATGAATTCTTTGTTTTCAACAAAAAGTTTGTGTCCTACCAGTTTTGCTTCTTTCAAACTCCAAGAAGAAATTTAGGAGACTATCCCCAGCAGGAATAAATTAGCAATGATAACGAGCATGTAAACATCAATTCCAATTCATACCTGGGGTTAGCTGAAGCACTTAAAAATATGAGCAGTTTACTTTCATCCCTTCCTCATCTCAGACTATCAGGTGATAGTCAGAATTTATTTTACTGTTTGGCAAATGCAAATGATAATTTTGATAAATCATGACTTGTAAATACTGTTCAAGTAATGCGTGAAATACATGTATTACACTGTCATGGGAAACTTAAGAAAAATGGTAAAGATAGAACCATTTGCTTTTCAGAAAACAGAAATCCTTATCAGAAATCGTATATATCACTTTAATATAAGGCTACTTACTGTTATAATCTTAACTAAATACTTTCACAAGTTGCAGTGAAAATTTGTCAAGCTAGGAATAATTCCTTATCAATTTTTTACTTACCAATTCTGTAGTAATGGTCTAATTTATCCCACAAACTTTCTCCCTCAGCTTTAGGAAGGTTAATACTTTTAAGTGGCTCATAAATTGAACCTAAAAAAGGAAAAGAAAAAAAATAGATAAAAATTAGTTACATAATTTCTACTATTACTAAACTGCAATATGATTTTTCATGTTAATTAAGCAAAGGCCCAATTCAACTAATTTCAACTGAAACAAAAAATAAATCATTTCTATAATTTCACAGAACCTAAGATTTCTATCTACATTCTTTCTTCAGTACCTGTCCGCACAAACACTGTCTCCAAGTGGATCCCCAATGCCTCTTACATATTTAACAGGAGCAAATGCTACACAGATATGTATTTAATTGTTAGAGACAGCATATTAAACGTCAAGAGTTTCCTAAGAACCTTAATTTCTTAGATCTCTCTTTTGCAGTGTCTCATACATAGACTACTCCCTATTTGTACCTGAAAACATAGAAGGATAAATTTCTTAAAAATCACCGAGGTAAACCATTTCCAGTTTCTAAAGTTAAGAGTGACATATTCTTCCATAAATCACTGTGGCTTTATTCAGTGTTCTAGATGGCAAGAACTCCCACAGAGTCACTTGTAACAGGAAGAATGACAATTTCCCCTTTCCAGACTGCACGCTGCCTTTCTGAAAAGCTCAGAGAAAGGAACTGCCTAGGAAGCCCAGCAGCCAAGCGGCTCTGGCAGGATGCAGTAGAATTCTCCTACTCATATTGCTTCTTTTGCACTCCGAGCACATATCCAAGTGTTAGACAAAGAGAATGTCCAGATACAGGACTCTCAATCAAACCAAATAAATGTGTGGAGTGGTGACAGAGGCTTTATTAATTAAATCCTGTAGTGAGGAGTTTGGGGAATGTTTCTTGCTTCCCTGGTGCTCACTAGTAATCATTTTTGCTTTGCAATAGCAGCACTTAAAAAAAAATTCCTTTTCACCCACCAAAAAACACCACCTCAGCCTGAACAGAGTCCTGTGTTCTTTGGTTCTCTGGTAATGTCTAACCACACAGTGGAGCTTCCACTGCCACCTTGCCTTTCCTCATTGGGAGAGATAAATTGCAAGGAACATGTGCAGATGGGAAAGGGCCTGAGGGGGAAGCACATAAGATTCACTTGCTTAGTTGCCTAAAATAATTTAAAAGACATGAAGTTGCTTTGTAATACGAAAAACAAAACAAAACAAAAACAACTTACATCACAGTTCTTGTATCTTCTGTTAAAAAAAAAAATAAAAAAATCAACATTCTGAACCCTTTTGTTTTTTCCAAAGTAGAATTAATTGGAATTTCTGTGCTTTAGAAGATTCATGACCTATACTGTTATTCTAATTCAGTTGTCGAGCAAAAGCACACAGTGTTAACCTGCAGTAACAATAATTTTACAGGGTGACACAGTCAAAGTAGGACAGAGTCTGCATAGGAAAAATCTTTAGTCAGCCACTTCTTTGCATATAAAGTAGCAAGTTTGAGCAATATTTACTTAATAGATTTTCAAAGGCAAAAAAAGATTCTTACTCTTATACTTGTTAACTGTGCAACACACACCTATGGCACTGCACTTTATGCATGAAGCAGGTTCAGAATGCCTGTTTCCTGCAGATCACTAAGGCCAGCACTGCACTACGCGAGTATTCACAGGCACACATACACAAACACACAAGGTTTAAAAACACTGTTCTAATTTACATACTTACCAGGAAATCTGTGACCATCTGTGGCCAACAGAAAAACGAAAAGTTATCATGAACAAAAAGCATATGCTTGGCTTCTATTCCATAGAATGAAAACTTCAACTTTGGGCAGAAAGAAGACTGAACATAATAAAATGTTAAGCATCAGGATCCACGAACTGTATTCTTTCACACATCAAACTTTACCAGAAGAAATAAATGAATCAGTCAGAATTGACTGTTGATGATACAAAAAGATAAAGGATGAAGTGGATCAAAGATCGAGAAAATAGGCAAAAGTGTTTGTTATTTAAAGAGTACACATATGAGAAATTGTTTAAAAGACCACTCAAAACTGAGCTCTTCCATTCACTCTACTTAAATACCTACCATAAAAACATAGAATCATTGAGGTTGGAAAAGACCACCAAGATCATCTAGTCCAACAACCGACCCATCACCACCATGCCTACTGACCATGGCCCTCAGTGCCACTTCTGCTCTTCTCTTGAAAACCTCTAGAGAAACACAGACCACATTCTATTTCCATGTCCAGAGCACTGTGGTAAATTATGTCTCATTAGTACCACAATCAAACTGAAAGCAAGAAACAGGCAGAACCAACAAGAAGCGAGGTGCCCTAGGTGGTTTTATAGTGTGACCAACACCCACTGGAAGCTACTAGCAAGTATTTTTAGGACAGTTAAAAAAAAAAAAAAAAAAAAGCTGTCTTACTCTTTTCCAGAATCTATTTGACAGTTCATTTCAGCAAGACATGAACATACTATATAAAGCTATTTTCAATTACTTATAAATTATTTAAAACCTATTTAATATAGGTTTTAAAACTGGAAGAAAACGTGACAGCAAGACTTGAAGACTCTATAGCACTGAAACTGAATGACATATGCAATCTGGTTCTCAGCTGAGACTGAAGGAATGACACATGCAATTGAGCTCTCAGTTTGCATGTCAGCATTCAGAACAAGGACAGTAATTTCAGCGACTATTTTTCATAAATATCTCATTTCATTGTAATCATACATCGCGAGTTTCATTCAAGGTAAATAAGTGGTGTGAAGGAATATAAAAAGCATCTTAACACAACAACCCTATACAAAATTTGAAGAGTATATGGCAGATGGCATTTTCTTCCCACAAGAATCACAGAAATGATGAAGAGTATGCCTACTGTTTCCCTAAATCAGAAGCAGATTGCTGCAGGTCAGTAACTACTTGAAAATGACAAAGAACCTTAACAGATAGGAAACTAGAGCTGCTTCCTGCATAAAGACATTTAATGGCTGTTAAGAGAACACTCAAAATCCTTAGCCCAACTCCAATTCCCTATTTTTCTTCATAGTGCACTAAATACACTACATCCATTCTTCAATTGGAAAATGGGAAAATAAATCCTCCTTCATTTCACAAGTAGTTCCTACCACTTACAAGTTCCGAAGTTTCATCATTCTTCAAGCTGAAGAATTACTAAAAAGGAGTTATTTCCTTCCAAAGGATTAGAAAACAGGAAAAGATCTGAAACGGCACAGTAACTGATAGAAGAGATATCAATTACTAATGAAGAACTACAGTAATGTTTCTACAAGATTAAGAATTTCTACAAGACATGGGAACTATACAAAAACATTAACTAACATGAAACTCAGATGTACAACAATTTCAGGAAAAATCAACAATTTATTCATCTCTTCTGCTTCGGTTTTGTTCTAGTTACGTACAAGATTAGCATTAATTGCTCTTCAGGGAAGAGCTGTGAACTGCCTATATATAGACTGAAAAGATATACACAGCATTTCAAAATCCTCATCCCAAATTCGACCCACACACCTCTGAACCTGGTCCACAGTTAAAAATTTGCCTATTTTAAGATGAATTGATGATTCAACTTTTACAATGCACGTAATTAAACCCAACAAGCAACAAACGCATTGAAGTTTAACCACAAGTGAATGGAAGCAACATGACAAGAATTTTACTTCTAACATTTCGTCTGCCAGAAAAACACAAGCAAATGTACACTTGCATAACAAGTATCAGAACACAACAAACAAAAAAGCATGAAAACACCCAACTTCTTTCTAAGTTTGATGTATGGCATGAGAATCAGAAGTGACTGCAACCCTTTAACGCAACACTAGTTCTGAATGTAATGCAACACTTGAGCTGTGGGCAAGTTCTGGATCTCAGATCACAGCAATATCACTGCCTGATATTAGTACTGGTAATAACATCTTCACATTACAGTAATTGGGACCAAAGAAGATTTTATTTCTTCACGTAGCAAAACTTAAGAATAATTCTGCATTATCAACAAATCATATACTCCAATGTTCTTTTCATCCCCATCTTCTCTCCGGAGCTGAGGGTACTGAAGAGAAATGCTAGAAATACTACTTAAATACTTATCCACCAGGAAATACACCTGCTTTAAAGCTACAATTCATGGAGTTGAGCAAGGCAAGATGGGAAAATAACTTTCAGAAGCAAGAAATTAGTTTATCTTCCACTAGAAGGAAAATTCATTTCTCATATTTACATATCTGAAGTGAATGATTCCACAAACTTAACATGTAGCTACTGTAGTGCTGGTGCTCATACAGTTCATACTGTGAGCTGACCCTCCTCTGAACAAGAAACCGGAGCAGCAGAACTCCTGACATCCCTCCCAAACTGAGGAGCTCTGCACTTCAGGGAGGTGGTTGAGTCACCATCCCTGGATGTGTTTAAGAGCCGTTTGGATGTGGTGCTTGGAGATGTGATTTCGCAGAGAGTTGTTAGAGTTAGGGTACTACGGTTAGGCTGCGGTTGGACTTGATGATCCTTGAGGTCCCTTCCAACCTGAGTAATTCTATGATTCAGTGAAAATACCATAAGAAAACCCTAGATGTAAAAAACTAAAAGAAAATAGAGAACAGGTATTAAGGTGTAAAGGTACTCCTGTGCCTGAACAAACATTAGAAGTAAACACAAAAGATGAAGTGTTACTGAGACTAAGCAATAACAGCACAGGTACAAACGAGTAAAACTTTGTTAAATTTGAATGCTTTAAAAACTCATTAATTACTATTTATCAATAAAAATCTTACGTTCAACAGCGTATTTAACTGTGAAGAATTCAAAATAATTTAGAATTTCATGGAAAAAGAAAAAAATGTCCTTTCTCTATTCCTAATTACCTGTAATCTCTTGTTTGTCCATTATAATGAATGGACAAAATTCTTATTTTAGTATTTTAAACACAAAAAAGCTACTGGAGACCACAAATAAAACACTGCCTGCCACACCAGCTCACAGGAGCTTCACTTAGCCAAAATACACCAAAATGCCACCACCTGCCACACAAACCTTGTAAATGCTACAGGCAAGGTGAGAAGCCCTTCTGGATATTCAAGGCAATCATCATTTCTCAGCCTGAGAACTCAAAGCATTACCTCCTAAAACTACTGAAATCATTTATGTTGTATCTTAACTTGCAATGGAAATACGAAAGAACAACAAGGTAATTAGCAAAGAGCTTTTTTTTTTTTTAAAAAAATTAAAATATTAAAATTCCAGGTCTTGGTGTTGAAAGGGGAAATGCCATGGGCAGGGCAGGGCAGTTCAAGTGGCAAAGGACAGCTGAAATCCTCTTATCTGGTAACTCTCACTTATACTTGTACCGCTAATGTGTTTGAGCACAGACTAAACAAGAGTTCTCCAGAGGGTTTTCCCAGATTGGCTTCTTCACATATAGTGACACATTTGTTCCTGTCAAACGCTTTTCAAAACATATTAAGGTAAAAATTGTAATAGCCTCAATAGTTTCACATACACAAGCTTACACCTAAAGAGAAGCTGTGCCATGGGGCTTTATTTTGCTACCACTTAACTTCCAAAAGTCAATCTTTAGAACCAGTACTGACTTGTAGGAAATTGTACTCCTTTCCTCTAAACAAGTCCTGTTGCTTTTCTTGTAAGAAATTAAACCTTAACACCATTATTAGCACACTTTTCACATAACCACCATCTTAAAAATTCAGTTCAGAGACTTATCCTTGCAAGAACATACACACAAACGAAAACCAAAACCAAGGAGGAAGAACTGAACAGTAGATTTCAATTTCCAGAGTTTTTAAGTTACACAGTTCAAAAAAGCTGCAAGCACAAAACACTGCATGAAACACAAAGCAATTATTTTTTGTTGGGTTCAACAGCCACAAATAAAAACACAGAACTGCACACTTACCAAACTTTAAAAAAGCATGCGCAGATGAGGTTCTGTCATCATCCAAACTGGCCATTTCAAATTGGTGCAGCTAATCACAAACGTCTCAGGCTAAGCTACAGCAATTTTCAAAACTGTTTAGTAAATGTTAAAGGCAACCAGCATTAAATTAAGTGAAAGCAATGTTAGTGGAGTTATTAAAATGACAGACTGTACAGAGCACAAAGGGTAGTACCATTTTGTTATATTTTATGCTTTCCCTCTTCCACTGTACAAATCATTTTTATTCTTCCTTCAATAAAACTTAACTAAGTAAAATGGCACAGGCTATACAAACTCCATCTTTTGGATGTTCCACAGGTTTTTTTGTTTCATACAAAAACTGCTACTGAAATCTATAGATGATATATAAGATCTATTTTAAATACCGCAAGATTGTATAAAAATTATTAATAATACATATAAAAGTGTAAAGCAAAACTAAGTGCAGAGCTAGAATTCTGCTTATGCATAGTGCTGCCTTTATCTGATATGGAATTTACATTGGGATGCTCCTTTCAGTCATAAATTGCTTATGGTACTGAATGTCTGTAACCTGAAGTAGAACTGCCAGCTGGAAGGTGCAATAAGAAAACACCACTTGAAGCCAAGATGACAAGTTGTTTCAAATCTTTAAAGCAGCTTATGCTCTTTACATTAGCAAAAAAATTTCAGAGGTTGCAGGCTGGACAGCTTGCTGAACACCATTATGATCTGCTCCTGTCAATTCTCAGTAGCAACAAATAAAACAACACTTTATCACTTCAGGAAGAAAAAAAAATCTCAGTAAAGCTTGTTTTTACTGCCAAAACGTAATTCAGGTTTTAACATACATAAGCATTATCTCCTACAGGACTGGGTCTTAAATGATACCTTGCTCTCAGTTGTAAAGTGTGAAGCACTCATGCATTTAACACACGAGCCTAAACAGATAGATAGGTTCCATACTTATTTATCTTACTCCAAGCACCACATTAAAAATAGAAGCAGTGCTGTTAGTAAACTGGGACTCAGCATAGATTTCACTCAACTCAGGGCAGGCTGGGGGCACTGCAGCCACTCCCTGTGACAGTAACAGCCACAGTCCTTCTGACTGCCAGAAATTAAGTGAGAGAGCTTTTAAGCTACATACATTTCTAAACAGTTATAAAAAATGTAAGAGTAAATTTGAGGAACAAGAACATGACTTTGATTTTCAGGTTAGAATGTTACCTGAACTAGAATGTAGAAAATTTAACTTCAGAACCAGCTCATTTATCAGAAAGACATTTGAACTAAAATCAGGTTTATTTCTTCAGTAAATAAATTTATTCAGATTCTAAGTGACAAAACCTCTGAATGGGAAAAGAAGCAACTGAACTCCAAAAACAGCCTATCACTACAGCAGAAGAGACTTTCATACGCATTTAATAAAAAAGTAGAAGGTAGCAGCAAAGAAAAAGTCAAGCATTTAAAAATCAACCAAATGCTTACAGCTGCAGAGCCCATCGTGCACAGGGACCCCCAGCCAGCACACAGCCCTGTGACTCAGGGTTCACACACTCAAGCACACGGGACCCAGGCTTTATCTTGTGCTCTGTGGCTATGTTCACAAATCAGTTTGCAGACAGCAGCACTGTTAATCTGTTTTGGCTATCACATAACGATTCATCCCACGGACATCCTTTAATAATGGTAGCTCGAAGATCAGTACTATGCATAAGTAGAATTTGTCAAGTCCCATCCATGCCAGCATTCTGTAATCGATCCCTTTGCTGTGAGCCGTCCTGAAGGCCCACCACCTTCCTCCCCCGCTGTCTGACCCTCATTACAACAACACAAACCCAAAAATCGTGTTTGAGCTCGGTAAGAGCACGTAACAAACACAGAAGCACCAGGGACCCCTTGGGAAACTGTTTCCAGTACAGCACTGCCAGGTGAGGCCCTGCTAGTCCTGCATTTAGAAACAAAAACTAAACCAAAAGCAGCAGGGCTTCGGAAGCCCAGGGCCCCACAGCGCACCTCATGCTCCCAACCCGTGGGCTGAGGCAGAACCCAGCTGCCCGCGCTCCAAGTTCTGCACAAGAAATCCTCACTTAAAAATCAACAAAGCTTTACCCCAGGGACACCGGGCAAAAACCGGGACTTCATTTTTTAAGTCTTCTTCTGCTAAACCGCCGAACGGCCCCACAGCGCTACCCTCAGAAGCAGCCACCCCAGCGCGGTGCTGTCCAGCACCCGGCACTCCGGACCTCCGTCCCTCTGAGGGCACGCGCGCTCAGGAGGCCGAAATCCGGGGCTCGCGACCCCGTGTGAGGATGGAAGCGGCGCCGCGCCCGGCTCGGGCGGCTGCAGAGCGGGGCAGCGCGGGCCCGGCCAAGCGGGGCTCCTGAGGCGCGGGGCACGCGAGGCAACAGGTGCGGCGGGACGGGGCGGCCGGGCCCGCGCTGAGTGACACGCGAAGCTGCGGGAGAGCAGCCGGCAGCGAGGCGAAGGAGAGCGGGCCGCGCGAGGGGAAGGAGAGAGCGGGGCGAGGGCGGTCGGCGCGGGGCAGAGGCGCCGGCGAGGAGGGGGCGCGGAGCCCTCCGGGACGAAGCCGAGCGGTCAGACCTGAACGCTTGGTGCGAGCCCGCAGCTCCAGCATCTTCCAGCTGACGTCGGCCATATGGGCCGCCGCCGCGGCCGCCGCCGCCATCCCGACGAGCCGCCTCCGCTCCCGCCGCTCCGCTCGCACCGGGACGCCGCCGTCCCCTCAGCGCCGCGGCGGCGATCTCCGCCCGGTTACCACCGCCGGCCGTAAGCCCCCGCGCGGGCCGTCACGGCGCTGTCGCAAAGCCGCGGGTCGGCGGCGTCGGGCACGCCCCGAGCTGCCGTAAGTGTGGCGGGCGGGGCGGCGGGAGCGGAGCGGCGCAGCATGGCGGGGTGCCGCCTCGCGCCGGGGCTGGCGCTGCTGGCGCTGCTCGCCCTGGCGGGGCGCGGCGCCGCGCTGCAGAACGTCACGGCGCAGCTGTTCGGCGCCGAGGCCTACGGCACGCCGGCGGCCTTCGGAGACTTCAACTCGGACAAGCAGACGGACCTGTTCGTGCTGCGCGGCGGTGAGCGCGGGGCGGGGCCGGAGCGGTGCCGTGCCCGGTGCGGGGCTCCGCGCTCCCGCTGCGGGTCGGGCCGTGCGAGCGCCTGGCAGCTGCTGCCCGTGCCCGCCTCGTCACCGGGGTCGCGCGGGAGGGAGAGCGGCGAGCAGGGAGCGCTTCTCCAGGGTAACGCCGTCGCTTGCGTTACCTCCGAGCTGCTTCCGGTGCGGTAAACGGTGTTTGCGGCGCGGCTGCGGTTAGGAGAAGTTGGCCTTAAAACTGTGATAAAGCCCTTGTCCTACGGAGGTGACGGCCGCAGTGTGAGATTTGCTCCCACAGGCTGTTTTCTCGTGCTGCCGCGGTGCTTTGGGATGCAGAGGTACAGAATGCTTCCCTCTCGGACAGAGGACGGCTACACGTCAGCCTGCTTCCAGTGCTGCTGTGGTGCCGGGCCGAGTGAAGGCTCACGTAGAAATAAGGCTGTCAGTTCACTCGGGTCTGTGCCCAGCTGAAGGGAGGGCCCGAATCACAGCACACCTGTGGTCAGTGCTGCCTGGAAACACTCTGGCAGGTGGGGAAGCCCACGCCTGTTATTTGTTTAATCCACCTTCTGTTTGATGCCTCTGCCAATGCAGGGCAATGTGGAGTTGTTCCCCTGGTGCATTTCGGTGGAGAGTTTTGGAAACTTCTCTGGTATCCTCGCTCAGACTTTCAGATAGTGGATTTCAGAGAAGCTTAATTGTTGTTTTTCCCTTTCCTTTAACCTCTTGCATACTCTTTCCCCTTTCTTCTGTATTCTGTACAAGAGTACAAGAACTGCAGTCAACACCAAGGATGAGTGTGCTGCAGGTTGATGTAGAGGTATCACAATTATAATTGTCTGCTCCTGTGATAATTCCCAGTAGTCTGTTTGTTTTCACTGCTAATGAACACGAGCCAAACTTTAGATAAATCTGTTCTTAGTGGCTGTAAAATCTCATTTAGTGAAGCGTAATTAACTTGGAACCCAATGTGTGTAAAGATGCATCTGCTTCAGTGCTGTTATTTTACCACCTAGATGATAAAAGTCCATGGTGTGTGTATGGGAACTATTAAGTCGTGGTCTGAACCAGTGACTGAGCACCTGGTGAAGGAGTGTAGCCAGCCCTGGGGCACAGGTGGAAGCAGTTCACCTGTGCAACTGGAAGGGGTGGACTCGGTCTCCACCCCTCCCTAATCTTGTTTAAGAGCTGGCAGTCATAAGGGAAGCATCTCTACTTAGAGAGTATGTCCTTTAGAGTGCACAGTGGGCCCTGACCCTTAGAAAGGTGTGAGTGATTTCTTCTTTCTTACTGGATTGCAATCTCTGCTTTTCGTGTGTGATCCAAAACTGGTTTAAAGCAGCTGTATCTGCTATTGCCTGTTGTTATAGTATGAAATCAATGTTATGAGTTTCAGCAGTTGACCTACATCTTTATTATCAGATGCTCCACTAGCTAGCAGGCTTTTTCCTTTTGTTTGCCAGCCTCATTCATCTGTGAATGTATCATGCAACCCTGGCTGTATTAGCTTGCCAGATGGGACTGCACTGGTTGCCTCTATCTGTTTGGAAGGGGTTTGTTTTCATTTACTCGTTTGTTGGCATCTTCTCCTTTGCAAACACATTTATGGCAGCTATCCTTTCTTTTCATACCTAGGAAATTTTTATTCTGCCCTTTCACAGCTTTGATCTTTGCCACTGAATTATGCCCTTGAAATATGCTCTAGTAGCTCCAGTTTAGAGCTACAGGATTATTTTCATGTAGGTATTCTAGTTATTATGTGTTGGAATGCTACAGGTGAGTTTATTAGAGAATTAAGGGAACAAATATAAAAGATGAGTAGGAATATTATATTTTCTTCCTTTAATTCTGAGCTGTGATTTTACTTGTAAAAGTATAAGGACTGCTTTTTAGAAAGCAATGTCTCCGATTTTAATATGCCAGCCCACAGTGTCAGAGGTGGATGTTGTTGGTATGGCAGTGGATGTAATGGGGTACTGGCAGGAAGACTTAACATTTTGTTGCTGTGTAACAGATGGCAGCAAAGGGGCAATCTAACAGGATGCCATCTGACATGGAAGTGCAGTTGAAGCAACTGAAAGTCTGTGGCTTCTATTATTGCAAATGAGGAAGTTCTGCTGGGGGTCAGGTTACTTCTCTGATGTTCTTAACCTGCTTTTGTCTGGAGACTTGGCAAAAAAGTATCAGATCTTGCTGTGTCAGGGACAATGTTACAGTAATTCACTCAAGTTTATTTTCTTGCTGTAAATGTTTACATAGAATTGATGCGTAAGATTTTTCCCCAGGTAGTATTTGCTAATTCAGTATAGAAAGTTTCAAATAATATGATAACAATAGCAAAGAGGGAGATTTAATGCCAAGCCCCAAAGAGCATTCTTGACGTTAGCATTCCTCTGATGCTAGTAGGTGATGTTAATGATACAATTAAGTTTATAGTACTATACTGAAGAAGTATTTTGCTTCTTTTCTAATGAGGAAGAAGTGGTTGTATTTTTGATGCTGTGAGGAATTACCATTTGTAGGGTAACTCCTTAAAAATTGTTTTTTATATAAGCCATTTATGATCCTTATCTGTGAGGTTTATACATTGCCTTATTTGCTTTGCAGGAAATGAATTGATTATCTTTTTGGCAGACCAAAAGGAACCTTACTTTAAGCCCCGTGTTAAGTTACCAATGAAGTAAGTGTTGGTATTGAATGGTGAAACAATATAAGTGGTCTTTTTTTTTTTTTTTTGAGGGGGGGGATGGGAAGTGCAACTTCACAGTCAGTCAGGACTAGAACCTTTGTGGTTCAACTTGTGCTTAGGTGAGCTCTTTGAGCAAGAGGTTTTTTGAGTAATTTCTGGTACTCCTTTGTTTTTCTTTTTTAATTTTGTGGTTCATGTGGCATAATATCTGGAAACAAGTTTTGTCATGTGTGCAATTAAGTAGTAGATGTGACTTCCCATCCCCTTACACAGTTTGTGTGCTTTGGTTTTGCTTTGTACTCGTATCTGGTTTTTATGTACATATTAGTCCTGTTATTTGCATTTGAGGCCTTGTAAAATTTGTTTTTAATTCTAGATCTCTAGGTGTTATCATAACCAGTGTAGTTCCAGGAGACTATGATGGTGACTCACAAATGGATGTCCTCCTGACTACCCGAACACAAAATCATGGCAAAGATGAACTTTCAGTGTTCATTTTCTGGGGACACAACCAAACATTAGGTGAGTTGCTGAGAGACTGCTTATTAACAAGATTTTTGGATTTCTTAATAATTCCAAGTGTTTTCAGAAAGTTGTGTCACATCACATTTATGCTTAAAGTAATGATTAGCAGCTGTGTAGCTTCATATCCATGTAGTATTGTGCTATTAAACAGTATTTAGTAATTGATGTAAGAAAACAAAGCTATTATAAGAAAACAATGTTTTTCTATCATGCAATATGTATAACCAAACAATATTACAGATTGATAGTGACTGACTATCTAAAGGGTGACTTGTTGCAGCTTCCCCATTACACATGTCAGCTTCACAAGGATTATCCCAAAAGACTACCATATTTGATTATAGAATGTGCTAAGAACTTAGTGTACACTTGAGAACTTAAATTTTAAAATTGTCACACCTAAACTGACCCACATTAATATAATTCTCATATTGCTGTTAAAACCAAATTCTTTAAAGACAAACTCACTCTGAAATAGGTTTGGGGGAAGAAGCTGTAAAGTCTCTGTCACTAGAAGTTTTTAGGAACCTTAGACAATCATTTTTCAGTTCTGTTCTAGGTATCTAGCAGTGTTCTGACTGTATCTTAAAGTCATAGACTATGTGACCACTGGAAGTCTCTTTATTTTCAGTTGAGTTTGCTAGAAAAGTTTTTTGGGAAGAGTTGACACTTGGAAGAAAGAGCAATCCAGAGAAGAAATGAGCAGCACAGGAAACTGCAGGATCGAGTGTTGAGAGAACAATGTAGTTGTAGTGTTAGGAAGAATGTGAAGGATTTAGATGAACTTATGCTGTCTTGTGAATAAACAAACTTTGGGAGAGACACAAGTGGAGCTTAGAAATGAGTCAGAGGTTGGTATGCAGTGAGACTATTGAAAAAGTATATGGTGCTTACCTGGATAATGGAAGTAGGACAAACCAAGAGCAGGATAATGTGGGGACTGGAGTTAAGACATAAAGTACAGGAGATGGGAACTGGAATGATGTGGCAAAGAGCTGGGATTTGAAGTGAAAGTCAAGTCTTAGAGGTGATTAAGATTTAAAATCCTCATTTCCCATTTAAACAGTCTAGTTCTAATCTTAATTTCAAATGTGCGGTGATCTTGTTAGCAGTATATTTTATAGTGACAAAATGTTAAGCAGAAGTCCTGTGTGCAGTGATAAATGTGGAGTATCTTCATCCCAGCTAGTTCAGATTTCATATGAGTGTGGGATCTGTTTATTTGTTGAAAGTTTCAGTGTAGGGAGAAGCAGCTTCAGCATTTGAGCTAGTACTTACCTTTCCTGTCCAAAGTCAAAAGCTTAAATTTATCTTTTATCTCCAGGAACATTTTGTTTTGTGCCTTATGTTTTTTCTTATCAAAAAGTTAATAACTCTAAACTAATAGAAAAAGGATTATATTTGCTAAATATTACTGTCATATCATATCTGTAATTTAATAGAATGAATATTTTCTGTTTTCAGATCTTAACCATAAAACTATGATAAATAAGACTTTTCATGATGAGCCTCTAGTAATGGAGTAAGTGCAACCTACCTTTTTAATTAAAATGTTTTGTAGTAGTGACGAATAGCAACTTAATAAGTATGTTTTAACTCTAAAATTTAAAACATGCTCCTCTCAAGAAGAGGATGGTTTGTGGTTTGTCAAGTGACCTAATAAAGATGACAAAACAGATTTGTAAAAATAGCTGATATAATATATATGTTAAAAAAAAAAAAAAAATGTATCAGCCTGGCCACAGCAATTAAATAAACTTTGAAATTTCTTAATTTCAGTGCTCAGTGTTTTATAAAAAAAAAAAAAAAGACATTTTTGTAGTGAATTTCAAAGGAAAAAAGCCACAACCACCTTACTGGCTTATCCCAGTGAAAGTATTTGTTCCTCAGCTTGAATGAAAAATATGTGGAAAATCTAGCAGGAGGGGCAGGCAGCAGGTACTTGTTGGGGTGAGGCAAGTTTCTGCTCTTTCTGTACTTCTACTTCTTGTACATTGTATTTTCAGTTTATTTATGCTTTATTTGCAATGTCAAGTGAGAGGCACTTAGTTGGTTATGCTGTTGAGATCTCATCATCTTCCAGTGGCAATGAAATTCAAACCTTGTTCACGAAACTCCTGTTCATGAAGTGTATAGTTATACAAGAACTATATATGTATCTGGAAATTGGAGAATCCTTGTTTTGGGAAGAGTGGAACGGGTAAGAAACTTGAGTGAGAAGTTTTTGATCAGTTCTGCCTTCTTAAATTTGAAGAAGTCTTTAAGGAAAATAAGTAGAATTTTTTTTCTTGTTAAGTAACGTGAAGTGACTTATACAACTAGGAAGTCAAATGCATGACATAGTTTAAAATACTTAGCAGCCCTTGCATTACTGCTAGCAGCTCAGAGAAGAGCCTACACAGCTGAAAATTATTAACTGCCTGTTGGGAAAATGCTTACTGAGTACAGGATAGTAAAGAATGGTCAGTTTTGACTCCTGGAATGAGTTAAAGTAATACTGAAACTGTTTTTCACTTTCAGCTTTAATGGTGATTTGATTCCTGATGTCTTTGGTGTCACAGGTGATTCAGATAAGCCACAGATACTGATAGGCGGGTAAGCGAAGTATTTATTAGCATGGATTTCAGTAACTTGTTCGTCCTCTTCTATTTAGAGACACAAGACTGGAGCTGTGTGCACTCGAGTCTTCTTTCCACATGTGTATGTGAACATTCTATTACAGCACATAATTGTGTGAGGCTATTTATTTAAAAAAAACATTTGGTATGCTTCATGGGTTTCTTAAAAAGATTTTTGCAAAAGGCAGTAACAGTATAAGATTGTGTGCCAGTGATGTTTTCTGTATTGCATTTTCTGCTTTAAGGAGTAGTTAAGGCCATTTTGTAGCACATAAGAGTTGTCAGGAATTTTGTGTGATGGAATTGCAGTGAAGGGAACTAAGTTTGATTCAAGTTTCTGCTAGTCCTGGGATTTCTAGTATGGGACTAGCTAGCAGCTGCTGGGATAAAAAGAAGTTTTAATGGGGAATCTCAACTACTGGTAAGGAATATGAAAAAGAGTTTAACTCTTAAGAATGCTCTAAGATTTAACAATTTTACTATTAATCTCTAAAATTGAACAATAACATTTGACAATTAATTATTGGGGGGGGAAAAAAAAATCCAGGACTAGGCTTGTTTATTGTTACAGGGTTAGGCCTTCAAAGATTTAATTCTAGCTTGATATTTTGCAGCTTTTAAGTGGAACTGGATAACGTTGTCTTGAATGCTGTTTAGTAATGCCAATGTAGAAACTTGCAGCTCCCTGTGTTGCATAAGAAATGCAGGTGTTGATGTAGCCACTGATTTAGGTTCCTGTACAATCAATATTACTTTGTTCTAAAAGAAAGTGTAAGTTAGGAATTCTTTGTATTCCCATGTGGTTTTCTTGAGCTACTGTTTTAAGAGGTCTGTTAACACAGGAGAAAGCAATCAGATGATTGCTCTGTCTCTATGGCAACTATACATTGTGCATTTCCATGGCCCTTAAGAAATGTTTGTCTGTTTTTGGTTTATTTTCCCCCATCATTAAGTATTAGCTTGACAAGTGTATTTAACAAGTCTATACTTGTTATACTTGCTGATTACTGGTTATTTTCATTTCCTCAGAGGTGATTTGGAAGTATTGTTTAAATGTGTAGTTGAAAACTATATGCCCTTCTTGGCAATGTGTTTTTTGTTCATTAATCCTAAGTTGCATTTTTTTAAAGTAGATGGCACATGGAACAGAACTTTCACTTTTATGACGCTTTCTGAAAATAACAGTAGATATTGAGAAATTCTAGCTCTGGAAGAAAGGAAAATAGGGGTCAGATGTTTCATTTTTTCTTGAAGTCTTTTTACTAGTAAGTTGATACAAATAAGCTGGCTGAGGTCAAAATAAAACCAAGCTGTACATAACAACAGTGTCTTACATGGGAAAAAAAGCTTTATTTCATCCGCTCAGAAAAACATTTTTCTACTTCAAATTTAAAAACACTTTAAATTATAGTAGAGCTGCATAACTTTCTTGGCTTAACTTCAAAAACAAGTCCATCAGAAGAACTAGAAAATACTTCATTATTTCTGTGAGGGGGCAGGAGATGGTTTTAGTTTGATTGTGCTTTTGTTATTTTTCTTGTTTATTTTTTATTCTAAACTTTCAGGAAAAGTCAAGAAATTGTATAACCTCCTTGGGAAATGACATCATTAGCATATGGTCTATCTGGTGTAGCAGGCATGAGCTATTTCAACAGCATGTGATTGTGTCCATTTTTTTCATCTGTTGGTCCAAAGGAGACTTCATAAGTACTGATAGTAGAACTGCTGGAGGAAAAGGGGAGGACAGGGAAGTTTTCCAGGATTTACAGTGGTGGAATCCAGGCTGTACGTTTCACTTTGTGCATAATGATGCTCTGCTGTACAAATAAACTTATTTTACAAAGTTAATATAATCTAACTGAAGCCCTTCCTCTATGAATCATCTTTTACTAAACATTTCAAGCAGTTACCACTCATTTAGTATATTGTAAGCTAAGTTGTAATGTTCATTTAATGGTAAAAGCATTACGTTCGGTTTTGTCGTGTTTTTTTTAAAGGTATATTTATTGTGGTTAGGTCTGTTAGCACTGATGAAATGTACTGCTTTTTCTTCTTGCCTTGTAGGAACTTATCACGGCATGCTGCACTGGACACCCAGAGTAGAATGTATATACCACACTCTCATGCGTTTATAGACTTAAATAATGACTTCACAGCTGGTAAGTCATAAAAGTGCTAAATACTTTCCTAAGATGATTTATTACTTTAATTTGTTAAATTATTGAATTATTAATATACAGATTAAATATTAATTTATAAGTTATTAACTCATCATGCTATTGTATATTGTATATATCTACCTAAAATTTTGGGCGTTTTCATTGACAGTTGTTCTACAATGCTCTGTTCAGTAACTATGACTTTGCTACTTGTGATTTTTAATCAGAACTTCCACTTCAAATGTTGTTATATTAAATAAAAAATACCAGAATTAATAATAAAATTTTCTGATTTATAATTCAATGAATAATAATGCTTGTTCTGAATAATTGTTTGCCATCAAAACATCTTCCTCTTAGAGATGTTTCTCTACTATTCAGAGTTTGCAACTCTGTCATTGCTGCATTTTCTTCTTCATTTTGAAAGTAGTTCATTCAGAGATGTGTTTTCAACACTGGACTTGTTTCTTAAAGTTGTCAATGTGATTTCATTCTATTTTGTTATAGTTTATTCTAGCACTGAGAAAACTGCATGTGAGACTTCTTATTCTATTACCACATGAACATTCCTATAAGCTATTTATAATTCAGTATTCACAAAAAATACTGGAGACAATTTTTGTTGTGGTAGATAAAAACTGTATTCTTGTTTTGTTGATTGTGATTTTGTTTTGTTTGATGTTTGTTTGGGTCAAATATGTAATGCATCTTAGCCTTCAATTAATAGAGGTCTATTTATCACTTGTGTGGTTCATATCTCAAAGCTTATTTAAACATCTTGCTAAACTTCATTTACTTTCTTAAAACACTAAATGGATTTTGAAATGCTTTCTCTTTTGCTAATTGTGCTTTATACATCAATTCACATATGGTAGTTTGGGTAGGAGAGATTATTTTTTCCCCTTTTTAGTATTATGGGAATGAGAGAGGAAAGAGTCCATAAACTTAATTAATATGCTTTTCATTTTCAGGGATTAAGTTAATTACTTCAGTGCTTAGTCAAACTGTAATACTCATTTCTGGCACACTGCTGCATGAAGCTGTCAAGTGGAAATTCCAACTGGAAAATTAGGTATATGGTTGCTTATTATAATCAGTGTCATGCAATAACCAGTGCTAAGGCACTTAGCTATATACACCCTTTGGAATTTTGTCTGGGCAGAGAAGAGGTCCATTCCAGGTAATTTTGGAATGTGGACATATTATATATGTGGACATATAAGTTCACGGGTACATAAAGGTAAGAGCTCTTAAGTTATTCCTGTGGATCAGTCACAGAAGAGTTTTTGCAAGTGTACTCAGAGCTGTCTACGACAGCCAAGTTAGCCTACAAAATGTCCAGAAAGTTCAAGTTAGTGCTGATGATATGTGAAAAATCTATCCATTCAATACAAATAGATGGCAGTATCTGTGTGGGGAGTACTGGGAGCTTTTCTTTTCATCTGGAGATGTGAATAGAAGCTTCTGGGAAACCTCCCCACTCAAAGATACAGATTTTTCTTTCCTTCTAGCAGTACAGATACAAATCCTCAGGCTGGGATCTATGGGCCAAAACAGCCTGTGAACTGTTGACAGTTATGTTAGAGCAATCTAAGGAGAACTTTAAGAAAAAATAATTTATTCTGAGAAGAAAAATGGAAAAAATATTACCATTAAGTTATTTTCTTTGAAGTAACTGTTAGTAATTTGGGAAGCTGCTTTTGCTAGCTCTATGAAAACTAGATCAACAGTCAGCAAAGCATACGTTGCAAAAAATAATACTTTATCAGTGATATTTGATATTTCATGGCTGACATGTTATTGCAGGACTGCCTGCTGCAAAAGCCAGCAGCCACCTGGTCCTGACTGTACATTTATGGCAGTTTGCTCTCATCTGCTCTAGTAACTGTATGAGGGAGAGGGCGTGGAACATGATTCATTTTCACTTGAGTTATTAAGCTGATGCAAGTTATCACAGAGCTTCAGGGTTGCCAGAGCTAGTGTAAGCACAAAGAGAAGATAGACTCCTCTTTTTAGTAGCGGCAGATGCACATAGTTTGCCTGTACTCAAGCATTAAATTGCACTGTGCCTCTTTAAACATATAAAAATATATATACTTTTTAGTGTCCTCACAATGTCGTCTTTAATTTGTGCTAAGCTATACAGAGTTTGGCAAATGACTCATGGAAGTAATGATAAAAGTAGTCAGCTGTGGTGTGCTTTTGCTTACTTTTTGTTTTGTGTTTAGTTAAAAACAAACAAAAAAACCCATATGTAACTGTGTACCTGGTACTGACAATACTGGGATTCTCTATGTCCTCTGCCAAACAGTGCCAAAACAATGTCCTGATACTGCTGAAGTGTGCACACAACCACCCTGTGTCCCTGTGCAGTGTGGGTGGACTTCACAGGACAGTTCCATGTTTCTCCTATTTGTTTAGCTCTGTCAGTGTAGCTGGGGCAGCACAGTCTTACAACACCAGGCAACATTCTTGCTATGTTATTTCTCAGTGTAATCTGTTATTTGTTGGTTGATTGAGGTAGAGCTAGTGAAAATGAGAGAATTCTTGTGATAATCGTAACATGCACTGCCATTCTTGATTAGGAACAAAATTTGTTAAGGATAGGTTTTGGTCCATGTTAAAATCCTATTAATTACAAGGGAGGAATTAATGAGGATGCAGAAGTATAGTCTGCATGCTGAAGTCCAAAAGACTTAATACTATTACAGCATTCAGTACTGCTATGGTGCTTTTTAACTGAAAAAATCAAGTCTTTACTTGTGACAGTGCCAGTGTTTATGATTATGAAGATAAAAAGCCCTTCAGAATGCCCAGTGTTCACTTTTTTTGTTAAGACATTTTTCTAATGTTGTGAAATGTTTTGGTGGCTCTCTGTATTGTACAACAGATGCAGCCAATTCAGTGGTTTTCATGCTAGGCTATTTTTGGTAATTCCATTATTATAAAAAGCTTAGGAGATTTAAAGTGTGCTTGATGTTAAAAAAAAAATAATAATAATAATAAAAAAAATAATAAAATCAAAAATCCTCTCTGAGCTGGGAATCTTTCCTGCTACTTTATTGTCTAATCCATTTTCAACCTGCCAAGATATAAACGCTCAAAACAGAGATTTTAATTGGCACGTTTCTCCTGCTCTGGGTGAAATGAAGTCAAATTGTTCAGATTTCATTATATGAGAACATGTTCATACAGACGTTTTTAATCCCTAACAATGCTTCATGAAAGGCTAACTGTGTAAGGATTTTACAAATCCAAAAATCCACTAACCAGAACAAAGATAATACTAATCTTTCTTGGTGAGATTTAAACTATGTTGTTTCAGATAGTAATGCTGCTGCTGTTTTTCAATTAAACCATCATCGTTCTATTTTTATAATTTTTAATTCGGTAAGTAAATGTAACTTAGCCTAGGAATATTAAGTAATCCATATAGAAATATGCAGTATAATTTTTTTCCCGAAGGGTCTGTTTGTGCTTTGTGGATAAGGATAAAAAAATACAAAATTTTTAAGCATCATCTTCATGTGTACTGTGTGTGTGCTTTGCCAGGGAAGAGTATCTAGTCCACAGCATGGCTGCATTTGGACAGGGTGTCTGAATCACACAGGATCACAGAAACACCAAGGTTGGAAAAGACCTACAAGATCATCCAGTCCAAACATCCACCTATCACCAATAGTTCTCACTACCATATCCCCCAACACAAAATCTGAAGTCTGGAGATAGTCTAGTTCAACCTGCCCAAAGCAGGATTAGAGCAGGTTTTGTTTGGGATTATGTCCAGTTGTCTTTTGAATGTCTTCAAGGTTAGAAACTCTGCAACGTCCCTGGGCAATGTTTTCCAGCATTTAACTACTCTGAGAGCAGGAGAAGAGTTACATTTAAGTGGAATTTCTTGTATTTCAATTTGTATCTATTGTTTTTCATTCTGTTACTGGATGCCAACTGGAGAAGAATCTGCCTTTGCCAGGCCTTCTCTCTAACATATGCACATATGTTATTAAAAAGCAGTTTAATTTTAAATATTGTATCTTAATGTTTTCAAAACAGCACAAGAAGTTGTATAGTATATAGTGTAGTGCTCATTTTTAACTCATAGTTCATAATACCTTAACCTTAATAAAGTCACATGCTTCACTACTGCAGTGTGCCTTACTGAAGTGATACAAAGGAAATGTATGGCCTTTGAGAAATGTTCTACTTCTTTAAAAGCAAAGAACAGTGAAATTAACATTGAACTTGAGATGAGAATAGTGAAAATTTCTGCTATTTGCTAAGTTTATCAGTATATGCATTTCAGTGATACAGCTGAATCTTTATTCAGCAGTTCATTAAAGAGTTTCATATAATTTACTGAAAAAATAAAATATAACTGGGTGAACAACACTAACTGTGCATCTACATACCAACTTTGATCATTTCTCAACAATAAAGGTATATTTTAAAGTGTTTTTCATCTTGGAATTTAAATTTCAAGGTCTTAATGACTTCAGCGTGGAGCAAATGATAAGTACATGTAATTGCAGGGTTTTATAGTTCTAGACATATGAGACACTGGCTGTATTTTAAAATGTTGTATTCATGCACTTTTTTTCTAGCTTTATTCCACAACCCATTTTTTATTTCCAAAGGATCTGAACTTTCAGCCCAGGCATTTGAGGTCAAATTGCATCTTACATCTGTCATATTTTTCACATGCTTGGAAATAGACTGAAATATGAGAAAAATATGGTGACCTTTGTTAGAATGGGGTTACTAGGTGTCTAGGAGTACATAATCACAGTTATTAGCTAGTTTAAGAACATAATCTTGAAGTTAATAACAATAGGCTTGTCTGGACAGATTAAGGTGTGTTTTATAGAGCAGGACTGTGTAAATGAGCATTTGCAAAGGACACTCTATGAGTAAGAGACCTGTCTTAAAAATGTCATATCCTCAGACTGGAAGGTACACATCACATAATGTAAGTATTTGAACAGGATTTAACTCTTACAGCT